TAGCTTCAGATGCTGGTGCGATCCTTTGCTGCAGTTGCTGCGGAGGCAGCAACGGTAAGTGCTTCTGCTGCTGCAGCTGCAGCTGTCACTGCGGCAGCGAAGGCTTCAGAGGCGGCTTTTGCAGCAGCAGCAGCTGCTGCGAACGCCTCGACTGAGCGCTGCTGTAGCTGCAGCTGAAGACGGTGCTGCTCTTCACTGGGCAGCTGGACGGTGTGTGGAGACTGCTGCTGCAGGGAATGTAGAGACACCTCCCAGTGCAGCGGCTGCTTTTCGAGAGGCGAAGAGCTGAGCGAAAGATCTTCTTGCATCTGCAGCTGCCACAGCTGCGGCAACACGCGTTGACGCTGCAGCTGAAGGCGGAACTGCTGCAGCAGCAGCAGCAACGGCGGCTGCTGGTGTGGAGTCAGAGGATCGGCACAGGCCATGCTGCTTTTTGCTATTGCTTGTTGCTATTGCTTGTTGCTATTGCTGCCTCTGTTAGGGGGTAGTGTGGAGTGCTCTTGCTTGGAGGCGAGAGCGACTTGCAAAATGCTGCGCTTGGCGGTGCATTTTAAGAGGAAGCACAGCAAGAGCTGCTCGAGGCATGGGTCTGTAAGTGTGTAGGTGTGGTGAAGTATGAGCGTGGAAGTCTGTGAGTGTGCAAGTCTGTGAGTGTGCAAGTATGTAAGTGGAGCTACAGTCCGGGATGAGTGAGCCTTTTTTATAGCAAAAGGATAAAAGGAAAGCCTTTGGTGCAGCCGTGCGTTTGCAGCCGCTCTGTCGCTGTTCGGCGAGGCAGAAAAGTGTCTTATCGCGCTCAAGTCAGTCCAGGGGGACGGGGGAGTTGGCTGTGTTGAGGGAACCACCAGCTGCTGCCAGTGTTGCGGGAGGCAGCGAGCTGTCGAGGAGGGAAAGAAGAAAACAAAGGAGGTGGGCTAAAGGGGAGAAGACGAGATCTCTCGCGTGCCGCTGCTTGGGCAGGAAGGCGAAGAGGGAAGCGGGGAAGAGTCAGTGATCAAGGCGACACTGGAGGACCCCTTCGCTGCGTTTCGCACTAACGCTTCGGTGAGAGGCGAAAAAAGACGAAACGCAAGCAGGAGGTGGCGGTGTGGAAGGGGCAGCCTCGACTTTCTCGAAGGATTCCTGCTCGGAGCTTCCGCTGCGGCTGCTGATACAAGTCACGGGCAATGCGCGAAGACGGGCAGATCGGCGGGAGATGCATGCAGTAGTAGCCTTCTTCCCGCCGAGGGAAGCAGGAATATTTCTTCTTTATTTCGGATCATTCAATGAATACTTGCACTTCACCGCCATTCAAAGGGCGGAGTGAGAATCCGCACCCAACTGGGGGCTCTCTGGTGCGAGGGGTTCTTCACTATTAGAACCTCGCCACGTTGTCGCGAAGCGGCTGAAAACAATTAGCCATGCAACCCCTGGAAGTTGCAAAAACGGCATCTTCCTGCTAGCTTCGTCTTGTAAGAGGGCGTAGCGTAAGAGCCCGCTTCGGCTGACTTGTACGCTGCAGCGCGGCGACTAAAAAGGGTTTCTTGCTGGCCTCCAGTCACGTGTCTTCACAGCCAGAAAAGCAGCACCTACTTGCTTTTCGCTAATTACTTCGTGGTGCAGGGAGATAGATCACGCAGAAGGCGTCGTCTGCTGACGTGCATTCAGCACGTTGAGGGGCATCCATGCGGTTGCAAGCCATCAGACCTCGTGTTGTATGCGGTTGCAAGCCATGGGGACGGAGCTGTTAAAAAGCAATCAAGCGCTTTTTTGCGCTCAACAACCCGCTTTTCCCGCTTCCCTCTCCTCCCGCGCACTAGGGAAAGAAGGGCTGCTGGCTGGAACGAACAAAAAGTACCCTCCAGATTTGTCTGCACGGCGTGCAGGCAAATCAGGGCGAACGAAACGTGGCATGGCCTTCAGCTTTGCCAGAACGCGTCAAGTTTCGCTTTGAAATGCTCCCACCTGCACTACCTACACATTGTACTCAGAGTCGAGAAGGCGTGGATCGTGTGGTGTCGCCTGTTTGTACATCGCATGATCCTACAGAGGACTGCAACGAGCGATCATAAGACCGCACACTGTTGCATGTAGGGAAGGGGGGGCTACTTGCTGTTGACAACTAGATGTAGAAACTCAGACTTCGTAGCTTAAGTTGTGACTATTCTAGCTGCCCCCTTCCCCGCATGTCGGCCATCTAAAGAAACGCGGGCAGAGAAGTAGGGGGTTCTCCTGGAAAATAGCGGGTGCCGTTCTATCAACTTGCATCGAATCCGGAGGAGTTGAGTGTCTCCCCATCGAGGCTTTAGATGGATTGCTACAGTGCCCCTCGACCGACGGCCTTTTTCTACGGGCAACCCTCTAGGCTCCATCCACTATCTTTAAGACAACACGAAACTCTCTCCACGCTGCTGCAGGTAGAGCGCGGCAAGAAGCCTGGTTACCCCCCTCCCCCTCCCCCCAGCTTATTTGCATTCAGATGCCCCAAGCCACACTATGACGTTTCCTGCTTCACGACTTATCTGATTTTTCAGAAGGTCTCGCAGCTGCACTGTTGTTTTGGGCATTTTTTTAGTCGTTCTGATGTGCTCCTTGCAGCAGAGGGGATCGGGCTAGCGAGTATGACACGCGATCAAACGAATCGTGTGCCTGCCTGTGCGCTTGAGGCTTCCACCTGGGCATACTGAGTGTCCACACATTGTAGTAGCACTGTTTCTCTCTCCCCTCCTCCTGAGCCCCTGCTAAATGATGAAGACGGCAGGCGGAGAGAAAGGGGGGCAGACGTTCTTAGAGGTGCTGTAATTTTGCATTATAAAATGTAGCGTGAAGTTTTGAATGAAATTGTGTGCGGGTGCTCCCACGTCTCGACTGTATTGCAATTCAACTTCTGGAGTCGCCTTTGGTCGAAGCAGCGCAAAGTGGGAATGAATAGCTTTTCATGAAGCTTTCTATTATTCGCGCAAAGACTAACAAAAAAGCCTTTCTTCCTACGCAGTCCTAAGCGAGGGAGCGCGCAGTGTTCGTTCCATGCATTTCGAGAAGTCTCATGAACACAAACGAGGGTGTTCCTTTTGAAAGTGGGCAAAAAGTATCTGTGTCCCACAAGAATCCGCTATTTGCTGCGGGCCCGCCTAGTGCATGTCCATCTATCGGTGGCTATTAGTGAGACACGTTGCAGCACTGTCTTTACCAGAGTTCAACTCGTAGCACTCACAAAGACAGGCAACATCTGAAAAGCGGCGAAGGCATTTGGCCAAAAGATTTCCCGTAGGCTTGCAGGCAGCCGACCTCTGCAGGCGATATAAAAAGCACCTTCACGTCCTGACACGTTCCCTGAAGGCGTACATAGATACACTGCAGCCGGCGAGCTGCCCCTCACCGTGCATACCAAGTGCCACGTCTTGAGAGTTGTATGCAAAGTGGCAACGATGTCACGCAGCTAGCCGCAACTCCAAACATCTACAGGCTGAGGCATTGGTTAGCGCGCGAATGCTGATGTGACTCATTAATCGAACCCCTGAAGTTGCACGAAGAGCAGCTAGTCGTGCCAGTGAGAGCGAACGCCCCATAGTTTGTGCGGGTTGGCACCCCCACCCCCCGTCGCATCCATGTCAACCTTAGCAGCAAAAGAAGGGCACTTTGTGCAGCCTGCATTTCTGTTGAAGCCCTCAGGACAGAGTGCGAAATTCTTCACGACGGGAAAAAAACGCCACACTGCTACACCCCCACGTTCTCTAAGGGGTGGCCATGCCCCCCTTATTGACCCCTACCGCTCCCGCGAGAGGAGCTTATACCTCCAATTCTCCGCATCCCCCCAACGCGCCAGAAGCGACTTAGTTTCTGAAGGGTGGAAGTGTCAGCTCAACAGCATCATTCTCAGAAAGAGGAGACATCGGTTGAAACTGCACTCTGATGGGTTGTGGCAAATGGACGACCTGCCTAACTTTCCCCTAGCCTGCACTGGCGTTTTTCCACCTCTTAGAGCTGCCCCTCATTCCTCCCTGTGCTACCTGACACTCACTGGGTTTCCCCTGCTGCACTCTCGAGCAGCTCCATCAGAAGAAAAACACCACCTCACCACTGTCTACCAACTAGGTCGCCACGCCTGCTCTGTTTCTTGAACGAACCGGCTACATGCAAGCATCAAACTAGAGCTACTCCACTCTCTCCTTTGCTCCTGCTCGTTAAGACAGGCAACGGCAGAACGAAAACTAGGTTTTTCTTCCCCCCGTTCACGCCACTGATCATCACTCATGCGCGTACAGTAATATATAAATATGGACGGCCGAAAATCGGCAAGAGACAGGGAAACGACAAACGCCTGCAAGAGCACGATACAAGGCGGCAAAGCGGGGAAACTGCCAAGAAAGCAGACGTCCTCCACGTGTCGATATACGGCGCAAACCACCCATCGGTGACAAAGTGCCCCTGAAAAACGAATTCTAGCGGCACATGCATGCGGCCCTCTTCATCCCCCCCTCCCTCCATCCATACACCCCGCTGCGCCAACCTCCTAGCAGCATTCGCGGACCCAATGGTTGGTTCATAGATGTTTTGCCTTGCCAGCAAGCAACAGCCTGCTGCTTCTTCTATACAACCATTGCCGCACAGAATCTCTCTCTCTCTCTATCGACCCTCTGTTACAGCAACGTCCTAAAGCATCTTCACTTACCCCCCATAACCACCCCTTCCCCCCGTTTCGCCAATCTCTCGCTCTCTCCCTGGCCTCCTCAGAGACTCTTGACTCATCGGAGAACTCTGGATTTTTCCAGCCGTTCAATCAGGCTATCCTGGAGAGAACCCGAGAGCAGTTATGCGCCTAAAAGCAGCAGCAGCAGCACTTTAAGCTCTTCCTGCCCCTGCCCACTGCTCCGTTTAGCAAAATATATATATGTATATATGTAGATCTTGATCCTCTCAACAGGCCTTCTCTACTTCTCCCCCCTCCCCCCTCCTCGATGCCTTCTGAAGTGTCTCTACCGCTGCACACCCGGCGCTTCCAAAGCCTCGATCATGTCGCTTCAAAGCTCATCCTTCATCGACTCTCCGCCAAAGTTGAGGCCGTTCAAGATATCATCCGGCAGACCGCTCTCTTCGGCGTCTTTCTCCGCTTGATTCGCGTCCTCTGCTTCCTCTTCCTCCGGCAATTCAAGATCTTCGTTGAGCGGATTCTCGGTGTCTACCCCCGCCTGCTTAGCCAGTCCTTGGTACAAAACTGCTGCGAGATCTGCAGGCTTCTCAACGTCGAAGCCAGACGCGAGCATAGCTGCTCCGAAAAGCTGCTCTGCCAGTGCCTTGTCGGCATCGGCCATGCCACTCTCCCCCACCTCCTTCACGCGGCTAAGAAGGTGCTGCATCACTTTATGGCTGGGATTCACCTCGAAGATCTTCTGCCCTTGCATCATCCGAATGTGCATTGGATCGGCGAAAGTCTGTGTCTTCATGACCTTTTCCATCTGTGCCGAATAACCCCACTGGGAAGCAACGACGGCGCAAGGAGCTTCCACCAAGCGCTTCGACAGCTCAACCTTCGTGACTTTAGGCCCTAACAGAGACTTCAGCCACTTCAGCAGAGGCGCGAAGAAAGTGGAAAGACGCTTATACCGCTTCTTCTCGTCCGCCGTCTCCACCAAAGTCAAGTTGCCCTTCTGAACGGACTCGAACTTTTTGCCTGAGCAGCCATAGCCACCAAGAACGACAGCACATTCATAGTGTACAGCCACCCCCTCACTCACGCATGACCCCCATCTCCTCAAACACCGATCGCATCCTAAAATGAACGTACAGCTAATTCTATGCAAGGACATAAAAAGTGCATGCAAGACTTTTCCCCAAAAAACACGAATGATTCAATACTCCTCCCCCCTCCCTACCCCCCGTCCGTACCGTCAAAATCTCCGAGCCTCTGAACACAAGGCTCGTCCATGGCTTCAATAAGGAGAAGGACCTCGATATCCTTCTTTCTGAAAATCTGCATTTGCGGCTGAGCCAGCAGCTGCTCGACAGTTTCTCCCGCCGCGTAGTAGATGGCGCTCTGACCTTCCTTCATGCGCTGTATGTACAGCTCGAGAGAAATGGGCTCGGTAGGGCTTTTTGTGGAGAAAAACTGGAGAACCTTCGCGATCTTGGAACGATTGCTGTCATCCTCGTAGCATCCAAGCATGAGGTTTCTGCTGAATTCTTTGTAGAACTGATCGAACTGTGTTGGCTCCTTCAGTTGCTTCTTCAGTTCCTTCTTCTTCTCCTCGTCATCGGCGTCCTCTAGCGCCTTCTTCTGCTCCTCCCGCGCCTTGGCGCTGTCGAGAAACATCTTGCGGATGGTGTCAAGTGTCTTCCTGACGACCTTCTTGCTGATGATGCCGAGGATCTTGTGCTGCTGCAGCTGCTCCCGAGAGACGTTCAGCGGGAGATCATCGGAGTCAATTACACCCCTGACAAAGTGCAGGTACTTGGGGAGCATGTCGTCGAACACGTCGGCAACCAGCACGCGCCGTACGTACAGCTTGATGCTCGTCTGCTTGCCAAAGTATTGAGTGAACACGTCGGCTGGAGACCTCTTGGGAATAAAAAGAAGTGCCCTGAACTCAGCCTCTCCCTCGGCATTGAAATGCATGTGCACGAGCGGCTCACTCCAATCCTTCGTCAGAGACTTGTAGAAGTCGGTGTACTCAGCTTCCGTAACATCCTCCTTGGGACGTAGCCAAATCGCCTTCTGCTGGTTGATCTGCTCCCAAGTTTCGACTTCCTTCTCTACCGTCTTTGTCTTTTTCTTCTTCTATGCATGCATGCACGCACACAGAAGCACAGGCGAAAAAACGACGCCGCAGTTCGCTCGCTTGTCCTCTTCGACGCGCAACGACCCTTGAATACGAGAAAGAGCACCCACCCCCGCCTCTCCCCGAATTGAATGCACATCTAAAACAAGAAACATGCCACCCTCTCCAATTCTACACGTGCGTATCTCTTCCATGAATCTGAAATTGCGCACCGCTCTACGCCTGCAGAGGAGAGAACTGGAGACAGACAGACTGCATGCGCGCGATCATGAAGCACATAACAACAGTCCCTCATCGACCTCTGAGCGCATGCCTCTCGCTTACGTCTTTCTCATCTTTTTCTTCCTCTTCGTCATCATGAACTTCGACATCGCCTTCCTTCTCAGCGTCGTCTTGGCCTTCCTGCGAGGCTTCTTTGGCAGCAGTCTCTTCTTCCTCCTCCACAGGCACCTCTTCGGAGACAGTCTTCGTCGTCTTGAGGTAGATGGGGTAAGACATGAACTGGCTGTACCTGCTGATGAGCTCCCTGAGTCTGTAGACGTCGAGAAACTCGGTGGCATCTTCTTTGAGGTGCAGCAAGACGCAAGTGCCGCGCTGCAGCGTGTTGCCTCTTGGATCTTTCTCGACGTAGTACTTGGCATCCGCAGACGACTCCCAGACGTACTGCTCGTCTTCTCTGTTCTTGGAAATCACGGTTACTCGATCCGCGACGAGAAAGGCGGAGTAGAAGCCAACTCCGAACTGCCCAATCAAACTGACATCGTTGTTGCTGCTTGCCAGAGCTTCTAGGAAGTTGCTCGTGCCCGACTTGGCAACGGTCCCCAAGTTGGTGATCAGCTCCTGCTTCGTCATCCCCACGCCTGTATCGCAGATGGAAAGCACTTTCTGCTGCGGATCGGCTTCGACGTGGATAGCCAGCTGCTGCTGCTGCTCTTGCTGCTGCTGCTCGTTGCTTCCCGAGCCGCCGGAGATCGACAGAAAACGAGCTTTCTCGAGGGCGTCGACGGAGTTCGAGATCAACTCCCGCAGAAACACGTCTCGCTGCGTGTAGAGAGAATTGATGATTATGTCCATCAAGCGCGTGACTTCCGCTTGGTACTCGTGCATCTCCTGGCTGCTGCTGCCGCCTTCCCCTCGCGCGCTGCGCGCGGCTGAGAGGGCAGACAGCACCTCGCTGGTGCTGGGAACCTCCGCAGCAGCACTGCCTGCTGAAGCTGCATCGTCTGCTCGCGAGAAAGAGTAGCCAAGACATAAGGCCAGACCCCCCGCGATCAACGCCAAAAGCGGTGCCATTGCTGCCGAAGGCGGAGAAAAAGACTTCCAGACGCTTTGCGCGCAAAAATGCGAGCGCAGGAGACGCCCTTCTCGAAAAAGAGAGACGCAGGGATGGCAGAACCGCCGCAACACTCCCCTGCTGCAGGAAAGCGCGCTTGAAAAAGCAGCGACTGGACGGAAGAAATCTAACAGGCACGCCTGGGAGGAAGTCGCTTAGCAGCGAAGAGCAACCCTGCGGAAACGGCATCCACAGAAACACCACGGAGACATATACATACATACACACCCCCAAACGCATGCATCCATGCATGCACAATGTACAGGGAGAAGGGAGTGCCGTGCTGATGCGCAGATACGATGGGGGCAACTACTTCCAGTGCGACTCGTTGCCTCCGCTGTCTCGCGGCTCCAATTGACTCCGTTAAGGGTCTTACGAGCAGCAGAAATACGCGGAAAAAGTGCTTTAAGCTGAATTAACTGTAGTTAAAGGCCTAAAGAGCAAGAGACACGCCCTCCACCCTTCGAATGCAACTGTTTGAAGCACGCTTACGTGTGAAGAGCGACGGCAGCAGGACGAAACGTGACAGAATGCAACGCACTATGAGCGTGCCTTCAAAATGCCAAGAGAGCTAATCACTAGGTGCAGATACGCCTGACAACACTCAGGACGCCACTAGGCAGCAAAACTCCTGAAGCAACGGCAAGCTCACACTTAATACACCGCAGCGACGGTGTAGAGAGGGTTGTAGGCAGGAGGGATCGCATGGGATGGCATGCCCACTAGCAGCACTGCAGCATGCTGCAGCAGCATGCTGCTGCTGCAGTGCTGCTGCTGCTGCAGTGCTGCTGCTGCTGCTGCTGCTGCTGCAGTGCTGCTGCTGCTGCAGTGCTGCTGCTGCAGTGTACTGTATGCACAGGGTGCCCCCTGCCTGCGTGTGCCTGGCACACTACCACCTTACGGGAGGCGCCCTAAGAAACCACTCCGATTCTCCTTCCCATAAATGTTAATAAGAGTAATAGAAAATTACAAAGTAGCACACAACTGTGAGCGCGTTTCCTGTCTTCTAAAGAAAGCAACCAGGCTGCCGCGCAGCACGGTGTACCGACGGAGAAAAGGGGCAGCAGCAGCAGACAGCTGCGTCTGTTGTTGCTGCTGCTGTTGCAAGGCTTCCTCTTCTCCTAAAGCAGACATGCCGAGTCAATGTGTTTGTACTGCATCTGTACGTATTTTTGCGGCTTGTATCTACGCAGTTCGTGCTATTCATCCAGCAAGCGGCAACAACTCCCAGGTGGCTCCTACCACAAGCGGCGGGAATTACGGCTGGTAGAGCGAAAGCAGGGAGACCAAGAGCCGCATCAGAAGCCACGCGTTCACTCTTTGTGCTCCCTCTAAAAGTCGTTCTTAGCGTCTTTGTGGCTTTTCGCTGTTTCACGCCTCTCCACAGACGCAGGTAGCCGGGGAGAAGGGGTCTCCCTGGAGGAGAGCAGAGGGAGAGGACCGTGAAACAATCAAAAAGGAGGGGCATCTAAGCCCTCAAGAATCCACAGCGATGAGCGACGCACTCGCAGGTGTCTTTGCAGCTCTGTTTCCGCCAGGCCCACCCTCTAGGATGCAGCAGAATCAACGCTCAATGCAGAAGGCCCTGCAATTTCGTATAGCTGTATATACACCCAGGAAATCGGCGAGTCATAAGCCTTGAAAATCAGGAAACGGCCTCATTATAAGTGCGCTGTAGCAGCAGCAGAAGAAGATCACGTGTCGTGAGGATCGCGCTGTCATTCTGCATCATCGGGAGGTTGAACGCTCGCTCAAAGCAGCCAGAACAAGAGAAACAACAGGATCCGTTTTTTCTGCCGAGTCTTATCCGCAGCAACTGCGCCTTCTGCAGGCTCAGGAAGGCGGTGCAGCTGCCGAAGCTGTAAGCAAAGAACTTTTTCTTGGGGGAGATACGTAGACAGACTGACAGACAGAGAAGCGTGTTCGTCTGCCTAGGGGGGCCCCAAGGGGCCCCCCTAGGCAGCTGCCACCAACAATATGACGCTTAAAGCGCCTGTGTATGGTATATGTATGGGCATGCTGGCGGATATGCATGTAGGTGGATATGTATGAAGGTGTACAATACGTACATGCGTGGATGTACGTGTGTGCAGCTATGTACGTATGTGTATGTGTGGAGGTGCAGGCATGTATGCGTGTGTATGCATATGGATGTAGGCCACTCTGTGTGCTCATCTGCCTAATCCTTGGTATATACACTTCGAGAAACACGATGCGCTTCATTGAATGCCCCCCCTTGACGCGGCTATGTGCATTGCTGCACAATTTGGATGTGGGAGATCGAGTAATAAGAGGTCGTCTCGAGCTGCTCTCGACAGCGGAAGGGGGTCCGCAGGAGAGGAATTTGATGGAGAGGATCGAGTCGGAATTGCATTCCTCCCCTCTCTTCGCTGCATCTTCGCCTCCGCCGTTGCTGCTGTCGCCACTGGCTGCCACTGCGAGCAGCAGCAGCGGAAGCAGCAGCAGCAGCGGCGGCAGCAGCAGCAGGCGGCAGCAAGATCCTAGGCACCCCACAGCAAAAGGAAGGGAGCTTCTGGTTAATCTGATCAGCACACTGAACCAGTGCTTCCCAGACTTCGAATTCAGGTGCTCCTCCTTTTACACATGGCGGGAGAATGTTGGGGGAAGGGGGGAAATTCTGAAGAGGACTTGCTTTCTGCGTAGCTGTATACTTCTTGGGAAGGTTGGCGTGACAGCGGAAAGGGTTGTTTTGTTCGAGTGCCAGCAGGGATTTGGCGGTATGTGGGGGCTGTTTCGTGAGGCATGTATTTATTTATAGACATGGCTGGCGTTTGTGGTATGGCTGGCGTTTGTGGTATGTATATATGTGTGTCTGTGTGTGTATATGTGTGTCTGTGTATATATGTGTGTATATGTGTGTCTGTGTGTGCATATGTGTGTATATGTGTGTCTGTGTATATATGTGTATATGTGTGTGTATATGTGTGTATATGTGTGTGTATATGTGTGTCTGTGTGTGTATATGTGTGTATATGTGTATGTGTGTGTATGTGTGTATATGTGTATGTGTGTGTATGTGTGTATATATATGTGTATGGATTCAGCAGCACGCTGACACCCGCGATGTTTCGTGAGGAACCGAGTGTATACGCAGTGCAAGCAGACATTAATGAGCGGCTGGCTAGTGTTGAACGTGTTCTTCCTGGCTTTATTTATCAGCTGTGGGAGGCGATTGGAGTAAGTTTTTTCTTCTAGTCGCGAGCGCAATGGCTATGCGGCAGTGGTGGTTCAGCCTGTCCCTTCGGGGAGTTGGTGTGGTGGAAAGGGAGGGGTTGTTGTGGAGTGTGTTCGGGTGTGGTGGAAAGGGAGGGGGGTTGGTGTAGGGGAAGAGGTGCAATCGCAATTTCTGCTGGGTGTGGTGTGTGGCGCTTCCATTATTTTAATCTGTACGGATACGGGGTCTAGAGTATTTGTGGTTCGCGGAAATATCACGATTTCGACTTTGTGTCGGTGCGTTTTGTTGCTGCAGTCCGCAGTGTCGCTTGGGGGGTGCTCGGTGTACAGTCACATGGCGAGTGGATCGGAGGATCCGACGCCTCTGATTTCGCTGTTTGCTCCTATTGGCGGAGGAGGGGGCGCTGCATCCCCCATGGTGTCGCTCTCCTCCTTCTTTTACTTCTTCCTAGATCGCCAGCGGTGCAGACTTCTCTTTTTCGCTTGTGGTAGCAACTGCAAGCTTAGCAGCCCTTGCTGGCTGAATGGGGGTGAGGGTGAAGGCACCGAAGCCGTGGAAGATACAGATGAAGTGGATATTGGTATGTTCACCGATTTGTGGTCGTTGATTTGTGTGCGTGTGTGTGTTGGTTATTCCTTTTTGTCGGGATTGTGTATGTGCGTGATTGTACTACTGCTGCTGTTGCTGTTACTGATGCTGTTGCTGCTACTGTTGCTGTCGCCTCGTTTGAGTTGCCTAATCGTGTGCTTTTTGAAGGAGTGGGTGCATTGTAGGGTTTGAAGGGTCTTTGTGGCTGCGTATGGTGTTGGTGCTGCGGGTACGCTCATCGCATTTCGTTTTGCAGGTGAGGTGTACGGAGCAGAAGTGCCGGTGCAAGTGGAGGCTGAGGCTGTGGAAGAGGCAGACAGTCTCTCCGATCTCGAGTTGCCCTCGTCTGCGTGTGCCTACGCCTGAGCATGCCGTAAAATGCGGGGGTTATGCGTGCTTGGGGTGTATCGACGGTGGATTATCACACAGATCCCGGGACCGTTTCCTTGGCGTGCATGTGCATTTTGCATTTCTCTTCCCAAGATCCTCCTAATATGCACACCCTCAAAACCGCGCGGCGGAAATATATATACATATATGTACATGTATTCCTCCGTCCGTGCATTCTCTTGTTGAGGAGCACGTGCAGGTAATCGGAGAGTTAATTTGGAGTGGCGGAACGAGCGCCTTCCTTCAGGCTTTCGTCGAAAGCTTGCGAGGGGTGTCTCTTCGCGCCCTCTGTAGTATCGGGTTTAAAGCCTCATGCGCCAGCCCGTCTATCGACTGCAGTTTTCATCGCCAAAAGTCAGCCTTAGGGCATGTAGAGGGCGTACACCCCGTGCAACAGGGGTGGGGGTATATTGGAGGCGGTGCGATCGCTGCCGTCTTGCCCCTCCCTTTCGCTCGCCTTAAGGGGCCTTTACTGCCTCGGAGCACGCTTCGAGGTTGATAGCTATAAAAGTTAGTAGCCAAACAGACGGGCAGGCTGGATTGGTGTGGGAGATGTGCGGTTAGACGGGGAGAGCGCGTGATTTGTCGCTAGCTTTCAATAGTTGGAGTGAGCGGGTGCAGCGAGCTGCTCTGCACCGATGCGTTGATGGGCCTGGTGCCTTTTCGCGCGGCTTTTTACCCTTCATGAGGGATGCGGTAGGACGCAGCAGAACGTGCGAACTAAAAGCGGGGAGCAGAAGGAAAGAGGCTTTCCTACAAACGGCGTAGTTGAGGCAACGGGGCCAGTTAAAGAAGAGAGAAGCAGGGTTGTTGCCCTCCTGCAGCCTGAGCTCACTCCTAGCACATGCACCTGCGGCTAGGCTGCTTAGGAGCATGCGCAGATTCGTTGCTGCTCAGCAGGCGGTTGCACGGATATGGCAGCGAAAAGAAAGGAACGGTCTAAGTGTGGTGCATAGACTCCGTGCAGCTTACCGCTAAAAGAGAAAGCGAACACGCGTGTGCATGCAGCTGCCTGGACAAACGATTGCTTGACTGCCTGCCTGCGTGCGGAGGGGCACATACACGCTCTCGCAGAACGCAGGAAACGTGGCTGTTGCAGTTGTACGATTGCTGGTGTTGCGAGGGGTTCAGTGCAACCGCAATTCGGGGGGCATGTTGGCGTGAAAAATCGCTATTCGTTCACCTCTTTCCCTTTATACGGATAGTGCATCGGTGTATGGCACTTTTCTGAACCTCAGGTGTGCACTTTTGCATGCTCCGATTTTGAATGCCAGCTGCCACCCCCCCCCCCATCTGCTCTGTTGCCTCAGATCATCCTCTCTCCTTAAAAACCCTTGTGATTTGCATGCTCGGTGGCTCTCTGTATTCTGGATCTGCTCCAAGACACTGTTGAGCTCGCTGCTCTCCCCTCGCAAAGGTGTGCGTCGTTTTCAGGTGTATGCTCTCGTCGGTTTCACCCCCTTGCGTTCCGCCGTCCGTTTACCACAGTGGAATTTCACAGGCAAGCTTTGTGCATTAGACGTGTGAGAGAGGTCTTATGCGCGAAAATCAAGGTTGAGTAGTGCGCGTTACTCCATTTGGCAGTTGGACAAGTCAGGAATGGTAGGGTATGCAAATGCAATTGCCACCCCATCTGTATTTTTTTAATGGACAGTATCACACTTTTCCTCTGGTGGTCTGTTTATGTGTGTGTGCCTTTGTATATTCAGATATACATGTATACATATAAATACATGTATATAAATACATGTATGAATATGTATATGCGGGTAAATGTGTGTGTGTGTACATATATATGTGGACATACATCTCTTTTCGTCTCTCTCTCTCTCTATACATATATGTATATATATATTATATATAAATGTACATATACTTAGATATACTTGTCTTAGTGTGCTTCCTTCTAGTCATGCCGCACGCCGTATGGCAACTTTTTGCAAAAGCACTCTCCTCCCAGACTCCTTAGAGGGAGTAGGCGCCAAGGGTCAAGGCTTCTTAGTGTGTCAGTGTTCCTCCCTTCTGCTCCCAATAGCATTTCGCGCATCTTTACCCCCTTCCTGCCCGTCCACCAACTGTTGATTGCTTCTCTGACCGGTGACAAGAGTAGCTTCTGCTTCTCCTGTAACCTCCCTCTCCAGGCGTTGTCTGCCGTTTAATTTGCAAGCAGGTTGCAGCTTGAATCTTCTACTAGCGCACACGCTTCTGCCCTTTTGTTTGCGGCGTAACATAGGTTGGTTGTTCAGGGTCGTGTTCTCCTTCCCTTTTTGCCTGTCTCCCTGCATAATCTGTGTGTATGTGTGTCTTCATTTGCATGCTTCTCGCCGTGGCAATCCCCTGTCGCGTTCCCCCCCTCTTCATGAGGCGAAGCAGCAGGTAGCAGCTGCCTCAGGCGTTCCAAGAAAAGGCAACTCAAAGCAGCCAGCCGCTTAAAGACCTCTAGGAGGCTGTCAAAGGCAGTCACATCCAGGTGATCTGTAGCAGCAGACTCTTGAAAAAGTGCATGTGCGGGTGCTCAAGATTGAGATGCCGAGCCACTGCATTCATGCGCTGCTGCTGCAACATGCAGCAGCATTTTCATCATCAGCAGCAGCGAGAGAGAGAGAAGAGAAAGTCGCCGCTCGAGGATCAGAGCGAGCGGCGTACTGTTGCAGCCGAGACGTTAGTCTGTCTGTGCCTTTCTTGCCGTATTCACACTACGCCGTAACTCTCTGCCTCGTGTAGCCCCTTCTTCTGCTAAATCTGCCTATCCTCGCTATTTAACGTGCATGCATGTGCATGCGTTTCTAAAAGCTACAAAAAGGCTGCTGCTCTGCCTAAGTGGTGCTGCTCGATGGAGAAAGCTGCATGCGCATCGAAATGCTCCCTCCCGACGATTCGACCGCGCGAATGTAGTAGTCAGCAGCACACCTCCTCTCGAGTGGAGTGTCATAATACACCTCCCCAGAGAGACTGTCTGTCCCTTGCGTTTGCATGCTGCCTGCACTTTGAGGCTGTCTTGCTCGAAGTGCAGCAGCGCATGCCGCATACACCCCTGAACCTATCGCTGCGCTTCGCCTCCCAGCGTGTACCCTCTTCCAGAAAAGGGTTGAGTGGTTGAGCCTCTTTGACGGACTCCCCACGCTGTGCCTCCCCCCCCCGCATGTGTTGTTGCGCCTCCCCCCCCCGCAGACACTGAGGCTCCTCCCGTTCGGAAGCGGGGGGCCCCCCCTGAGCCTCCCGAGGGGCCCCCACCGCCGTGGGGGGGAGGCGCGTTCGAAACGCATGCAGCCGCCATATCCAGCAGCTTTGGGGCTTGAGTCAGCAAATCAGGGCCTCCTAGAAAACGACATTTCATGCACATACACATATGCATCCACATATAGATACACAAATACACATATAGATACACAAATACATACACATATAGATATACAAATACATCCACATACAGATATACAAATACATACACATATAGATATACAAATACATACACATACATGTACACATATGCATCCACATACAGATACACAAATACACATATAGATACACATATACATACACACGTACATATACATACATACACATATACGTACATTCACATGTAGATACACATATAGACACATACATACACATATAGATACACAAATACATACACATATAGATATACATACACATACACACACACGCATAGATACACATACATATACACACAGACATACACATATAGATACACATAAACACACATACATACACAATACATACATACACATATACACACATACATATAAACATATGCATACACATATACACACATATGCATACACATATAGATACACATATACACACATACAAGACACACGTACATACACATGTAGATACACATATACATACATACACATATAGATACACATATACATACATACATAAACATACGCACATACATGCACATATGCATACCCATATACACACATACATACACATATAGATACACATCGACGTACATACATATACACATATGCATACACATATACACACATACATAGACACACATACATAGACATACATATACACTTATGCATACACATATACACACAGACATACACATATAGATACACATATACACACATACATAGACATACATATACACACATACATAGACACACATATAGATACACATAGACACACATACATAGACATACATATACACACATACATAGACACACATACAGATACACCGCACAATGTCTCCCCGTGGGTGTCGCAGTCAGTTTGGGGTAGCGTACCCCCACCGTGTGTGGAGCAGCAGGAACGCTAAAATAGGTGTGTTTTGGTGATTTTTACACGCTTTTTTTTTCTATAAAAGGGCTCCTGCGGAGCAGTACTGTAGAAAGCGGTGCAGACTGTCTCACCATGTGCCGGCAGGATTTCCCTCAGGAAGTAATACGCATGCCCTGCTGCCAGACCAAACGCATCTAGCCACAAGTCTCTGCCCATGAGGAGGTGCAAAAGCAAAAGGAGGAAGGGCAGCTGATACCCCTGCACGGTGAGGAAGGAGACTGAAACAGGTGTATATGCTTCTCGGCGAGACCAATAGTAGAGACAAGCGAAGAGCAAACCTTCCCCATGGAAATACACGCCTAAAAGCGCATGCAGCACAATGCAGCACAAGGAAGCCCCAGTGTGTCTCAGAAAGGGAAGGCAGGAGGGGGGAGAAAAGCACAGGAGGCGTTTATTGATGTGTCGAGGGCGAGGAGGCTGAGTCTCTCCGCGGGGAGGATCACCGTTGGCAGCGGGGGGAGCAAGCGACGCCACGCAAGGCAGAGAACAACAAGTATCGAGAGAGAGAAGCAGCAAGAGGAAAAAGCAGTCAGCGTGGGAAAGCAGAAAGGGAGAGCCGCCGCGAGTCGCGGCTGTGCAAATGCAGAAAATGCATGCAGGAGGAGGCTCCCAACACGCGACACGTCATGTGCTGACGGATAATACCTGAAGGCCAAAAGACGAGGAGAGACAGCAGGGAGGTGATGAGCGTAACAATGAGAACGAAGAGCAGGTAGGCCCCCTTGGAAGCCTGGCGAAAGACTGCGTTCGACTCGAGATCGCCGCTAACTTGCAGCCACATATACATATGAAACACCCAGCCGAGGGAGAAGCGTCCAACGTAGAGCAGCGTCGTGAAGAGCCGCCAAATCTGAAGCTTGAAGATCGCGAGGCTCCAGTCTAGCATCAGCAACTCTACAGGCAGCAACCCCAGGTTTGTCAAGAGAGTCAATACAAAGGTGGCAGTGGCAATCGCGCGCGTGATTGGAGGCTGCGACAGATACCACGCCTCAGGGCCTGCAGCGGCTGCGCCGCTCAGACCTCCCAGTGTTCCCATCGTAGGATCCATGATGAAGTGCTGTGTGTGCGACGACGGACGTCTGGGGTGAGCCGGTGAGTCGGCAGCCGAGCCAGTTGTGTGGGTGCGCGCGGGCAGGGATGACGGCGAGATGTGGCGCATGCATAAAGCGGTAGAAATTCAAGCTATAAAGTGAAGAAGGAGAGGGGAGAGGGCAGATCACAGGAACAATGTATGGGCAAGAATAAGACAGCGCATCGCATCGCGGTTCCCCAAGTGTACGGACAGCAATGACTGACTGGATGTCTTGCCGATGGGAGACATGCAGAGCGTCTTGCTCCCCTAAGAGAAAAACGGAGCAGAATACTGCCTCTTTAATATCCCCCTTTCACTGAAAATATCAGAGTACATCTGCGGAGGAACACCTCGGAACCGCCACGGCGCCGTCGGCAGTTACCGCCACCCCTCCGCTGCTGAATTCAAGAAAAAAACAATAGACATCCGTGATAGAGTTATATCTATCTTCTTATATGAAAAAAGGCACATTAGTACTTTATTCATCATAAACAGAGAGAAGGACACTCCAAGCGCTAGAAATGTAGCATTTTTGCTCCCGTTAACGAATAGTACATTTTCCAGAAAAAGTCGATCCAGCGCTACGCGTAGGCCGGCAAAATGGATAAACCCATGCCTTACTGGCAGTGCACAACATCAATAATCGAAAATATTAACAGTGACCTTTTTCGTAGCTTCAACAAAAAGTGCCACCGCAGGTACCATACCTTGCATGCTCTGGTGGTGGGACACACAAGAGGGGTGTTACACCTGTACAAAAGGTGGTACGGCGCTCTCGACGTCGCCCTTGAGCTAGCCCTATGTATCTGTGTAGTTGCAGGAAGGGGCGGCGTTCGCACAGGATTTTCAGAGCAAGCATACTCAGCTCTGAAGCGCCAACGCCTGTGACAAAGATTCCCGTAGGCCGTGTGAGATGCTGCATTTCCTTTGCGTTATTCATTTTCACCTTGCGCGGCGTAGTTCATGAAGGTGGCGTGCCAAATTAACGGAACGTGGGCAACATGGCACCCACCCTCAACGACGCCTTTCTTCGCGGTAGAACCAGCGGGTACGGCTCGTGTAGGATATTCCTGCAGCTCAACTATTATTGAATAGAGGATCGACTTTTACTTTGGCTGATTGTATGCGCGGCCTGATGGAGAATATAGAGGCCGCTCCTGCAATGCAGCAGGCCCCCAAACTTTGAGCCCCTCTGTGCTCGAGAAATTCAGTACGGAAGAATAAGTGTGATTGACTGCTCTATGAGTAATCAGAGGGCATGGAAGCGCAGATACATCGTAGGAGGGCTTCTTCCTCTTCCCCTTCCTGCCACGACTGTGAGGCGACCTTGTAGGCGGCAGGTAAGGGAGGGGGAAGAAGGGACGCTCTTTGGAGGAAAACTCTGAAAGATTTCAAGTACAACTTTGTCGGGGGCTTGGGGATCATGGAGAGGGTCTTCCCACGCAGCTCTAAGAGAAGGAGCACTGCACTGTGCACATGGCGGTAGGTGTGCACCAGCGAGAAGGGTGGGAGCTAAAGCTTCTGGCGTAGTACAAGTAGTCCTCAACTACACTCGGCAGATAAGAGAGGCCTCTGCCGTTCCAGCAGAAACCGCTCTAAGAGACTGCAGTGTCTGACTCGCGGTGCCTCATTGTGGAAGAAGCGTTTACTGCAGCGTGCTGCACGTAGCGAATTTTCGCTGTTACACCCGCAGAGCCCGCAGGACGCTTCTTTTTTTCGGGTGTATGTACACCTCTCTTTCCGCGCCTCTTTCACAACGAAGAGCTGTGGCTAGCTGCAATCAGCAGCTAGGGACCTCGTTGGTGCTTCAGTCCACCCTCCCCCTCCTCTCATGCCTCCTCCCCTGTGAGCGGGGAGCCTCGAGCTTGCACAAATGCGCTCAAGAGACACAAAAAGTGTCGAATTGGGGGGTCCTACGGCGACACAGAGACACAGAATCAGGCCGGTCAGAAACACGGCGTCTCTCTGGCCTCAGAATTTTGAGCGCGATATCCAATTTCATGAAGGAAAAAAGCAACGCCTGCTTGCTTCTTTCTCTCGCTCTCTGGCTCTCCGCTGCCGGCTAGTTGCTGCTGCGAGAGAGCAGCACTTGCCGCAGTGCCCCTTTCTTTACGCTTCGACACCCTCTGCGGCACTTTCAATCCTGCTGCTGCTTCTCCGGAGCCACCCCGTCCACGTCCATGGAGTTGCTTCCTGGCACAGAAGTCGCCCCCAAGTCTGCGGCTGTTGCTTCCGTGGCAGCCGCATCCTCTACAGGTGCCTCTCTAAGTGCAGACGCTGCACTTGGAGTTTCCTCGTGCTGCTGAGGCGTGCACGACCCCGTGCTGCTGCCGCAGCATTCAGAGGCAGCGTTTGCTGCTGCTCCTGCAGCATTAGGAGACGCCTCTTTAGAACTAGCAACGCGTGCCTTGCTGTCACTGCTGTCGCGTTTCGGGGGTGTTCGGGGTTCACCACCCCTCTCTATGTCGGCTAAAATCTCGCCAAGCCCCTCGCACGTCGTCTGCGCCAACACGAACCGCAGAAACAGCAGCAGCAGCGGGAACGACGTGCACACCGCCTCTGCAGAAGCAGCAGCCAGCAGCCGCGCAGCAGAACGTGCAGCAGCAAGGGAAGGCGGCAAAAGCACGCAGCAGCGATTCAGTGCAAGTCTACGGCAGAGCTACTGACAGCTTTTAGAGGCAAAAGATCAAATCTGTCAGAGTGGAAGAGATTAAAAAGCCGTTGCATGCGCTTCACGAAGAACGGATTGGCAGCGCTGGCCTCCTCCGCTCCCACACCGCTGTCTGGATCTGCATCTTGCTGCAACTTTAGGGAGTAGTCCTTCAATTTGTGCTGCAGCTTTTCCGTTAATCCGAGCTGCAAATGGTGGCATACATACACCGCCAGATGAGGGAGTCGGAGATGACGATCACAGCCAAAAGTGTATAGACAAATAGACAGACAGACAGATAAATAGACAGACACATAGATAGATAGATAAATAGAGAGATAAATAGATAAATAGATAGATAGATCGATAGATAGATAGATCGATAGATACAGAGAGAGAGACACACACACACACACATACAGAGAGACAGAGACAGACAGAGAAGGAGAAAAAACGAGACAGATAGATAAAAAAAAGATAGAGAAAGGAAGATATATATAATATATATATATATAATATATATATATATATATATATATATATATATATATATTCAGACCACCCGCTGAATAGCATAAGATCACAAAGCAGCCGGGGGCTGTACGAACAACAAGGGGCAGGAGAGGCGTCTCCACGCCAGACTGGCGAATAAATACAGCGCGTGAGCGCACAGTTATGCAGGCGTAGTTGACAAACCTCGAGATAGTTTTTAGGGGGAGGGTTATCTTCTAGCAAGCACCACTCCTCTGCCTGCCGCAGCAGCGATACAGGGGGTGGCTGCAGCAGGGGGAAGGGAGGTGCAGCACTTGACTGCGACGACCTCTCGGCAGGAGACGCTGCTGGAGTCTCCCACAGCAGCAGCCAGTCGTAGAAGTCTTCTAAATTCTCCGCAGCACTGCCTATAGCTACACCCAGAACAAGACAGCGGTCACACAGAGCGCATGCAGCGGCTGCTGCATCTGGCAGCATCGTCATCGTCATTCCCGACTACATGCTTGCTGCAGCACATGCTACCTACCAGCGCGAGACTTTCGCCGCTTGCCACGGGGGAGAACACCTCCCGCAGCAGCTGCTGCTGCTGCAGCCTCCTTCTGGAGTGTCTCGGCAGTTTCAGCAGCAGGCTTATTTGCCGCAGCAATTGCTGCAGCCGCTGCCACAGCCAGCTCCTCGATTTCAGTGGTTTTAGAGACCTCTCCAGAAACCGCCGACGCTTCTTGCTGCTGCTGCTGCACTTTGTCTCCAGTTAGACCCTTGCCTGCTGCAGCTTCGGCTGCTGCGCTTAAAACGGGAGACTCTCCCCGAGGCAGCGGATGCGTGAGAGCACTCACCGCAAGGGATGTGCAGTGATTCAGGAGGGATACAGCAGCCATCGGACTGCTCTCACAGGGTGCTTTGCTGAGAACGCCTGGTGGAGATCTCGAATTCGCAACATATGGAGTTAAAGCGTCAGAAGAACGTGGCAAGAGGGCTCCCTCGAAGCTGCTGCGCCGCTTCCACGACTGCCACAGCTCCTCCGTGCAGAGCAGCTTCCAAAGAAGCGTCTGTTGCACGTTGCTGCTGCCGCTTGTGGTGGAGCTATCGCTTCCGAAGCCATCCGCAGCTACGCCACAGTTAGGGCAGCGATGTGAAGAGAAAGCCAGGCGAGTTACTCGTCCGACGCATGCATACAAATCTCGCAGAGCATCCTTTGCCTGCATGCAAGAGCACAACCAACGCCAACGACAGCATTTTGCGCCCACTACAAGGAACGACGGCGGGCAGCTCCCACGCAGCAGCACAAAAAACAACACCAACACAGACACACACCCTCGAGAGACAGACAGAGAGAGAGGGAGGGATTTCGCATAAACACACACTCTGTAGAAAAAGAGTGAAAAGCTGCAACACGACAGCAGCCTGCATATGCATATATATATATACACATACATACATATATTTTATATATACCTATGTATATCTATGCATGTATATATCTATTCATGCAGATATATCTATGCATGTATATATCTATTCATGCAGATATATCTATGCATGTATATATCTATTCATGCATAGATATATACATGCATAAACAAATTTACCGTTCCATCGAGAGCATTGAAACTGCTGTGTGTTTTTGCGTGTAACGCAGCAGCAGCAGCAGAGGGCTGCTGTCTCTCGCTTTCGTCTCTTTTTTGCTGCGGCTGCTGTGGTGTCTGGCAGCAACAGCTCGCAAGTGTCTGCAGTGCGAGACAACATCGGCAGCAGAATTCCTTGAAAAGCAAAGGGCTGCACAGGGAGCTTCTGAAGGCGGAAGAACCCAGTTCTAAGAGATCCAGGCAGCTTGCATGCTGCTCTAATCGACGCGCAAATTCAACACTGCTGCTTGTATCTGCCGCAGCTGGGGAAGCGGATGTAGCCTGAAGGGAACCAAGCGCGGAGACTTCCACTGCCCCTCCTGATTCGGCTGTTTTAATGCGTCCAACTTTGCCCACTCTGCAGTCACAGTAGGCGCACACCCTGTAGCTAGAGGAGCTGCTGCTGCTGCTGCTGCTGTTGTTGCTGCTGTTGTTGCTGCTTTGACGGTAGTGCTTCTCCAAGTATACGAGGACTTGTTGCACTGCGGAAACTGCAGCAAGCGTCGCTTCACTGCCTTTCGACAGCACCTGGTCTGGTGCTTGCAGAAAGTGCTGCGGAGAGAACAATAAAAGACATGCAGCAAAAGGGCATGGATACAATGCCGCCAGCGCTCCGCACGCAGCAGGAGCAGCAATATATGAATGAAGCAGCAGCAGGAGCAGCAATATATGAACGAAGCAGCAGGAGCAGCGATATATGAATGAAGCAGCAGCAGGAGCAGCAATATATGAACGAAGCAGCAGCAGCAATATATGAACGAAGCAGCAGTAGCAGCAATATATGAATGAAGTAGCAGCAGCAGCAGCAATATATGAATGAAGCAGCAGCAGCAATATATGAACGAAGCAGGAGCAGCAATATATGAATGAAGCAGGAGCAGCAATATATGAATGAAGCAGCAGGAGCAATATATGAACGAAGCGGCAGGAGCAGCAATATATGAATGAAGCAGTAGCAGGAGCAGCAATATATGAACGAAGCAGCAGTAGCAGCAATATATGAACGAAGCAGCAGTAGCAATATATGAATGAAGCAGTAGCAGCAATATATGAACGAAGTAGCAGCAGCAGCAGCAATATATGAATGAAGCAGTAGCAGCAATAAATGAAGCAGTAGCAGCAGCAGCAATATTAAAAACCTTGGCGAACCTGAGAGTTTGCATACGCCTGGTAGATGGTGTATGGACACTCGTCGCGCTGGACGGAATCATCGAATTCTGTGCCGTAAAAATTCCTGTGGCAGCACCGTCGCAGAAGACAGCTGCATCGAGACTGCTAAATGACTTCCCCGCAGCGACAGGAGAGCTGTACATACGCTTCCCGCTAGGAAGCAGAAAAGACGTACTGCCAAGTCTGTTCGCTGTCAAGGAGTGGCTTGGGTGTCTCTGCGCGCTGCAGCGTTCTGTTTGACACTGCAGCGCGCGCAAAAGCAGACGCAGACAACGCAGAAGGGAGAAAGCGGTGGTAAAAGGAAGAAAAACGCTGCCAATGCATGCAGCCTCGCTGTCGCGCCGCATGGGTTGTGTGCTGCAGCAGCGTTTGCCATCTTGCACCGGCACTGAGAGAGAGCAACAGCCTGCCTACCCCCTGCATGCGTCAAGGCAAGCACTTCCGCCAGCAGCAGTCGTAAGCTGAATGAGACACATACGCGCATGCGCACATACACATAGAATGCGCCGCAGACAGGCACAACAGTGTTGCCGGGAAAGAGCAGAAAAAGCTGCTCGGTGGAAAGAGGGGGTGCGTTGCGTTCGAGAAAAGACATGTACATATACACGGCGAGCGAGAGCGAAATATAACGACAATGATAATAGTAAAAAGATCCCGCACTTGCTGCGATTACAGCGGCAAGATGAAAGCTCCGTACTCAAAAATGAGGTTGGTGTACGGCGAAAGTCGAAGTCTTTCTTCCACAGCTTTGATCATTCCAATAACTTTAGCCCCTGCAACCTGCAGCACGAAGGGCAGCAGCGAAAAGCGCTTCTCAAGATTTCGCAGCTGTGCATGCAGACACCCAGGAAAGACGGCTGCTCTCGCCTGTGATTTCCGCGCTTCCCCCTGCAGAGACTTGCAAGTACCCACCTGCATGCGTCGCCTGCTTTCGGCTGCAGCCGCAGACACTGCATTCGCAGAGGGAGCAGCAGCAGCAGCAGCCGCATCGGCGGCGGCAGACTTGTCTTCGCGATTCTTGTGCTTAAAGGCGTATGCGCAGAGGCTCCGATTCTCTGCTAGGAGCTGAACAAGTGCAGGAAGAGCCTGCAGCGGCACTAGCTGCAGCAGCAACAAGCAAGCAGGAGCAAGCAGGAGCATGATTTCGAGGAACCTCTGGCAGAGAGAGGGATCTTTTTTCGCTTCTGCGTGCGCGGCGCATGCAGCTGCGTGCATGCGCATGGGGTGTGTAGGTTTGGCTGCGGGGAGCTTGCCGCTTTTCTGGAATCACCTTGCTGCACTCGGCGACAAAATCCACGAGGATGTTTAGATCCAGAGAGGGCTGCTGCTTCTGTGGCGGTGTGTCTTCAGAAGGCAGCAGCAAAAAGAAAAGGCGCAGTGTGCTCAGCAGCAGCTCCGTCTTCGCGTCCGTCCCCAGTGAGCTTTCAGCCTGCAACAAAAAGGGGAGAAGTCGGAGAGAAGAGGGCGCATGGCGGCGTCTCTCGAACTGAGAAGGATCGTCCTCTCGCAAGCCTCCATGGTGGCAAGCGCGAAGGCAACGTAATGCATGCGCGAAGGCAACATAATGCATGCGCGAAAAGCAGCCATCCGCAGAAGTAGGCTCCTAGGGGGGCTTGAGTTGCCGCGAACGGCAGCCTATCTTGCCCTTCCCCAGGAAAGCTCAGCGCGATTCAGATGCCGCAAGAACGTGAATTGAACCAGAGAACGATGCAGGAGAAAGCACAGGGAGGAGGAGCGTCGCTCACAAGGACGAAAGAGACGAACAGCCGCAATCCCTTCCCCCAAGCCTCCGCAGATCCGAAGCCGTTGCCTTGCAGACGTAGGTGCTCCGCGAGAAGTCTCCGAACATTGTTGCCCCTCAGCAAGCATATGCTGCTACGAGTGCTGTCTAGCGGTGTCTCTGCTGCGTCTGCGGCTGAGGCAGTGGCGAGCGCAGCTGGGCATACACCTCGCCCCTCCGTGAGGAGCGCGAACAGAAACGAAAAGACGCCCTGGGTTTGTTTGTCTCGGATGCTGGAGGTGGCTGCTGGAGGCTGTAGAGCCTCGGCAACGAAGATATTCAGCGGATTCTGCGGAGCGTGCCGCAGCGGCTCTGTAAGCTCCTCGGCTTGCAGCATTGCGGCAACTGCTGTTCACGCCGCAGCCGCAAGACTCCCTGCACTGAGAGAAGGCAGAAAAGAGACTTTTTGGAGCTTGCGCTGCGAGGGAGCAAGGCTCTCAGGCAGAGGTCCGGCTGTGGACGGGGGAGATACTGAACCACTGCCCTTTTATCCTTTTCTAATGAAGATTTTTCAGTAAAAAACTACAAAGAATGGACAATAAGTCCATAGAAATGCGCATGCACAGCTGCAGCTGCCACTGCCTTGCATGCATGCATGCAAGGCAGTGGCAGCTGCAGCTGTGCATGCGCGTCTGTGTAGGACCACGGTGGCACTTCGAGTGCATGCGTCTCTTTGTAGAGAGAGAACCTCTAGAAGACAGTCTGTGCACTTAACACAAATAAGTAAAGTGCGCCTAATTTTGAATTCCGTCATGGGGATGCCTGCTTTATACACCCCGTTGGGAGAGCGATCGTAGCCGGCGTATGTCGGCCTCCCCCGCAAGGGGGTCGAACACACGAGGCTCTTAAGGGTGTCTTGCTTTGTGCAGAGTTGTATTGCTGTTAGAGGCAAAGTACTGCGCTATCTAGAGCCTTTTTAGTTACTCGAAACGGTAAAGCTGCACTAAATTTAGACACATCCTGCCCCTGCCATTCCTTCCGCGGGAACAAGGCGCGTACCCCACGCGCCTTGTCGACCGCGGGAGAGGATGCAGCAGCGCTGCTGCTGATCCCATGAAAAATTAGGAGGCAGGGCCTGCTAATCCTTCAAATTCAGTTCTTTAGACCTCATTAGCAGTAACACAATAGGAAAAGAAGGAGAAAGACCGTAAAAGAAGAGCACGTTGGCTCCAGACAGGCTCCGCGAGCGCACACGCGGCAGGACGCTTGCGGCTGCTGCCGCTGCTGCAGCAGTGGCTGCAGCAGCAGTGGCTGCGGCTGGAGGCCATCAAACACCGTAATTTGCCGGCAGTTCATCCTTTCCGTTTCTTTAAGTGGCAACAATGGCTCCTATTGCGCGTCCTCTCTCTTCTGCGGCTGCAACATGCGCCGCGCGCATCGCTGTGCGGCTGCCTGCAACAGCAGCAGCAGCAGGCGTTCAGCAGCAGCAGCGCCAGCTACACACGTCGGGTGTCCGTACAGCTGGCACGAAGATCTCCCCGTCGGAAATGGCGAAGCTCCTCGAGCAGAGGATCGGCGGATGGACGGCTCAGGTGCGTGGGGCTGCATGCAGGTTGCCGAATGTGTGTCTCGAGCACAGGCTTCAAGCTCCCTGAACGCGATCCACAGGATCAGAGCGTAGAGATGTTGTGCGCCGTCGTGTGTAGGCGTGACATGGAGGGGCAAAGCTTTGCTCCTTGAGCCTCCACAGGAAGCCTACCGTAGCTGCCACACTCGACCAGCGTTCTCGCCAGTAGTAGACGACTGCGTCGACTGGTTCTGAACTTCAGCTCTTCGATGCTGCTTAGTCTGTAGACCTTTGGTGTGTGAGCAAGTGTTGGAATCGGGTTGTGTGTGCTTGTGCTGCTGCTGGTGCTCGCTGGCATAGACAGCTTCGATGCAAGACGTGCATGTGTCTACGCCTTGCTGCCGATACACCGCACAGCGTCGCCTCCTATGCTTCGTGCTGTAGCTTCATATCTGCGTACCTCCCAATATTTTCAATTCTCGCTTTCCTTATTTGCTGCCTTTAAATGTACACACATACACAATGTACGCATGTATGTGCATGTATGTATTTGTGTATGTATTTATGTATCTATGTATGTGCATGTATGTATTTGTGCATGTATTCGTGTATGTATTTATGTATGTGCATGTATGCATGTGTGTGTGTATGTATCTATGCATGTGCATGCGTATGTATTTATTCATGCGTAAGTATCTATGTATGTGTATGCGTGTATCTATGCATGCATTTGTGTGTGTGTGTGTGTTGAATGCGGGCTTTAGCAAAGCACGGCAGGAGAAGTTGGACGCGTTTTCTCTGTAGGAGATGGTATTGCGCGTCTTTTAGGGCTGGGAAATGTCAAGGCAGGCGAACTCGTCGAGTTTCAGTCTGGCGTCCTCGGTGAGTGTCGTTGTCATGACGAAATCGCATGTACGAATGCTTTCGTCATTGCAGCAGTTTTCTTGCACGGCCGTTCTACGGCGGAATATGTATTTGCATAAATATATTTTTAAAAAATTCATAAATTCATGAATATATGTTACCTCAATGTCAGTGTGTTTGTGGCGCCATGGATTTCAGGCATGGCACTCAATCTTGAGCGAGACAATGTTGGGGCCGTGATTTTCGGCGATGATCGGTAGGCGAACTTTCTGTCACGATATTGCAATTCTGCACGGACGATCTTCGCGAGGCATTTTTTTTCTTTGTAAAGAGACTTGTCGGAATTCCATGCGCATGGGCTGTTTGCCGTGACGCCTTTCGTGCACGTGTACCCCTTTCTGCTCGCTCTCTCGCCAAGGGTGTATGCGGAGCGACGTGTTCTCCGTGCCCATCTTTTCTCTGCATTTCATCATGTACCACAGTCGAACGTTCGCCCCCTGCAGCGTTTCCTGACTTCTTCACTCTCCAGCACAAAGAGGAGTCGAATCAGCCTCTTCTTCCACGCGCATGCCTCCCTTCGCTTCCTGCGCTCATCTTAAGGGCACCCGCGAAGCACGCGTATATACACAGAGACAAGCCCCTCGTTCTCCTCCTTCTCTTTCTCGATCTCGCCTTCGCTCTGCTTGGAAGGGCAAATAGATGCGACGTAATATATATATATATATATATATATATATATATATATATATATATATATATGTCTGTTTCTCTGTCTGTATCTGTGTGTGTATATGTGTCTGTCTTCCTGTGTGTGTGTGTGTGTCTGTCTGTGTCTGTGTGTGTGTATGTTTACTCCGTGAGCCTGCGCGTCTTTCTGTTTATGTGTTTCTCAACGCTTCCCTAGAGGTTCTGCGGTGTGCTGCTCAGATCAATATGCGAAGGTCACTCGGTAAAGAGGACAGAGAGAATTGTTGATGTGCCTATTGGTCCTGAACTTCTTGGTCGTGTTGTTGACGGCTTGGGAAATCCCATCGACGGAAAGGTGAAAAGCCATGCATACATGCATTTCTGAAAAGCGCTTGTCTATGTGCATAACGGAAAGAAGGAGAAAGCGACAGCGTGGGGGGGTAGAGGGAAGAAAGAACTGTGCTGTGCAGCATCGACTTCTTTCTTCCCCGTGTCTTTGTGTTTGTCTGTAGTGTATGTATCTGTATCTATGTGTATTTGTATCTATGTGTATTTGTATCTGTGTGTATGTATATATATGTATGTGTGTATTTTTGTGCTGGTGTGTGTATATGTATGTTTGTGCTGGTATGTATGTATGTATATTTGTGCCGGTGTGTATGTACACTGCAGGGCCCCATCAACGCCAAAGAGAGAAGGCGAGTTGAACTGAAGGCTCCAGGTGTGTCGCGTCTCCCCTCGTTAGGAAGCGAGTGATCAAGGTGGCTAGCCAGCTAGATCACTCTTTTTCCCTAGTAATACACTGCACAGTCGGGCAAGATCACCCGCTTTCCATGCTCCGCCCGTGCGCAGTTGTTCGATCTCGGCCTCTTAGAAACTCTCTTGCCGTGTCTGTAGTGTATATGCGTTTGTCTGTAGTGTATGTGCATTTGTCGGTGGCGTATGCATACTTGTCTGTAGTTTAAATCTATGTGCGTTTGTTCGGAGTGTATATTTGGCTGTAGTGCATGTACATGTGGTGTATGTCGAGTATGTATGTATATCTGTGGTGTATGTATGTCGAGTATGTATATGCATCTGTGGTGTATGTATGTCGAGTATGTATGTGTATCTGTGGTATATGTATGTCGAGTACGTATATGCATCTGTGGTGTATGTATGTCGAGTATGTATGTGTATCTGTGGTGTATGTATGTCGAGTATGTATGTGTATCTGTGGTGTATGTATGTCGAGTATGTATGTGTATCTGTGGTGTATGTATGTCGAGTACGTATATGCATCTGTGGTGTATGTATGTCGAGTATGTATGTGTATCTGTGGTGTATGTATGTCGAGTATGTATATGCATCTGTGGTGTATGTATGTCGAGTATGTATATGCATCTGTGGTGTATGTATGTCGAGTATGTATATGCATCTGTGGTGTATGTATGTCGAGTACGTATATGCATCTGTGGTGTATGTATGTCGAGTATGTATGTGTATCTGTGTAAGAGTATTTCGCGCGCGTGTGCATTCATGCATGCATGCAAATCGCTTCTTTCGCGATCTGCGCGTGGCTGTGCTTAGGAATCATGCCAAGAAAGAGTGTGCACGAGCCTATGGTAACAGGCTTAAAGTGTGTCGATGCTCTGGTGCCTATTGGACGGGGGCAACGCGAGCTTATTATCGGCGATCGACAGACAGGGAAGACTTGTGTTGCAAGTGCGTGAAAAAAGGCAAACCAAGCAGAGGAAAAGATGCCCTTTCTCCGGGGTCCTTTTTTCCTCTGCATGCATGCATACATACATGCAGGATAGAAGCCAGGGGGACTGGTGTTTCGTCTGCTAGACATTTCGGCTGGCAGCTCTGGGGTGTCGAATTGTATGCCTGTACGTGTCTGTCCACGTGCCCGCCGTCTTCTTCTGCAGTTGATGCCATCCTCAATCAGAGAGACACCAATGCAAAGGCTAAGTCTGAGGCGGAGAAGTTGTACTGCGTTTACGTCGCCGTTGGACAAAAGAGATCCACTGTGGTGCGCCGCCAGACGCTAAATGGCAATATAGCTAGCTAGCTAGCTAGCTATATATTCATCTATTCATCTACCTAGCTGTCTAGCTACCTAGTTATGTGTATGTATCCACCCAGCCGGCTAGCGAGCTACCTAGCTAGCCCTCCTGGGTAGTCGGCTGGCTGCTCTTCCTAAGTGGTTGTGCCCTTTTTTTTCGCCTATTTCTATGGAATAGTGTCGGTGCTTTTCCAAGCGCATGGCGAAGGGTGTGTGCCCGGGTTAAGTGGTGCGTGGTGTGAGAAGGTTTTTTTTCTGATCAAGGGTTTGCACTATGTATGTGTGTGCCGCCCATGTGCATATACATATGTATATATATGTATATATTTATTTGTTTGTTCGTGTAAATAAGGAGTCAGGGGTGTCATTGTTTATAGGTTTGTTTGCATTATGTGTGTGCCGCCTATGTGCATGTGTACATATGTATATGTATATTTATTTGTGTAAGTGAGCAGTCAGGGGTGTCTTTGTTCGTAGGTCTGTTTGTATGCATTATGTATGTGTGTGCCGCCTATGTGCATATATGTATACACGTATATTTGTGTGAGTAAGCAATCAGGGGTATCTTTGTTTATAGGTTTGTTTGCTTGCATTATGTATGTGAGTGTGCCGCCTATGTGCATATACATATATATATATATATATATATATATATATGTGTATTTGTGTAAGTAAGCAGTCAGGGGTGTCTTTGTCTATAGGTTTGTTTGTTTGCATTATGTATGTGTGTGCACTTTTAAGGCCCAAATTGTTCGAACCTTAGAACAACACGGCGCAATGAATTACACGACGGTTGTTGCAGCCACTGCTTCCGATGCAGCCCCTCTGCAGTTTCTTGCACCGTATTCTGGATGTGCCATGGGCGAGGTGAGGAGGTTGGAGTGTGCGCGGCTGTCTGTACAGCGGCGTGCGCCGTTGCATCGAGCCGAGTTCGCTTAGAGACGAGGCGCTATACCTACCTGTCCATGCATAAAGGGGAAAATTTGTTGAATAGGGGGATTTTAGAAATAGACGCACACCGAGGAAGAGGGGGGAGGGGTGTCAATTCTAAAACTTTCATAAAGAGGGGGCAAATGTCGCAAGCAGCAGTGCCAAAGAGTTTCCTGAAATGCTTTAAAGGGCGTATAGGAGGACGGCCTTAGAGAGAAGGGAGCGCAGCGAGCTATGGCTTTCTTCCTCCTGCTGCGTGCCGTTTTGTTTTTATTTGCCAGTGGTTTAGAGATAACGGCCGTCACTGCCTGATTATTTATGATGATCTTTCGAAGCAAGCGACGGCGTATCGGCAAATGTCGCTCCTCTTGAGGCGACCCCCAGGGAGAGAAGCGTATCCTGGTGAGCTGGGATGGTGATGGTGTGTGATAAGGGGTGTGCAAGAGCTGCTGCGTCTACAGGTTTTCGCATAGAGTGTATGTGTTTGTGTGTGTTTGTGTTTGTTTTATCTTTGTATGTATGTGTGTTTGTATGTGGTTGTCTGTTCGTATGAATGTGTTTGTGTTTGTATGTATGCATGAGTTTGTGTGTTTGTCTGCACACGTGTGCTCACCTGTCCACCGAGGAGAGGAGGAATTTTTCTTGTGTTGTAGCTGTCCTTCGTGGGCTGTGTGTATGTTGCGTTTCTTTTGTTTTGTGTATTTTGTTTGAAGCATTGAGTGTGCGGCACTATCTTGCTGCTATCCTTTCTTCGCACGTGTGTGCAGGAGACGTTTTCTACTTGCATTCTCGACTCCTGGAGAGGGCAGCGAAGATGAACGAAGCCAACGGGGGTGGCAGTCTGACCGCTTTGCCAGTAATTGAGACGCAAGCAGGTGAGAAATTGGCTTTTTTTTCAGGCTGCCTGCTACGTTGTCAGTACCCGCCGCATGCACATGCGTGCTGCAACAGCAACGCGTCCTGCCGTCTGCCGTGCGGCCTGGGGTGTCTCTACAGGTGATGTGTCTGCTTACATCCCGACAAACGTCATCTCAATCACTGATGGACAGATCTTCCTCGAGACCGAACTCTTCTACAGAGGCATTCGTCCAGCTATCAATGTTGGTCTGTCGGTTAGCAGAGTCGGCTCCGCTGCTCAAGTAAGGCGCATCCCACGTCCTCCCATATCTCTACGGGGATGTATATGAATGTATTTTATGTCTATGTATGTATATATGTGTATTTATGTATATATGTATATTTCATGTATATTTATGTGTATATGTATATTTGTGTATGTATGCATAATATAGATATATGTACATAGATATACGTACATATATATATGTATATAGGTATATGTATATACCTACATATATATATATGTATATAGGTATATATATATACCTATGTACATTATATATATCAAACATCCCCCCAGGTCCTTGGGGTCTCGCGCTTGCATTTCATCTGCGGCAGCGAAATTACGCTGCACTTTCTTTCTTGTCTTGGATGGAACGGTTTTTGTCGTATGTTTGTGAAACGGGGGTGTGGATGCGCAGGTGCAGGCGATGAAACAAGTGGCGGGAACTATGAAGCTGGATTTAGCGCAGTTCCGTGAAGTCGCTGCATTTGCACAATTCGGGTAAGGGGTTATGGGGGATGGATGCATGCGGCCTGGTACCTACACACGCATACATACAGGCATGTATGCATTTTCTGCGACTAGAACTCTTTGTCGAACGTGGCTGTGGCAAGCGTCTCTGCTAAGGGAGGCAGCGAGACTTTTCATGTGCAGTGGCGGGCAAGGTATGCGTCTAAGACGACCTCCCTCGGGTGCGTTGTTGTTCGTTCAGCTCCGATTTAGATGCTTCCACCCGGCAGCTGTTGGTGAGGGGGGCGGCCTTGACAGAAATTTTGAAGCAAAAACAAGCGTCACCCATGAAAATTCCAGTTCAGGTAGAAAATAAAGACACGAAATGCTGCTTGTTTCGCTTCCTGCTCCTCTTCCTGTCGCTCTTGTTTCCTTCTTTTCCTTCTCAAGGGGCCTCTCTTTCTCGCGCGACTCCGTCCTCTCGCATCTGCGCATGTTTTGGGAAAGGCCGTGTTTATTTTTTATCCTTGTGTTTCGGACTATTGGGGAGAAGTTTTTGGAAGCGCTTATCGCCTCGACAACGTCCTACTGTGCCTTACGCTGCCCGTCAGCGCGGGAATTCATCTATATGTATATATATATGTATTTATGTGTGGGTTTTTGCGTGCTTGTGTTTCAAAGGTGTGCGTGCTCTACTGCGGTGTGAAAGGATATCTAGATGCTTTGGACCCTAAGGAAATCAGCAAGTAAGGTGGTTGCCTCGCGCGTGCTGTGCTCTTCTCTGTACGTACACCTGGGTAGACGGGGTGGCATTCGCGCGCAGATCGGCAGATTGGTGGGAAGACGGGAAAAGCAGCTAGCTAGCGCGTGCGCTGATTATTTTGTTGGTAGAAAGCTACTGTTGCTGGCCGGTGGAGCGTGCAAATATTTTTGAGTGGCATGTAGGGAAGGGGAGCGATGGTCACTTGGGGTGGTGCTGGGGTGGGTCGTTTTGGTGTAGGTTTGAGAGTCTCTTTGTGAAGCATCTCGAGGAGAACCACCTTCAGCTCATTGAGACTATTGAGCGGTAAAGCAGGAGTTTGCTGCTGGGGGAAAGCGAGATCGGCTGTCCTCTGCTTTACCCGTGGAGAGACTTGCTGCAGCGTGGGGTGTCTTCTGAGGGTGAAGATTCTGGCTGTATTGGCACCTTCATTGCTGGGGCTGCCCTGCCCCTCGTCGAGAACCTTCTAGCGGTCTGAATTCTTGATTGCATGATGATGAAGCCTTGAGGCATGTGTATGTGTGTATGTATATGTGTGTGTGTGCGTGCATGTGTGCGATCTCCCTTCCAGGGAGAAGAAACTCTCTGAGGAAAGCGAGGCTACGTTGCGCTCGCTTATCGAGAACTTCCTTTCTGCCAACGAGTTCAAGAAGAGATAAGCCCGATGATAGAAGTGTGACGGTTCCCCGTGGGGGAGCGTGAGGAGGTGTGCATTGTTGAATGCGACGTCAAAAGCTGTATTCGAACTCTGGCTGGCCGATAGGGCTGCCCACAACCTTTCAAGCCCCAAATATATTCATCCCTCGAGCTGAGGGTGGTGATGGATGGGGTTGCGGGGGGGAATAGGGGAGAGCAGGGATTTTCGGCAGCTGGCATGCATCTGCGGAGCATAATTAAGTGCAACGCACGCCTGCTGCAGCTCCCCGCCGACAGCCCACTCACTTCACCGTTATGCTTTTTTAGCCTTGCGACGCGGCAAGCATGTCAGTGAGGATTTAGGAGATCTAGAGGCAGTGGTCGTTTGCTAAGGGGTTCAGGCTTAGGGTTGAGAACGTGGGAACACTTTTTGGGCGATAAGGAAGCCTACGGACTGCTTGGCAACAACAGTGCGCGTAGTGAGCAGCTGCTAGCGGCAGCCAGCTGCCCCAAGTATCTCGAGAGAGACATGAGGCTGCGAGATTCACAGTGCACCGAGCCCTCGCATCGTTTCGCTCAGACGCCTGCATTCGGGTGTATGTAAGGCAAATGCAGAATGTGCATGAGGAAGATCCGTTGCTGACGACACACACAACGTCCAAGAGGGCAGCGGCCCTTTTTGGACCATCCTCTTCCCTACTTCGCGTGAAATACACCAAGGAAAAAACTCTTACAAGAGTGCAGCCCACGTGTCTGTACAGCTGGGACGGGTACCGAACAAATAAGCGATTGTCTGTTCAAGTATGCGCTCACCGAATTCATGGACGCATTAGCATGCAGGGTGATGCACAATATCGCATGCGCCAGAAGGGCTGTGGCGAAGGGGGAGAGAAAGGCGGCTGGATGCGAGATTCAGTAGGCTGGTCAAGAGGAGGCAATAAGCGGGTAGACTTGCGTTCCTCAGGATAGTTCAGTGATACTATACAAGCAAGAGCATGCCTAGAAACAGAAAAGTGTTGCCAAAAATGATGAAAAACACGTCAGTCCATTCAGTGGCAACAGTTCGTGCAGTCGGGCACCGCGCGTAAGCGCCATGGAAGCATAACGATATACGGCAGGCCTATACATATATATGTACATATATATATATATATACATTAAGGGCGCGATGTATGTACACAGACAGCTCATGCGGCTTCCCCACGCCAAGGTGATTTCCAGGAGACTCTAGAGAAATTCGCACTGAAGCGTTCCCTCAAAACGAACGGAGCCTTCAGGAAATTCCATCTTCAGCATTGCTGTGGCGCAGTAGCCGGCGGTCCGTCAAGCTCACTGCATATCTCTTGAAATAACTGAAGCAGGCAAAGCCCCCAATATAAACACAACGCGCTGCGCTGGTGTCACGTTCAGTGTTTCCAGCAGGAAGACGCATGTATAGCCAGTAAAGCTTTCAGTAGACTGGGCACATCCGCTACACCCCATGCGCCTTTGTGCTGTCCAACTCACTGCGTGCGCGTCAACTCGAGACATCAGCAGATTGTTGAGGAGGTAGCAGCCCACAAGCTTGCGGTGCAGCGAATACACCTCAGGAGGAGGGGCCTGTTTCCGCGTTTTCATGGCTTTTCCCATTTGCTGCTGCAGTTCCTTCAAGACATTGAACTCTGCGAAATCCACTTCCGTTGGGAGGCCAGCTTTCTGCAGGGAACAGAGGTTGCAGCGGATACACCTGCACACGCGTCTGCATGAGCAGCAGGAGTGGAATGGAGGGTGCGCTGCATGCCCTGTGTCGCTCTGCTCCGCACGTTACACCCGCGCAATACACGGGCGCATTCACGAAATGGCGGACCCTCTGAACACAAAAGGCTCTTAGTTCGATAAATGCCTCTTCCTCTCGAGACTCTTGACTACATACACCCGCATGTGCATGCATGCAGCACTCGGTTGTGCACGCCCGCGCTCCTGGGGAGTTGCGCGCTGTCCATACACCCCGAGAAAAGGGGGACCCCGCGCACGCTTCCCGCCTTTCTCCGACGTAACACGACGCCGTTCAAGCACCATTCAAACACCATTTCGTTCAAGAATACAGCAGCCTTAGCGACCGACGTAGGGGCAGAATAGCACGATCAGCAAACAACACGCACTGGTTTTCTGAAGGGATGGCCAATGAGGTAGAAAACGCTGCACTGGGCAGCAACGAACTCGGCAGTATCGTTCGGAGCTATGAAACCAAGCGATGCAGCATAACGCTGAACCAGCGCAGGCTCCTGCGAAACAAACACAGTCCCAAGCTAGTTCGTCTCTCTCTCTCTCTCGAGAATTCATGAATGGAGGCACGCAGCAGGCTTCAACATGGGAGGCGCTTGCAAACAAGAGGATTGGCGTCATCTCGAGCTCCTCACATCCTCAAGCACTGCCAAAAGAAGCTGTCTGTAAGTTTCGACGAATTCAGACGAGTACGACCGTCCTGCGAAATACACGTTCCAAGCCCCAAGCCAGCCCGTCGCATGCAACACTGCTAGCCCGCGCATCAGCCCGTGACTGCATGCAGAAAGAAGAGCCTAGTCCGTCTGGCGTGCGCGTGCAGACTCGAAACATAAGAAATACCAGCTCCAAAGTCGAGCAGCCAGAGACGCTGCGCATTAGTATCCCACAAGAAGTTGGAGGGGTTTGCATCCTTCACACGCATGCACGCATGCACGCACGACAAAATAAAGCTTGCTCCACACAAGGAGCTCGCCACCCCTTCTCCGCTCTTCTTGCTCGTGCAAGTCGCTGCATAGCTACCCGTGCGCGCATGCAGGCTCTATGCGGTCCACTGCAGACTGTATACTTTCTGCACTGGCCTTCTCAGCGTGCAAACGCCTCTCCCCAACGCTTCACTCTCGACGCCTACCGTGTTGATCAGACGGTAAATGAAGATCTCTCGGAGCACTAGCCGCAGCAAAAGTCTCCCCATGGTGTTTCTGTCCCTCTAAAACGCGCCATGAAAGCACATACATATATATATATATATATATATATATATATATATAGAGAGAGAGAGAGAGAGAGAGAGAGAGACGGACATATATACATTTATACACAGACAGACACATAAATATCTATATATTTGTATATACATACAGACACATATACACATATGCATATTTACATACACACACAGACACATATCCATATATATACATATATTCACATATACATACATACACTGCACAACGCCTGCCCTGCTCGCCGCTGCTGCTGCTGCAGCCAGGGTGTAGGTTCACCTGTGAAGCCGTTTTTGCAGCCGTGGCAAGTGGAACCTGAAGACACGGAGCTTCGCACAAAATCCCTTTGAAGCGCGCATTCACAGGAGCAGCCGCAGCGGCACAAATAGGAGCACATGCTTTCAGAGAAACACAAGAATTTCGTCTCCCAGAGTGCCGCCAAGAAGGGCATTAGCTGGATGACTGCCGCCAGCTGGCAGGTTCGAAGACTGCAGCGGCAAGCCTCATTCATCAGCAGCTGGCGCATAAGTAAGCCTCACGCCGTTGATGAATTCAGCGGTAAGGAGGTGCTTGGTGGTAAGTTGCTCAACCACTGTCGGTACACCGAGACGTCCGTGGAAGTCTCGCTCAACGAGAAACTTGAATACGCGCTGATACTGCATTTCGTTGAGGTAGTTGCATTCTGCCAACAGTTCGCGTTGCATCTCAAGCGACAGCTGATCCACGAAGAGGGAGGGGGCTAAACCTCCGAAAAGACGCAAGAGCAGCAGAAGATTTCGGATGTCTGAACGAATGGACTCGCCAACACCTGTACCACCCCCCAAACAGAATACGCAAAGACGGCGCACATGTTTGCAAAGAGAGAGAGAGAGAGAGAGAGCAAAGGGGGGAAAGCTCGAAAAGGGGGCTCGCCAAACGCCAGCGACAGCTAGAGAGATGGAGGGGGGCAGAGGCACACAAGGTAGCAGCGGTGTGTGAAAAATGTGTACACAAGTATGCGAAAGTGTGGCTCACACAGTACAGACACACACAGAGAGAGATAGGCAGATAGGGAGATAGACAGAGAGAGAGACAGAGAGAGACATAGAGAGGTAGAGACACAGAAATAGACAGAGAGACACAGAGAGAGATGGACCTAAAGCGATAGCAGGATGCATGCAGGCGCGAATGCAAGAAGCAGCTGTTTTACAAAGTTGACAGAAGCACGCAACAGTGCCACCCCCGAGAAACTCCAGTAATGTTAGAGAGACGAGGAGGTATTTGAAATCACATCTGAGATGTGAGACAGCGAAATAACGCATGCACAGCAAGAGAAGCAGATAGAGACAGAAGAGCATGCTAACCTGGGAACTGCAGCTTGACAGCCACCTGCGTGCCAGACGTCAATACAGCTCGATGTACCTACAGCACGAGCAAGCGCAACCATCCAAGAAACGCATGTTTTGCATGCGCCTTAGCACGCCGCCCTTGCAACACTGCCAGCAGATACACTGCTCGTGCAAAAGCGTCGTCAAGACAGCGGCAAATACAGCCGATGCATCACTGGCACGCCTCTGCTGCTCACCTGTCCAATACTTGCGGCTGCGAACGGTTGAAGATCGAAGGACTGAAAGTGCCGTCGCCAGTCCTTTCCCAGCTCTCTTCGCAAAACCTAATACACAGCAAAAAAACACGCATCGCCAATCTAGGAAAGGCGCCATGAGCTGCTAAAGGAAGCGGGGAGAATGAACACGATGTACTGCAAGAAAGACACGTTGCGTCTCTTTCTCTCTATCTCTTTGTCAAATGTCTCTCTTTGTCTCTCTCTTTCTCTAACTCTCTCTTTGTCTCTCTCCTTCTCTGTCTCTGTCTTTCTCTCTCTATCTCGAATGTCTCTCTCTGTCTTTCTCAAATGTCGCTGCTGCTGTTTCAGCCCCACACCTCCGAGCAGCAACAACAAGGCGAACAGTACCTTTTCTGCTTCCCCAAAAGGCATCGCGTCTGCTGCGTCTCTGAGCCAGCAGCAGGAGACAGAGCCATACTCCGACCATGAGGAAATAAAGCGCGGGAAGTAAAGAGGAAGGGCATGCAGCAGCACGACCAGCAGCACCAGTGAACGGAAATCAGATATATATATATATATGCATGTGTATATATGTATACATACATGTCTCGCGGGTGCATGCGCCTTCTTCGCAGGCAGCAGCGACGCGATTAGGATCTGCTCCACGTGTAGAGACAGCCAGTGCGTGCTGCTGCACACTTCCTCACACACTGCTCTCGACAGCCTCCCTAGCGACACACAACCTCCACCTACCTCCCCTTTCTCCCCCTTTTACGCAACTCCCATGGCTCACCGAGTACGTCGCAATGCCTCGACAAGTGCTGGAGGCAACAAATCTTCCGCCATGCTGCACAGAAACACATTGCGCAGTGACGGCAGCTGGTGCTTCATGAGACACCCCGTAAAAGCCTCTCTAAAAGCTCCATGCAGCAGCACGTTTTGCAAGCGACTTCCCCCCCCCCCCGGCTTCCCTTCCCCTGCTAGCCTCCCTCCCTCTTTAACGCCAGGTAGAACAGTACGAAGCTTGTCATCTGCTGCAAAAAACGTCGTGAAGGGAGCATGCACCTGAGCATCTGGAGGCACTTGAGCGCTGCCCCTCGCATTCGGCATATCTTATCGGCGAAGAGCTGTGCTGTTACGCCATCGATAACTCCTTGCTGCTGCAAAGGTGTCTGTGGCAGCTGCTGCAGCTGGACGTGATGACGTTCTCCGGCATGTTGCTGCTGCTGCTGCGCTTGCTGCTGCTCCTGCTGCAACGCATGCAGCATGCGCGCAGCTGTTGCAGCGTGATCCGACAGCTCCGGCTGCTGCCCATCGGCTGCAGCCGCAGCGACTGCTGCGGCTTTGCTTCTCCTGTTCAATCGAAGGCGAAATTTTGCTTTCTGCAGCAGAGCATGCCACGACACTCTGCCACACAGCTGCACAAGCAGAACCGCGAAGTGCCACACGCGAGCGATGCGCCTCTTCGGCAGAGAAGACACCTTCAAAGGCTGGGCAGCAGCAGCTGGCGATGTCTCTGCTGCAGTCTCCATGGCTGCTGCACTGGCTTTTGCCAGTCGTGCTGCTGCTGCTGCTTGAGGAGCTTCGAGCGACGCTGCTGAGTTTGCTGCTATCGAAGGAAACAGCCGCGAGGCTGCGGCAGAACCATCAAAAGCTGCATGCACAGCCTCATCCGGAAGGGCCGCTGCTGCTGCTGCTGATGATGATGATTTTGCTGCTGCTGCCGATGATGATAATTCTGCTGCTGCTGCCATATCCAAATGAGTCCAGGCTACTGGGCGAGAAGCCTCTTTTGCAGCAGCCTCAATGAGGCTTCCTGCGTATGCGGCTAAGGCAGCACTTCTCTGCTGCACATCCTGCAGCGCCACTGCGGCAGCAACTTTAGGAGCAGCAAGCGCTGCTCCAGAGCTCCCCCCTTCAACGAAGGCGGCAGCAGCAACTCGCCAGGCGAGACGCAGGAATAGCTGCGTTGGATCGCCACTGCTGCTGCCGCTGCTGTCGATCCTGCTGCTGCTACGCACAGTGTTGCTGCGCTTGTTCTTGCTAGTGCTGCTACAGACAGTGTTGCTACAGCTGCCATCAGAACGCATGTGAAACCACTCGCTGGGTTCAGTTGCTGCAGCTGCAGCTGCAGCTAGCGACATCTGCCCGATGTCTCTTAAGGCTGAGAAGTTCGATGCTCCTCGAGTTGCTGCGGCTGCCAAGACTGCGTGAGTAATCCGCGCAGTGGAGCTCCGCTTGCGGTGTAGCTGCTGCTCTTGGGGGATCCCTGTTGTTGCTGCTCTTGCTTCTGTTGATGTTGTTGCTGCTGTTGCTGAGGTTGCTGCTGTTGCTGAGGTTGCTGCTGCTGCTGTTGCTGCTGCTGTTGCTGCTGTTGCTGCTGCTGTTGCTGCAGCAGCAGCGACTGGGGGGCTCAAGCAGAAGCTGTACAGACACCGCTGGCTCGATACAGCAGGCAGCAGTAAAGGGCCAGCTGCTGCTGCTGTGCTGCTGCTGCTTGTGCTGCTTGTGCTGCTGCTTGTGCTGCTGCTTGTGCTGCTGCTTGTGCTGCTGCTTGTGCTGCTTCTGTTGCAAGAGCAGCTGCGTAATACCCCTACAAATAGAAAAGTTTGTTGCAGGAGTAGTGGCTGCATGATGCTGCGCTGGCTTGGAAGCTGCAGCCTTCTGGGAGAAATACTGCCCCCCCCTCCTCCGACGTGTCTGTACACCAGAGAACTCCGCGAAGCCTCCCATGGCATGCAGACAGCCTTCGAACGATCCAAGCCACCATTTGCGCCATAGCAGCTGTCATGGGTTGCTGCGAAGACTGCCGCTCTGCTGATGACTGTGTCGGGAAGCATCCAGCGTTTGCTCAGTGGAAAGCAGCACGACGAGGCTTGGGAAGCCACTCTTGCATGCGCTGCAGTCGGTGCAAAACTCTCCACAAGACACAAGCCACTGGTCTTGCTGCTGTTGCTGTTGCTGCTGCTGCTTCTCCTGCTGCTGTCGATACACCTGGTGCAAGGGATACAGCTGCCCCCGCAACTGCTCAAGACGCTGCGTTTGGCGATGCTTCCGATAGAGCACATGCTGCTAGACAGCGGCTCTAACTCTCCTAGAATCACACTAACGCCTCTGCTCCCTAGACGGCTGCCTCTGCTGCCTTCGCTTCTGCTGCTGCTTCTGATCCAGCCAACACGACACACCCCACTGTACGACAAGGCGCTGAGCTGCATCTTGATTGATCGCAGTCTGCCCTTTTTCCTGCCAAAAAATTCACTCGGAAGCTTCACCAGAGACTTCCACCGACTGACGGTGTGCTTGCTGCGTCCTCTCGTGTTGCTGGTATTCTTCTTGTTGCTGTTGCTGTTATTCTTGTTTTCGTTGTTGCTGTTATTCCGTTGCTGTTATTCTCGTTGTTGTTATTGTTATTGCTGCTGTTATTCCGTTGCTGTTATTCTCGTTGCTATCATTGTCATTGTTGCTGTAATTCTTGTTGCTATTGTTGCTTTTCTTGTTGCTCTTGTTCTTCTCGTTGCTACTGTTGGGCAGAAGATACGCCGCAGTCTGGCACAGGCTGGGAATTTCCTCTTACTTTATACACCCCAGAAATGCAGCAGACACTTCAGCTGCTATTGCTTCTACAGTAGGAGGCTCCGGAAGGCGCAAGGTTGGGCTCCTGCTGCGTGCAGTGCAGCTCATACAGCTAGTATACCGTTGCTGCTGCTAACACTGTTGATATACTGTTGCAGCTGCTAAGACAGCTAAGATACTGTTGCTGCTACTGCTGCAGCTCAGGGGAACTAAGAGGAGGGCGTTGCGGCTCGAGGAAGAGGATGGATGCCTCCCGCCGCTGCCGCTGATGATAATAACGATGATAGTGATGATGACGATGGCAGTCAGCCATGGCTCTTCTGACTGCTCATTACAGCAGGACGGAATGGATGACGCATGCCGACTGAGCGGGAGTAAAGAAAAGCGGCGCTCATGCGCTCGAAATCTCCTTCAAACGAGCCGTAAGACTCTGCGCAAGCGTGGTGTTGGAGGTTTGCAGAAAACATTGCAGCCGTCGTCGCTGTCTTGCGGCAGGGAAAGCGGATCTTGTGCTTTTCAGAGGTTGCCTTCTTCAGCCAGATGCGGCAGATCTTCTTGTATTTTGTTGCAGCTTTCGACAGTGCAACACGCGAAATCCTCAGAGATCGTGTTTTGCAAATCAACTCCCCCGTCCCCCACCGCTCCCGCCTTGCAAGCGCACCTCGAGGCTGCAATTCTCACACGGGGAGTTGCTGCGACAGCAGATAGTGGAAACTGCGTCTTCTCCCTTAATCCCAGCGACTGAAGGCAGCAATATTATTGTTGCTTCATGTGTATGAGGCACACATGTGCGAACCAGCAGCAGCTGCACTGCTGTGCAAGGGCTTCTACCAAATGGCGGCTGCTGCTGCTCTTGCTGCATGCATGCATGCATGCAGCAAGAGCAGCAGCAAGAGCGCCTTGGACGCTGCCACCCCACACCAATGTTGCGTCTTCGCATTGGTTTCAAGAACCTCGAGACATATTGCTTCGTGAAAACAAAGCTTTCCCCGAAGAGAGGGCTAAGCCGAAGGAAGGCTCACTGCAGAAGCCAAGAGGGAGCAGCAGCAGCAGCAGCGGCGGCTGCCTAATGCAGTACACTCGAGACTGCCTCCCTGCCACTGCTCTTCTGCTGCTCTTCTTCTCCCTCTGGCCTTCTGCAGGCTAAATATTCTGCAACTTGCGGCATGATTCTCTGCTGCCTTCGAGAGGATTGGCAGAGCTGCAGGGGAACGTTTCGGGAGCCGCTCAAGGATGGCTGGGCAGAAGAAGCAGAAAGCTGCAGTTTCTGCAGCTTCTGCTGCGGCTGCTAAAGCGGCAGCAGCACAAGCTGCAGCGAAAACTGCTCCCTTCCTAGAGCATCAGCCAGAACCGTCTGGTGGGTCGGCTTGCGTCATCGTACAGCTGCTTCAGCAGCAGCTGCAGCAGCACCTCGCTGCAGCAAACGCCACAGGCGCTGCGCAGCTCACTGCAGTTTGGAAGAAGCAACAAGCTGACGTCCAAAGCCGCATGCACACTGAACGACAGCGCTCATGTTGGCACACGCCATCCTTGGCAGACTCTTGGCTACAGACTGCGCAGCAGCAGCAGCAACAACAGCAGCAAACCTCAGTCGGGGATGCTCGAGTTCAGCAGCAGCGAGAAGCGGAGCTTTTCCAAGTGGTCTTGCAGGCGCTCGAAGAGGAGGCGGAGTCGCTAGAGAAACAAGCTGCAACTACGGAGCAACAGTTGGATATGCAGCAGCCGAGATCACAAGGCGCTGAAGCGACTGCAAAAACGCTTCAGTATTTGCGGAAGGGGAAGCTGCTGCATCGCGATAGGCTTTGCATTGCTGCCGATGCAGACACAGAGATATACACTTCTAGCAGCGATGAAGAAGGCAGTGCGAGCAGCGGCGGCAGGGGAGGGCTTTTCTTGCAGCAGCAGCAGCAGCAGCAGCAGCAGCAGCAGCAGCGTTTTGCAGCACCGCTGCTGCCTCTGCGTGCTGCAATTAGACAGAGCAGACGGCAGCAGCGGCAGCAGCTGCGCGTACAGCTGCTGCTTCAGGAGTGGCTTCGCAGCAGAAGTTTGCATGCGCTGCAACAAAAGCAGCTGCTGCTTTCGAGCGACAGCGGCCTAAGCGCGGCAGCGACAGCAGCAGCAGCTGCTGCTGCCTCTACTGCTGCATGCGAGCAGCTGCACAGGATGCTGCAGCATCGCAAGGAAGTCGTCGAGCCGCGTAGGGAGTTACGGCTCTGGCGAGAAGCCGCGCAGTGTCTGTCCACGCCAGGCTGTAGCTTTGTTGAGCGGCTGCTGCAGCTGCGCAGCAGCAGCAGCAGCAGCCGCTTCAAGTCTGCTCCCTGCTTGCTGCTGTCGAGGGAAGAGGAGAGGGAGCTGCGGCAGCTCTTGCAAAAGCATCCCCTGAAGCCTCCACTAGCCCTTCCGTCGTGTTTCTTGTCTCACGAGTCTTCTTCTATCCTGAGCTGCAGAAGCTGCTTCTTGTGGCTCCTGCTGCAGCAACAGCTGCTGCAGCAACTGGAGAGGGGAGCATGTGCCGTACAGAGCAGAGGCTCGGAGACGCATCTCGTGAGGTTTCTTGTGCTGCAGCAGCAGCTTCTCCGACTGCTGCAGGGAGGCACCAAGGAAACTGATGACGCATCCTTGACTGCTGGAGCAGCACTGGAGGCGCAAGCAGCTAGTGCTGCGGCAGCAGCCTCGAGCGCGTCAGAATTCGCTATTCAAAACATTGCGGAAGGACAGAGAATTCTCATGGGTATGCGGTTTGAGCGCCTGCACGCGAGTCTTGGCTGCTGTGTCTGTGTGCTGATTCTACTGGTGTTGCATCTCCTTCACGTGAGATCTTTCCATGGATTCTTGCTGCTTCTTTCGATCCAGCACAAACGGACAGGCAATTGAACAGGCAGTCGTTTTTTGACGTGTCTGGTAGTTTGTGTCTATATGTGTGTGTGTGTGCAGGCACTGTGGACGGCTTGTATAGCTCGGTGTGGGGAGGCGGCTATTGCAGCAGCAGCAGCGGAACGGAGTTGCTCCTGTGGCTGCAGCAGCTGCAGTGCATGCATCCGTTGTACTTGCGGCAGACAACTCCCCTCCGCAGCAAAGAGAGGCGCATGCGCTGGCAGCAGCAGCAGCTGCTGCTGCACGGCAGCAACAGCGACTTTGCGGCAGCACCTGCAGCTCGCATGCCATCAGCGGAGGTTCCCTCAAGGCTGTTGAGCCAGAAATCGTTCAACAACTCTCTCTTTGCAGGTGAGTTTGTCTTCCCTGTTGGTGCTTATGTGGACAGGATGCAGGAGAGACAGCAGTCTCTCTTTGCGGGGTGTCGCATGTGCGTCTCGTCTTCTGAAGGAAAGCAGTTTCTGCTTGCTCTCCATCGCGGATGTGGGGAAGGGGTCGCATACCTCTTTGAAGCCGCTTCAAACGCATCGCAAGGCTGACGCAGAGCAGTCTTGAGCGCACACACACACCCACACAGACACGCACTGCGATCCGACTGCTGTTTCACGACAAGGTGTGTGTCGTTGCGGTGTATGTGGGCGCTCACAGAGAGTGGGCTGGAGATACAGCAAGACTGCGACACCAGCAGCAGCAGTAGCGACTCCGAGAACGAAGACGCCGAAAAAGGCATGTGCAGGGGGGTGGTTCCAGCACTCGAGGAAGTCTCATGCGCATGCCCCTTGTCTTCTTCAGCGGCTTCCATTGGCAACAATAGTGCCGCCTCCTCCTTGGTTGCAGTAGCTGATGGTATTCTGGCGTACAAAGGCTTAGGAGTTTCTCAGCTCGACGCAGCTTGGCGACTAGAGCCGCGAAAACGGCGCATGCGTCTGCTGCCAGGTCGACAGCAGCTGCAGCAGCAGTCGCAGCAGCAGCAAGAGGGCAGCAGAGGCGGCAGCAATACGGGATCTCTGCATGCAAATAATGCGCAGGAAGAGAGTGACACGAACGATGCTGAGGAGGAAGAAAAGGTGATGCACCAGCAGCAGCAGCAGCAGCAGACACATTTCACCCACCCCCAGAAGGAGTCAGAGCGGCACTTTTCGGCGGAAAATTTAGGAAGGGCAGATCTCGGTGTCGAGTACTCCAGTAGCGAAGATTCTTTCTGCGCATTTACGAGGGACCAAAGTGCCTACAGGTAAGCTTTTCGACGGTGCTTTTTCCCGGCAGGGGAGAAAGAGCGCGGCGTAAGCCGGGTGTACATACACTGCAACGGGTAAGAGGCCGATACCTGAACTCTCCCAGAGTTGTTTGTCTGTCTGCCCCCTGCAACGTCTGGCGCAGGCGCTTCAGAAGGCGGTGGGAGTCTTCTCGCGCTGCTGCTTCTCGGCAGCAGCAGCAGCAGCAGCAGCAGCTGAAGCGACGTGCCACAGGAGGGATTTATACTGGGGGGGGAGATGCACAGGGGCATGTTTTGAATCCGTTTTTTCAGCGGCTGGCATGTGCTGCGCACTCCCGTCTCGAGCAAGCGCGTCAGCAGCGAGAGGTGTCTGGGTGCTCAGGAGAGCTGCGGGAGCTTGAGGCGCTGCAGCAGACGCCCAGTGCTGCGGTGTACATGCAGCTCGTGCGTCGTTCGAAGGTGTCGCTACTGCGTCATCACGCCAGGCTATTGCAGCAGCAGAAGAAGCAGCAAAAGCAGCAGCACCTTCACCTGCATGCCTCGGAAAAGCACAGCCGTAAACGCAGCAGGGGAGGGGAGGGAGAGATCGCCGCAGGTTCCTGCCTTCTTGAAATCGAGGCTGAAGATACACTGCAACGCGCCTGCCGCGGCAGCAGCAACAACATCAAACGCAGAAATCCACAAAACATCACCGACAGCAGCAGGAAGCTGCTAATTCGTCTTCGCCGACGACACCGCGTTCGCTCCTTCGAACCATCCTGGAGTTTTTCCCAGGGCAGCAGCAGCAGCAAGAAGCAGCAGCAGAAGATTCAACAGCAGTACAGGGGGAGCAGCAGCAGCAGCAGCAAGAAGCAGCAGCAGAGGTTCCAGCAGCAGTACGGTGTGATTGCTGCTGGACGGTGGCTTGGTCGCGAGGTTCTCTTCGCAGCATTAGACGAAGGAAAAGTCGCGGAGACACTATCGCATGCAAGAGTCTATCAAGACAACTTGCGCGACTTGAGCAGCTCGCTAGGTGACAGGTGAGATGCCTGGATCCCATTCCTCTCGCGCGCATGCAGTTTCAAGAGAAGAAGACACCACATGCAAGCATGCATGCACTGCCGGATGGCTACCAAGGAGCAAGACCTCTGTATATGGATGTCGCTGCAGGAGGGAGTACTGCGTGATCATCGACGAGCGTACCAAGTGCCTTTCCATCGTGCCAAGCGGTCGCCTCACCTTTTTCCTCCAGGAGTCTCCTGCACAGAGGGCTCAAGACTTTGTGAGCTGTCGGGGAGGGGAGGGGAGGAGACTGTCTGTGGCAACGACGCCTCATGCCATGCCGCCGCATGCAGCACTGCCCTGTCTCTTGCCTGAATACAGTCTATCTCTATGTCTTTCTCTTCTCTCTGTCTCTGTCTCTGTCTCTCTTTCTCTGTCTCTGACACTTCTCTGTCTGTGTCTCTCTTTCTCTGTCTCTCTTTCTCTCTCTCTGACACTTCTCTGTCTCTCTGACACTTCTCTGTCTCTCTGTCTCTGTCTCTCTGTCTCTGTCTCTCTGTCTCTCTCTCTGTCTCTGTCTCTGTCTCTCTCTCTGTCTCTGTCTCTGTCTCTGTCTCTCTGTCTCTCTCTCTCTCTCTCTCTCTCTCTATATATATATATATATATATATATATATATATATATATATATATATTAGCTCACACAGGCTTCGCAGTCTCATGGGAATGCGGTGGCGTGGCGGGATCAATGCAGATCGCACGCTTGGACGCTTAAAGGCTCGGCTCAAGTCTTGACAGCCAGCAGCTGAGAGGGTTCTGATTCGCGGATGCTAGCAATCACGCGTGTTTCGCGAAGCTCTTCGCTGGCATCCCCTAGGCTTCCTGCTTGTTTATCGAGGACTATTTTGCGGAGCACAATGTCTCTCTTCCCATCTCTGTAAATCACTCCAAAATTGGGGTGGTGTCGACAGCTGTGCGCTTTTGTGTGGACTCCCTGTGTTTCTTCGCAGTTCGCGTTGCAGAGGGAGGAGATGCAGCGTGGCGCTGACTGCCTTCGCATGGCACTGCATGCAAAGTCGCTGGCTGTACGAACTTTGCTGGAAGCCAACTGCCACTTGTCGCCGCAACAGCTCAAGCACACCCAGCAGGCAAGGCTTTGATGCGAGGCGTTGAGGGTCCCCTCTACTCAGTGTCGGCGTGCAGGCGTTCTGTGTTTCTCACGGGTGCATGCCGTCTTGCATGAAGGAAGCCTCAAGTTTTCTGCCGGATTTCGAGGCACTAGTGCTTTTTTCGCCTTTTTGTGTCGCTAATGCTGCAGGCACGTCTGCAGCTGCAGCAAACCGGCTCTTGGGAAGGTGCCGCCTTCGCAGCTCGAGGGGTTCCCGTCACCGAAGTGCAACTTGCGGTGTCTAGACAGCTCGCCCGCGGCGCTTCCCGGCCCATAACCAACAAGGCGGATTTCGAGAATTTCTTCGCCAAGGCACCCAACAGCACAGCCACTGCAGCTGCTGCTGCGTCTGCTGCTCATGGACTGTCGAGGGCTTTGCTGCGGAGAGTGCATGCAGCGGCGATAGCAGCAGAAGCAGCCGCAGTCTCTCTGCAAGATGGGATATGCAGGAAGGAGATGTGCGCAGCTTATTGAGGGCACTTCTAGCGGGAGTGCTGCAAGCAGGGGGGTACTCCTAGCCTGCGGTCTAGTGGTGTTCAAGATCGCGAACGTTCTCCTTCCGTGACTTCCTAACTGCGGGTAGAAAGGGGTGTATGATATCCTGCGAAGACAGGAAGGAGTCGTGTCTCTGGCGCTTATGCTCTTGCTTCGGGATGCATTGCGCGCAATACGTTCTCTGTGCAGCTTCGAAAAGGAAATTCTCCCTGCTATTCTAAGGACCTACTACGCGGAGTCTTTCCCTCTCCTTGCGTTAGTTCTACCCTGCCCTTTGTCGCTCTCTCGCGCAGTGCAGTCGCCCCCCCACTCGCCTTGCGCCGCCGTGTGCTTTTTTCGAGGTTTCTGCGTTTTTTTCTGGACGGAGCTGCTTTTCGATCTCGGAAATGGCGAGAGGCTGCCTGTCCTAGAGGATATGGTGACTGCCGCCAACGCCATTCAATCTTTGTGCAGAAAGTCTGGTATCATGAAGGGTCTAGGAGCACTGCATGCGAATGTGCTGCAGAGGTTGTTACTTGACGGTTAGGGCTGTTTACGCATCGCACCAGCAGGACGAGCAGAAGACGCGCAATCAAGCGCGCGCCATGACAGGCGGAGTACATACACCCTACGCACATCTGTACATACAAATATAACATACATATTTACATGTACAACATATATGTCTATATGACATACATACATACATATATAACATATATACATATACCACATATATATATATATATATAACATGTATACATACATAACATTACACATGTACATATATAACATATGTATATATATAACTACATATATACGTATGTGTCCTAATGTACTTCATGCAGCCTTTTGGCATCCCCGCTTTATTCTGTACTGTGTTCAGAGCTTTGCTCAGGAAGCGTGGCGAGTTGCGGAGTGTGTAGGGGATCTTTCATGGAAGGAAAGGGGAGACGGGGTAGCTCTGTTTATGCGCATTTATGTGTGAATGTTGGCTCAGACGAATCGCGATCCCAGTGCCGGCATGTCGTCTGTTGCTTTGCTGAAGCAGTACAGCGCATGTCGAGACGCGAGAGACACCGCTGCTGCGGCTGCTTTAGGGACTGCATCAAGAGGAAATGCAAGTGCTGCTTCCTCTTCGGCTGTCATCGCAGAGAAGCAGCAGCAAATAGTGCAGCGCATGCTGCCGAGGTTTAATTCGAAAGCCACCTGTGTTGAGGAGCTTTTCTGCCTAAACGATGTCGTCCCTTTGCAGTTGTTGAATGACGGCTCCATGCACACAGGAACTGCCGCTTCTCCGCTGCTGCAGCTCCTGCAAGAGCAGCAGCAGCACACGGAGGAGCAACAGCAGCAGGCAGCAGCGTGGGGACCTTTTGTCATCGCTGCAGCGAAGCATGCGGCGTTGCAGAGGCGTGTCGGCGCCGATCACCACTTGAGTAAACAGCTGGATCTCCCCCAGTTGGCAAGGCTGCTCAAGATTCTCAAGTTCCTCTGCGTGCTGCTCAAGAAGCAAAGACGCACTTTTGCAAACCAAAAAGACGTATGGCTGCAGTCATATATATATATATACGTAAATACCCTTGCAAGGGTATACATGTATATGTATATGCATAACTTTGTGTATGTATGTATATATATATATATATGTATATGTATATGCATAACTTTGTGTATGTATATCTATATGTATATGAATGTACATATATGTATATGTATATACATATATATATGTTGTACATGAATGTACATGTATATGTATATATATATATATATATATATATGTGTTCACGATGTTGTGCAAGTGCTTTTGCTTCCGTTTGCAAGGTTTGAGGGTCGAACGAGTTTCGTTTGAGAGTGGTTTTTGTGTATGGTGGGTGTTATGCAGCTAGAGAAGCAGCTGCGCGTGGGAGAGGAAGGGCCTGGTGCCGCAGTAACTGCCTGGCTGCAGTCCGAGTACCTTCTTAAGAATGAAAACGACAAGTATTCAATGCCAAAAGCGTATCAGACGAAGTGCGTTCTTTCCGAATGTTCTCGAGTCTTTTGAATCATGAAAGGAATTTTTGGCTTGGCCATCAAAATCGAAGCGAAGCGTGGAAATCATGGCGCTGTAGCGTATAGCGCTTAGGAGCGAGTGTGTATTGTAGTGTATTCATGCGCGCAGAGTACTTGCAACGATTCTATGGAGCTGTTGCGCCTTGTCTGCGGATTTCAAGTTCGATTTCTCTTCTCTTCTAGAGACCGAGTTCAACAACGAGAAAACTGCCAAGTAATACATTTTGCAGTAGAATCGGATTCGACAGAAATCGTGCTTTCAGGTGTACAGGGAGCTAAGCGTGTGGTGGAGGCGGTCGAGCTCTCGCGTTTCTTGGGTTGCTTTTTTTGCGCGGCGATAAGCGTGTAAACAGCCGCATATGTTTTCCTATAAAGTGGAGCCGCCGTGTTTTGGACAGTTATGCGAAAAAGCAGCTGCTTTTCGCACAGTCTGAAAGGGGGTGGAGTGTATTGCAAGTGTGGTTTGCCTGCAGCTTCGCGGCTTGTGCGAGCTTGATTGGCATGAAGCCGTCGCGCGGCAATAAAGTGAGTGCCTCGTTTTGGGGGCGCAAGACATGGAATCTTGGTGCATTACAGAAGAGGGAGGATGATGCAAGAGGGAGGATGATGCAGTTCGCGTGAAGGGGAGTATATGTATGTATATGCATGTATATGCATGTATATCTGTCGGTATGGTTTGAAGGGCCGCAAGAAGGCTGGTGTGAAAAGCAGCAGCGGGGGATTTAGGCTTTGGATTTTTGAGCCTTTGGCTGTGTGTTGAGCCTTCTGGCGTTTCTAGAAGGGTAGTGCTTCACGTTTTTCATATTGAGGGCTAGCGGCGCGTGCGTAGCAGCGTGTAGGGGAACCAGCTGGTGTGAGTATGCTTTGTGTCGGGTGAAGGCTGTGGCGTGGGGTAACTTGCTGCTCTTCGTGTTTTGCGCAGAACGAGTATCAGTTGTGTTTCCCCTCGCCTCTAGCGAGTCTCGAGGAGGCCTCTGATCTGTCTAAGGCGGTGCAGTCCGTCTTGCAGGAAAAGAAGCGGCGCTAGATCCTGGCAGAGCACTCTACTTCCTCGACGCGTGTGTCGCAGCCACCAGCAGCAGCTTACACAGCCGAGTAGCAGCTCCGATACACCCGACTGCCTGAGGGAGGAGGCTCCAGACGGCCTTGCGGAAACGCTGCAGCTGCCGTGGCGCAAATGGAAGAGGCGATGCTTCGGGGGAAGAGCTGCTTTCGTCAGAGGGAGTCACGAAAAAGCCTCAGCCTCCCGAAGCGCTTGCTTTCAAAAAACTTGCCATGTGGCAAACAAAGGAAGGGTCTAGCGGGTGTGGGGGCAGTGGAAGAGACACCTGGACGCCTTTCCTCCCCCCTGACCGTCTTTTGCTTTGCATTTCAAACTGCCAAGTGTGTAAGTGTGTGTGGCACTGTTCTATATACTCCTATTGCTCGTCTGCATGCCTTGCCCCTTAAGAAGCGATGCCTGCAGTCAGAGTCTCTTCAGGCAGGTCGCTTCACCAAAGCAGCAGCAGCAGCCGCAGCAGCAGCAGCCGCAATCTTCTCCTCGCGCTGAGTCGAGGAAATGGAAAAAAATCCCTTCGACGTGATATCGCGTGGCGCCACTCGCAAGCCGAGCTTACACACACAGACACTCACACTCTCCCCCCACGTCCACGCTCACGTCTCACTGTTCGGGTGTAATTCCATGAGACAGCAGCAACTGCTCCAATCTGGAAATCCTGTCAGTAAGAGCTTCGACTTGCGTTTTATACATTGCTGCCGCCTCCCGACTCTCCTGAAGCATTTCGTCCAACTCGCTTACGGCCTCAGCGGCTGCCGTCAGTCTGCACCGAGACATGCAAAAATATCCAAAAATCACACTGCAGTGCCTTGCTAGTCGCACACACAGAAAGAGACTCAGATACACAGACAAAAATGGATACACAGACAAAAATGGATACACAGACAAAAATGGATACACCGACACAGAAATAGATACATAGATACACATGCAGACAGAAATAGATACATAGATACACATGCAGACAGAAACAGACACACAGACAGAAATAGATACACAGATATACAGACAGAAATAGATATACAGACAGCAACAAACACACAGACACACACACAGATACACAGACACACACACAGATATACAGACAGAAAGAGATAAACAGGCAGACACAGATACACCCACAGATATGTATATATATATATGTATATGCACTTGCTGAAACACACAGATACACGCAGAATTTCGCGCGTCAACCCTCCCTCCCCCTTCCCCAACTCCCTCAGAGGATGGTGGATGAGCAGAGAATTCCCCAAGTAAGCTTCCCGTACGCCCCCCCTTCCATACTGTGCATTCTGCATGCTGCCGTTCTGCTGCTCCTCCTCCAGTTGACGCACACGTCGCCTGCAGCACCGCGGAATTCGCATTGAGCCGCCGCAGTCAGCGTTCCCCCCCTCCCACTTGCACACTGCTAGAAAGCGAAAAAAAAGAACCATGTTCCCGCAAGGCGATCTTTTCATCCACAATCTTTTTATCCATGAGACGGAGGCGTCTGTTTCAGGCAGCCGTCAGTCGCGTTCCTCCCGACAGACGCTTCTTGTTCCTTTTTTACTTCAAGGATGGGGTGTACGTACGTCAGAGATTCAACGGTGGAGGCGAGGCTTAGACACTCCGAGGAGAACATCTGCTTCTCTTTAATGGCAGCTCGCAACTCGCTCTGGAATACCAGCATTTGCTGCTCCCTCTCTCGCGCTGCAACAACCCACGTGCCGCGTGAAGTAACACCGTATGCAAAAAAAAATTTTCCAGCCCCCCCTTAATTAGCCGCCGCAATAAAAGATGGCCACACGACACCCCTTAATAGAGAATCGTATTGTTGTGTCGTGGGGAGGGGGCGAGAAAAAGGATTTTCTGCCTCCCAAGCAAGCGCATGCGAAAAAAAATCGAGGTTTGAACGCTTGAGGATTGCAAGCGAGCGACCCACCCCCCGTAGCAAGGCGAAACCACTCCGCGCGATAGCGAGACACTGCTCGCGAGTTCAAGAGGTGCTCGAGATTTTTTTGCGGCTCTTGCATTTGTGTTGTACCCTGCAGATACACACAAAAAGACGCTAAAAGTCTACGCACCGCCTCAGCGGTCAGCACAAGCGTCATGCATGCGGATAAGGAACTCCTCGAAGTCGAAGGCAGGGAGGGAGGGAGAGGGAAGACGAGACGAGACGAGACACACACACATACACATACACACACACATACACATACATACACACATACACATACACACACACATACACATACACATACACATACACACACACATACACATACACATACACATACACATATACATACACATACACACACACATACACATACACATACACATACACATACACATACACATACATACAAGCCAAGCTTATCACCATCAACGCACTCCCTGCCCTGGAGCAATGGCAGCTTCCTCAAGTTGTGCTGCTGATTGCCTCTCAGAGAAATGCTCCTCCTCTTCACCTTCCTTCTGCACAAGCTGCTGCCTTGCCGCGTCTTGCGGCTGCTCCTGCTCCTCCTGCTGCCTTGCCGCAACTTGCTGCTGCTCCTGCTCCTCCCCCTCCTGCTGCTGCTGCTGCACCTGCTGCCGCAGCTGCTTAAGCTCTTCCTGTAGCTTCGCTGCCTCGCGTTGCTGCTCATGGAGCTGCTGCTGCGTCTCTTCAACCTGCTGTTGCAGCAGAAGCTGATGCTGTTGCAGCTCCTTTGCCTATACAGATCAGACAGAGGGAGTTGCCCCCACTAGAATATCAACGCCCATATAGGCAACACCATTTCAGATTTGGCAATGCGAGAAACTTCGGTAGGTACAACTGCTACGGCACCAGTTGGTGAGACAGGAGTCGTAAAGAATACAAAATCCGATTTTAGCGGAGACTTTCACAGCAACGTAAAGAAGCCCTTGACCAGATTTTCCGCATGCATGCACACACCCGACGGCAAGCGGAAGCTTTTTCATCTTGAGCACTTGAAGCCTCCTCCTGCAGATCCAGCACATACATACAAGGAATACAAGACTCCACCCCACACCGCAGTACACTAAACCCTCACGGATCACACATACACATACATATACGCATGCATACATATACACATACATATACCGATATACATACACATACATGCATATACACATACACATACATACACGTACATTCACATGCACATACACATACATTCACATACATTTATACATACATATATATATATGCATTCACATGCACATACACATATATTCACATACATATACATACACATACACATATATACACATACACATATATTCGCATACATATACACACACACATACATTCATATACATGTACACACATACATTCATATACATATACACATACATTCATTTATCTACATATTACACATACATACATTCACATGCATATATACATACACATACACATACATACATTCACATGCATATATACATACACATACACATACGTACATTCACATACACATACACGTACACACCAATACATGTACACACACATACAGATACACATACATATACACATACATACATATACACATACATGTACACATATACATTCACATACAGAGATGCCTTCAAAAAGCTGCATACCTGGGTTGCATGCAAATACTCTCGGAGAGTTTGCAGTTCTGCGGCGCGTTGCTGCTGCAGCTGTGCGAGTTGCTGCTCGTGCTGCTGTCGCTGCTCCTCACTTGCGCGTTGCTGCTGCTGCAGCTGCAAGGTCAGCTCTTCCTGCTGCTGCTGCTGCTGCTGCAGCTGCTGCTGCAGCTGCTGCTGCAACGCATGCAGCTGCTGACGCGCGCATGCTGCGTCTCGCTCAGCTGCCGCTATCCTCTCGCGAGACGGCATGGAGGCGGCAGCAAGCAATGTCTGTACAGCCGTTCAGCAGTAAATATACATATGCATATATAGTTGTACATATATAGAGATATACATATGTGTATACAGCAGGTACACATGCACACACACACATACACAAACATACACACATAAACATGCACATTCACCAAACCGCCAACGTCTAGCCTCGAGTACGCAGCCTCAAATGCATGGGTATTGACGTATCCATAATAAAATTCTTGCCCGCAACTGTTCTCCACTTACGTGTAGCTCAGCGTTCTCCGACTGCACCTGCTGCAGCAGCTGCTGCTGCTGCTGCTGCTGCTCAAAGTGCTGCCTCTCCAGCCGCGCAGCCATCGCCTTCGCTTCCTGTGGCAACCGCACAGAGAGACAAATTGCTGGATAGGAGGCATCGATCGCAAAGCAGCCCCTTCAGCAGTGTACAGTCCAGAGGAGGAAAGGGGAAAAGGATTATTCAAAATAGCTCGTCTCACATGCCCCCCCAAAACTCAGTCATTCTGCTGCTTACGCTGAGCTGATTCGATAGCTGCTGATTGATTGCCTTCATGCGCTCAAGAGTCTCAGCCTCCCTCGAGGCAGCCTGCTTTTCTAGCTGCCTGCAGCAAGCAAAATGCATGCAAGAATACGTGTGCACCACAGCATCCTCAACAGCAGCATGCAAACGCGTCTATATCCGGCTTAGAAGCTCTTGAAAAAATAAAAAAACCAAAAAATAAAAAAACCACTCACTCCTTTGCTGTTCTCGCTGCTGCAGCTTCCGCGGCAGCACTTGAACGACTGGCTTCAGCCTCAGCAGAAGCAGCTGTGAGACGTTGCACCTGTAGTAACAAACCGACAGGAAAAGACACACGCATAAAGGCATATAAGCACACACACACACACTCACATGCCTACACAAACACACACAAAGACACGTGAAGACGTGTCAAGACATACACCCACACATCGACGCAGATAGTATATCCCTACGTATACACACACATATACCCCTCCATATATATACACACACACATCGACACATATAGTATACCCCTCCATATACATATATATATATATATATACATAGACACAGATAGTATACCCCTCCATATATATATATATATATATACATAGACACAGATAGTATACCCCTCCATATACACACACATCGACACAGATAGTATACACCTCCATATACACACACATGTACATATATATATATACTCCTCCATATATATACACACACATCGGCACAGATAGTATACCCCTCCATATATGCACACGCACATCGACACAGATAGTATACCCCTCCATATATATATATATACGCATAGACACAGATAGTATACCCCTCCATACATATACACACACACATCGACAGAGATAGTATACCCCTCCATATATATACACACACATATACCCCTCCAAACATTCACACACACATCGAGCCAGATGGTATACGCCTCCATATACATACACACAAACACACATAGACACCTCCCCATACACACACACACAGAAATGTATATACACTCTGCCTCACACCTAATCGCGTAGCTACGATTCTGTTGCAAGCCAAGACGCGCCGCAGCACGATTTTTTTGCAGTTTTTGATGCCTACTTTGGCTTCCAGTTGACAAATCGCTTTCTCCTTTGCGGCTACCTTTGCAGTGAGCTGCTCCTGGGAATCTTTCAAAGCCTTAAAGCCCTGAGTAACTCACCAAAGGCTACCCACCCTTAGAAGATTCTGCACGCTTAGCGTCTAGGAGAGACACCGCGCAGCTGGCGCATGCGCTCAACAGCAGCATAGCAACAGCAGCATAGCAACAGCAACAAATCGGTGGCAAGAAAGTCGTGGGGAGAGAGAGGCAAAAAAGCAGCTCAAGCCGCCGAATTCTATAGCTGCGCAAGAAGGGGAGTGGAAGACGTAAGGAGGCTCTAGAGAAATAAAAAATGCAATTATTTCTTCGGAGAAAAATTTCAGGCAACGCCATGCCAGCAGCACCCGAGGAAAAGCGCAGCATGCAGCATCGGTGCTCCGCAGCAACTTCTGCAGCAGTATCAGGAAAAAATCTTACATCACATTGCATCCTGAGCTTCTTGATAGTTCCCTCTGCAGCTCCTAAGCGGGTTGACAGTGCCCTTCCTTCCTGCTGCAGCTCGACATATTCTTGCTGCAGCAGCTCGTGCTGCTGCTGCTGCTGCTGCATCTTCTCTTGATATTCTCGAAGGGATGCATTAAGCAGCTCAATGGTTCGCAGCAAGTCTTTCTCGTGAGTCTGCTGCTCCTGCACCTAAGCAGCCGGCACAAACAGCAGCAGCAAGAGCACACGCAGGAGTGGCTACACTGCGAGTAGAAAGGTGTCTGCAATGACGAGCTGGCTATGAGTTCTAAGGGGGAGGGGCTGGGATAGAGCGGCTACATCGAAAGCAACGCCAGCAGCAGAGGCAGCAGTGAAGACACTGCATTCTCTGCGAACTTGTGGCACAAAGAGTTTGCGTCATAAGTTCTCGAGAGAGGAGAAAAAACTTTAAAATTCGCTTAAACTTAAGACGGCATACTTGGCGATGCAGCTGTTGCAGCTCTTCGTCAGGCCTGTGCTGCGCGTCCAACAGAATCGACAGCTGCTCGGATTTGTTTTGCAGCTGCTGCTCCCGCTGCAAGAGCAGCTCCTGCTGCTGCTTCAGTTGCATCTGCTGTCTCGCAAGCTGCTCTTGCTGCTGCTGCAACTGCTGCAGCAACTGGGCACGAGTCGACTCCAACTCCCGCAGCTTCTCCTGAACCTTCTGAGGGTTGACAATCTGCTCTGCTGCGGCTGCTGCAACAGCAGAAGGTGGTGGGGTCGGGGGTGGTGGGGTCGGTGGTGGTGGGGTCGGTGGTGGGGTCGGTGGCACGATGGGTGGCTGTTCCCCCGTCGTGCACGGCAGAGTAGAACCAACAAGCTCAGGCAAAACATGCCCTTGCTCCTGCTGCTCTTGTTGCTGCTCCTGCTGCTCTTGCTGCTGCTCCTGCTGCTCTTGTTGCTGCTGCTGTTGCTGCTCATGCTGCTGTTGTTGCTTGTGCTCCTGGTGCTGTTGCTGCTCATGCTGCTCATGCTGCTCTTGTTGCTGCTGCTGTTGCTGCTCATGCTGCTCTTGTTGCTCATGCTGCTGTTGTTGCTTGTGCTCCTGCTGCTGTTGCTGTTCATGCTGCTCTTGTTGCTTCTGCTCATGCTGCTGTTGTTGCTTGTGCTCCTGCTGCTCTTGTTGCTGTTCATGCTGCTCTTGTTGCTTCTGCTCCTCCCGCTCTTGTCGCTCATGCTGCTCCTGCTGCCCATGCTGCTCCTGCTGCTGCTGCTGCTGCTGGTGTTGCTCATGCTTCCCTTGTTGCTGCTCTTGTTGCTGCTGCTCTTGTTGCTGCTGCAGCTTCACTTGCTGCGGCGATTTCCCCTGGGGTGTCTTCTGACGCTCAGGCTTTTCCTGCCGTTGCTCCTCTTGACTTTCCTCCGCCTCTGTTGTCAGCTGCTGCAGTGACGCCTTTGTCTCAAGCTTTGGAAAACATGCCTCTTGGTGTGCTGCCAACAGCTCTTTCAAGGTGCTCTCCTTATCTGCCAGAGGCTTTTGCAGCGAGTGAAGCTGCTCCGCAGTTGCTCTAATGGCAGTAGTCGAAGCCTCAGTTGCTGCAGGGAACGCATCGACTGCCGCTGATGACTTTGATGCTGTTGCTACTTCTCGCATCAAGTCGTCTGCATTTGCTGCAGCTGCCGCTTCTGCGGCTGCTTCTGGTAGTGCTGCTGCTCTTTGGGTGCTCGCATGTAAGAAGGTTACTGCTGCACAGCCTTCAGCCTGCGTATTGCCTGCAGCAGTCTCTTCTGACGCTTCTGTTGCTTTTAAGAGACAACATGTAGCCTCTACTGAACCTCGATCGACCCTGTCTGCTGATGCCGATACTGGTGCTTCTGCTGATACTGGTGCTGCTTCTGCTTCTGCTGCTTCTGCTGCTGGTGCTGCTGCTGGTGCTGCTATTGCTGATACTGGTGCTGCAATCTCTGCAGCTGTTGCTGAGCATGCAGCTGCCTCAGCCTCCGTAAAATAAGAAACTGCCCTCTCACTGAAGAGATCCAGCCTCGCCAGTTCTTCAGCTGTCTCTGCTGCTTCTCCTTCTTTTGATCCTGACGCTGGTGCTATATCCAGGAGATCTGGGAGTTGTTCGCTAGCTGCAGCTGTTTGCGCTTGCGCTGCAGCAGATGTCAACCACACAGGAGCTGCAGAATGGCAGGCTTTTCTCTGAGATGTGACTGCCGCTACATCCTCCTTGACGTCAGCCTTCTTGTTTTGTCGCAAATGCAGAAAATCCGACAACAAATCTTTATCTTCAAAGCCCATAGCAGCGCCATCCCCTTCGACAGCTCCCGTTGCTGTTGCAAACTCTGCTGCCGCCTCTACGCCAACAGGCAGTTTGCTTTCAAGACACTTGGTAGAAGCAGCAGCAGCAGCAACAGCAGCAGCAGCAACAGCAGCAGCACCTGTCACTTCTACCGGCCGTCCTCCTTCTGTTTCAGGTTTGCCTTTTGTATCTGCTGCTGTTGCTGCTATCTCTGGTGCTGTTGCTGCTATCTCTGGTGCTGTTGCTGCTATCTCTGCTGCTGTTGCTGCTATCTCTGCTGCTGTTGCTGCTATCTCTGGTGCTGTTGCTGCTATCTCTGCTGCTGCTGCTATCTCTGCTGCTGCCTTTGGCTCTGTTATTTCTGCCGTAATACCGCCTGCCTCGATCGCAGCAGACATTGAGACGCCTTTAAGTTCGTGGAGAAGAAAAGATTCTTTTGAAGAATTCTGAAAGGCAGTAAGGATGCCAGTGCGACTGGCATCCTTACTGCCTTCCGCTGGCGATGACGACATGGCTGCTGCAGCTTCAAGAGATTCTCTGCATGCAGAATCTGCTGGAGAACTCGCTGCTCCTGCAGACGAGGCTTCTGTTGCAGGTGCGTGGCAAGCGCAAGGCTCTGCAGCATGGCTGAAGTAGTCTGACGCTGCTGCCAGTGAGTGTATAGCCATTGGAAATGCCTCTTCAGATTCGCCCAGTGCTGGAGCTTGGAGCGATGGTAGAAGACTAAGCCGTTCTGATGTTGCCTCTGCTTGTGTTGGGGATGCTGCCACCCCTAAGGCTTCTGCGCGAGCAGCTTGAGTTTCGTCTTGTGCAGCTTCCCCCTCCGACTGAAAAAAGCCACCTTTGTTTGCTGCTGATGCGTTGACTTCTGCAGAGGGCGCTGCAGCAGCAGCTGCTGCTGCTGCTGCAGCGTTCTCACTTGCTGCACCACGCCTTGCATTGCTGCCAGAAGACACCTGCCCATGTATCCCAAGAGATGCATCAACGGGGTGCTGCTGCTGTTGCTGTGAATTCTGTTGTTGCTGCTGTTGCTCCGAATCATGTTGCTGCTGTTGCTGTGAATTCTGTTGCTGCTGCTGTTGCTGTGAATGATGTTGCTGCTGTTGCTCCGAATCATGTTGCTGCTGTTGCTGTGAATAATGTTGCTGCTGCTGTGAATCATGTTGCTGCTGTTGCTCCGAATCATGTTGCTGCTCCGAATAACGTTGCTGCTGTTGCTCCGAATCACGTTGCTGCTGCTGTGAATATTGTTGCTGCTGTTGCGAACGATTGCGCCTTAGAGGGTCCCTCTGGTAATCAGCTGCTTCTTGTGTTTTTCTTTCTGGAGCTGTTGCTGCGGTAGAAGGGGCAGCTGCCACCACTCTTTGGAGGAAGCTCTGTGACTCCTGCAGCTTCAGTTGATTTTGCCGCTGACTGCTGTATACTGAGGACTGTAACAGCACTGTGTCATCCTCCTCTGCCTCGAAGTCTGCAAAATCCTCTTCCTGCTGCTGCTGCTGCTGCTGCTGCCACGGAGCCGTGGGTGCAGCTTCACGAACCTTGCGGATGATGTTTGGTGCAAATGAGAAGGATGGATTTTTGGTTGGTGCTGCTGCTACCCTTCCCCAAAAGCGATTGATGCCTTCCAAGGCGGCAGCTGCGGATGACTGGCCGTGTTGAAGCAGCACTTCGGCTCCCATCCAGCTGCTGCTGCTGCTGCTACTACTGGTGTTACTACTGCCACTGCGGCTGCTGTTGTTGCGATCCGGATACCAATAATTGTCATCTTCGTTTGTGTCATCGTAGTCGCTGCTCCTGCCTGAAGGCTGGGCTCTCCTGCTGCTGCCGTTGCTGTTCCCAGTCAGGGCGGCTTCGAAGGTTTCATCGAGCTGTCCAGACACCGTGCGGGCGACATCTTTCGCATTATCCCAGAGAGACTGCATCTCGCGTTTGTCTTGATGACTCCGCTGCAGCTGCTACATGGGTTGTCTCCCCAGGCGGAGGCAGAAAAACGCAGCGGCCATACCCCTTTGAGGCAGATCGTGCTGCTCGTGGCACTTTCTGCGAGGCGATCTCTGAGAGGGTTCAACTCCCCTTTCCAGTGACTCCTTGTGGAGAGTTAGCAGACGATCAACAGACGCGATGCTCGTGGCAGCTGCGTCTTTCTGCGTGGTCCTTGACGTACGGGGTGCTGCTCCTCCGAGAAGTGTCTGATGACGCTGCTGCCGAGGCTGTTGCTGCTGTCGGTGCTCGACGGGCGACCACTGAGCGTGGAAACACCTGCGTTCATGACATTTCCAAAGGCTACACACACCTCCACCACAATGATATGGCCGATGCTGGCGTTGGTAATAATAGTGCTGCTGCTTCCTCCCTACTGGACCTAGTTCCCCTCTCCTCTACACAGCGCTGCCACCCTCTTGAATCCGCGAGCACGTCGTTCTGCCCCCTCTCCTTCCTGTCTCGTTTCACACTACTGAAACTGCCGTTGTTTGGCGTACCTTCTGCCGCTGCAAGAGCAGAGCAGCAGCCGCAGCTGCGCTCCTCTCGTGGTGTCGCCTCCATGCAAAAGCTGCTGGCAGGAGCGCAGGGGCCGCTGCCGACACTGTCAGCAAGGCAGTCTCTGCTCCTGGTATTATTTTGCCGGTATATCTAGTGCTTTGCTTCATATATGACTCTTTCTTGCGTTTTTAAGCGTGCTTCGTCATGTTTCATCATGCGAGGAGCGCTGGACATACACCCCAAGTACAGGTGTTTCGGCAGCAGCAACAACAACGACAGCAGCAGGAAGCACGCAGAAGCATGCTTCTTTTTTCAAACGCTTGCGAAGCAGCAGAACGGCAGTTCTGAGGAGCATCCGCAGCTGCTACATCCGCAGCTGCTGCCCTTTCCTTCCTTCCTTCCTTCCTTCCTTCCTTCCTTCGTCTTTCACGACGCAGGAGCAGTCGTCTCAGCGGCAGCTGCCGAAGGAGGACTGCCCTCCACCTGGCGCAACTTGAATGCTCGAACAAGATGCAGCCTTCCCTGAACAAGGGCACACTTCAGCGGATGGACTCGGAGGAACGCTTTCAGGAGCAGCCGTTCGGGTGCCTCCAGCAGAAGCAGCCGCATTGTTGCCATCCCCTCGAGGAGACATCCTCGCGTGTCGGATTGCATGCGACGTTACCATGGACCATGAGGAGTTGCGAAGACGGCAGTGCACACCTTGGAAGTTGCGGTGAAGCCGCCGCTTTTCGATCTCGGGTGTGTTTTTGCATGTGTTTGTGGAGTGCGTCTTTGTTGGGGGCAGAAATGCCTGTGTCATGCTGCATGCCTCGTTTCGGCTCAGCAGGGGGGGCATCTTCCTTGCTGCCGGCATGTAATCTTGCGGCTGCATACAGTAAGACATATATTGTCTGTATGTGCTTTTGCGGAGACTCCTCTGACTTCTAATCTGCTGCTGCGTAGCCGAATCCCCCTCCCCCTTCTTCCTGAAGAAGAGACTTTGCTCACGCGGATATGCACAACTCTCCATTCTGCTCTTTTCTCGCGGTGTACTTTGCGTCTCCCAGGAAGAAGCCCTCTCCACGAGATCTTACCCTTCCCCCGTCTCCTTGCGGGGAGCGGATTTGCTGCTTGATCAGCTGTACGGATTGCTGCAGTGCCTCTTCAACATTGGTGCGCTTCAGCGGCTGGCAACTCCCTGTCTGGAAGCTCTTGAAGCAAACACGAGGAACTGCGTGTGCAGCACCTTCCTTCCCTATCTCTCTCCCCGCAACTCCGCTGCTTCGTCTGCGAATGCCTTGAAGCCTCATAGAAGCGATCTTCTGCTGCAGGCTTCCTGCCTTCAAAGCAGTGCAGATTCTTTCGCAAATGCCAAGGCAGCACCAGCTGTAACAGTAGCAACAGCAACAGCAACAGCAGCTACAGCAACGGGCCCCCTGCAGGAAGCACAAGAATTCTCTCCACTTCACGCTGACGACACGCAGTTAAATAGTGACTCAGAAGACGGAATAAACACGGAAGAACGCCAACAGCGACAACAAAGACTGGCTGCAAGAGACAGAGAGCAGACACGCACATACTCTGTCCTTGATGCATATGACGGCTTCCCCGGAGGAGGAAGAAGAGCAACAACAATAACAACAACATCACCAACAGCACTAACAACACCAACAGCACTAACAACACCAACAGCATTAGCAACACCAACAGCACTAACAACACCAACAGCACTAACAACAGCAACAGCACTAACAACAGCAACAGCACTAACAACACCAACAGCATTAACAACACCAACATCATTAACAACAGCAACAACAAAATCACCACCAACAGAAAGCACTCCTGAGACTGCATCCTTGACAGCCGGCCTAGCGAGAGCTCCACCAGGATGTTTCAGCTCGATCGACAGCTCTGAACACCCCCCCAGCACGCCACAAAGCTGTAGCAGCCTTCACAATGCGGCAGCAGCAGACCTCTTTTGCGCAGACGCATCGAGTGGAAATACAGCAGCAGCATCTGATAGTCGGCTACTGTGGCATCGCACTGAAGGACCTCTCTTTCGACCACCACTGCCACGATCATGGAGTATCCTCAGACAGGAGTCTGGCAGAATTCACGCCATGTCTCTGGAATGCGCTGGGCAGGAGAGTCGACAGGAGAAGTATTTCACTCCGCTTATGCTCGTTAGAGCCTTCAAACGACTGGATGCAGTGTACAGGCTTTCTTCGAGGTCGTTCGCCCCCCCCTCGCGCAACGAGTGCCGAAATCTCCTCAATTTAGCGCAGGTGTATTTACACGTGTAGAGACCTCTGCGCATCTCGCCAATCCTTACTGCTGCTGCCTCCTTGGAGAGAGCTTTTTGCCTCCCGTCTCTCACCGTGCTCGCGCAGGAACGGTCCAGATCGCTGGCAAACTGCCTCTCTGGTCAGCTAGCTAGCTAGCTAGCTAGCTAGCTAGCTAGCTTCTTGTTTCCAGCGTCTTCTCATTGGTGGCACTTGTTCTTCGCGTGCCCTCCTGTTGCAGATTTTTGCGAGCCGCCAGCGGCTGCGGCTGTTGACGCTCGATGGTGACGAGACACTTTATCCTAATGGAGAAAACTTTTGCCACGAGGAGATGGGTCGTAATATTGCACAGCTCCTGAGGAAGGGGGTAGCTGTGGCAGTCGTTACGGGTGCAGGTAACTGCCTGTGGATGTCTTTGCTGCCTCGCATAGCTTCTTCTTTCTCTCTCTCTATCTATCTCTTTCTCTCTCTTTCCGCCAGTACACGCACCGCATCCCGCACCGAGCCACCAACGTTGTTTGTTCGTGTTGCAAGGCACTCATTCTTCCGCAAAAAACTGTTTCTGACGTCCCCCCACATAACGTATCCTCCCTCTATGTCTCCTCTGTTTATTGTCTCAATCTGCTCTTTTGCCTCGCTCTGGCTAGATCCATGCATGTCCGTCTGAATTGCTCTTCACATGTCTGCCTATGTGTGTCTTTTTCCCTCTCTCTCTCTCTCTCTCTCTCTCTCTCTCTCTCTCTCTCTCTCGCTGAGTCTCTTTTATCCTCCTGTACATGCTTTTGCTCTCCTCGCAGTCAGGAGATTACCTCCCTTGCCGCTGAAATGTTTACCTCCTGCTGCACTGCCTGTAGGCTACGGATACGAGGCTGAAAAGTATGCAGTCCGGCTGGGAATCCTCTTGACTATTTTCGCACAAGAACGTCTGCCTCCCAAAGCAACCAGGAGATTTTTTCTCATGGGTGGAGAATCTAATTATCTCCTTCGGTCCGTTAGACAGGGCGATGCACGCAGATGCTGTTGGAAGTAGGAGTAGCAAAGCCACAGCAACCAGCTCATATGGATGCGCCAGAGAAATGACGTTTTTCCGAATATTCTTTCATGCATGTGCTTCGGCGTGGGCTTAAGCTGACCGTGGCATCGTGTCTCTGCACAATGCAAACGCGTCATTCTGCGCCTCTCTCGCTCTCGCCTCTGGGATCCATCCTTTTGCAGAGCTCGCGGAATCCTTTTTGTGGTGTCTCTGCATGCCGCTCCTCTTGCTGCAGCTTGTCTTCCAGTCTCAAGCTGGAACCAGTTCCGGAGGAGCTGTGGAGGGGTTATAGACCTCCGATCGAAGCGGCAGACTGTGAACGTTTGTTGGACGTATCAGAGAGGAGTTTGGTGCTGCTTTCAAAGGATCTTGGTCTCGAGGGTAATGTCATTAGGAAGCAAAGAGCAGTGGGATTGGTTCCAAGAGACGACGCAACAAACAGTGCGTCTGCATGCACGCGTGTCCGCGTTATACGTAACAAATCTTCAGGCTCCGTTGCACTGCCGTGGACTGAGCGAATACAATTTCTGACTATCACCCCTTCAGGAAAGACGCCTCGGCACTCTCACCGTTGCAATCCAGCGGGCGTCATACTCGCGCAGGCACACGCTCCGCAGGCACTGCTGCCAAACAGACAAACAGACAGACAGCCGCCTCTGCTTGTCTTCCTGCCGCGTTGCCGCAGAAGTTCGTTTCGGATGCGTGGATAACAAGGGGATGCACAAAGAAAGCCTAGAAGAAGGCGTCATGCGTGTCAGACGAGACATTCGCGCGGCTTTTGGTAGGGGCCGGATCCACTGCTGCTTCTGCCACTGCTGCTGCTTCTGCTGCTGCTGCTTCTGCTGCTGCTGCTGCTGCTGCTGCTGCTGCTGCAACAGCTCTCGCTCCAGTAACTGGGGGTGCCCTTGTTGGCAGCTGCTGCCGCGATCGTTGCGTCCTAGGCATGTCGAATCGTGACGCTTCTTTCGCTGCGCACTGTGCGCAGGAGGGGACTGCCCGGTTCCCTACAGTGTCTTTACAGGAGGATGCGACATTTGGGTAGACGCTGGAAACAAAGCCGAAGGCGTAGCCTTGCTTCAAGGGCTTTTAAAACTCAAACCTGAGCACTGTCTCCACGTGGGAGATCAGTTTGACCTCGTTGGGAACGACCTTGCTGCAAGGTTCGAGGAAAGAGCTGCTGCTTGCCAGTCCTGGCTGTTTCTGTACTGTTTGTATCAAGGCAGCCACTAGCAACCGCTGTTGTGCTTTTCAGAGAGGATCATTTGTTTTGGAATGAAGCGTTCTCTCTCTCGTTTCATAAAAGAGGCAGAAAACGTTCCCTGCCGTCTAGCGTAGGGGCGTTTCAGCACACGCGGCGGCTCCCTCGCAGCATCCCGACACGTCTTTGTGCCTCTGCGTCTACTGTGATCTGCAGGATCTGTTCACCAACCCTCTGGATTCGCAATCCAAAGGAGACAGCAGCAGTCATTTGGGAGCTGCTGCAAGCGGACTCCGAGAATGAAGAAGAGAGCAGTCCATAGTGTAGATTTATCCGTAAGCCCACATGCACCTTAGAAAGCACTTCACCGCTTGCAGCCCTAGAGAGCCGCAGCAGCTGTCTGCATAACTGTTATTAAAGCAGCAACACATTCCACGCTCTGCCTCCTGTATATACCTGTGAATGCTCGACAAGCAATGCATCTTCTGCACGGCAGCAAGGAACACAGACGTGGCAGTACATGCACCCCACCAGAGGCAGGCGTCACCACGTCCGTATATCCAGCGGTCTTTATTATTGTGGCGATGTTCATCTCTCTGCTGCTTCTTGATCCTGTGATGAATGAATCAGTCTATATGCATATGTATGTGTGCTATTCCTCGTGTCCTTCGGTACTAGACTACGTTTTGTCTCCCATCAGACACTTGCACTGGATCTGAATCGCACCGGTATCATCATTTAGGTCTGGTTGGCTCGGTGCTTCATTCCAGATTTCTATGCTTTTTTGCATGCAACTCGAAGCCACTCGCTTGGCTTTCGTGGTATTACCGGAGAACGCCTGCTTTTTTGGTTGCTCATGTTCGCTACGATGCCCGTTTCTCGTGTCAAATGAGAACGCTGCTTGGGGAGTGGGCTCTTTTGGCCGCTAGCTAGGCACGAAGCTGCATATCCCAATCTATCTATCTATATATATATCTATACACAAATACATACATATATTATATTCCTAAAACGAACTTCTGCACGGCCTGCATCTTGGACTGGTATGCAGACACTCCGATCCGCGGTGCCTACGCCAAGAGTCAACGCGTGCCTTTATCAAGAACGATATGCGTCTTTAAGCAATGATTCATGTCTCATTGCCTGCATTTTCGCAACGCTAAAATTGCTGGCAACCCAAAAAACACAAGGCCGCACCAGGGGAAATGGCATCCTCCCCCTCCCAATTTGGCATTCAATTTATGGACGTGAGGACCGTGGAGGTTTCAAAGATGTATATATTGAGGTTTGCAGAAATTCTGCCAAAGTTCGCAGGCGTTTGCAATTTTTTCTCCCTGCACGCGATCAAGGCTTCAAAAAGTCATGCCACTTATTTGTTGAATATTTGGATGACCGCCTTGCGCTTGATACGAAGTTATTCCGAGTACATGTTTATTACCACTTCCGAGTTTCGCTGTGACGACTTTCGGAGGTTTCCATGCATTGTGGGCACTTTATGTGCCACCAGAGCATCGAGTCGGTGTTGGCGAGCATTGCCTATAAGCCGAACACGGATTTGCAGGCACACAGTCTCGTCGTATATAGGTGGTGCCGCGTATTTCATGCTGTTCCGCATGAATACAGCTGCATTTATAAGAGAAACTCGCTGCCAAAGTGGAGCATTTTATAAGCATGCACCTGTTGCACCGCTCATCACAAGATGAGAGCCGTACCTTCGATGATCTAGATGCTGGTAGTGCGAATGAAAGAGCGGCTATATCTGCGCGCGCGATTCGTTAATAATCGGATCTCTACTGAATACTTTATCTGAATGAGTACACACGTTTGACAAGTTGCCTTTGTAACCACCGAATTCACATGCTGCAGATACCTCAAACACAGCTGGATCACCTGCACAGCAGTCTAGTTCCAACGTTGAGGGCCATACGGTATTATACACTTGTGTGTGGTGTTAAACGAATTTCGAACGTCTTCATGCCACTAAAACAGCTGGTGTAGGAACATTTGTACCTATTACAGACCCTGCAACTAGCCAAAGATGATCACACTAGAGAAAGGTGCAATACATGGAGCGCAGGTGCATTTTGCCTCCTGGACAGCTGTGAACGCTACCAACCCTTTAATCCAGAGGAGAAGAACTGATTACTTACTTCAGCAGGAAAGCAAACACACCTCTTCCTGGAATGTGCCAATCGAAGTCGTCTGCTGCCTTTCCCAGCAAAGCCGAATCCCGGTCAAACCTACTACACAATCGTTGCTGCTGCACTACAGGAAATATATAACTTGGTAGATCTACACAGAATATATTTGTTTTTACCAGTTTACTTACGCGCGAACTGAGCCACCATAGGCAGGGATTCTTTGTACAGCGCACGCTCCCATACGAACCGTGAGACCCCTGTCCTGTGAATTCATTACTGCCTTCACTCTCTCTCACCCATAGTTTATGAGGTTTAGAGCATTAAAACTACGTGGTATGTCGGTACTGCTTACTCGCTTTGCTCTTCCCGAATGTATAATCCTCGTTCACTAGGCACCAGGCTTGTCTAATTGTGGGTGCCCCCCTTCTACGTATTCCAGTCCACTCACTTTCTATATGCCACACCGACGAATGCATAAATCGTATTCGAATATAGCACGGTGCCATTATACCCCCTCTTAAATCCGGCTGGAGCTGTGGCTACAACGCTGGTAGATTGTTACCTCCAATCCAGTTTGTAGCTGCTTCAGCATTATTAAGACTAGCTCAGATGAAAGCCCATTAAAATATTGCTGATATATAGTGGCATCTAATGCTGCTTGGCATATGGATCTTCAGTAGGCTATTGATCGCTAAGCAAAGCCTGAGTGCTCGTCGTGCCGCCTGTGGTGGCGCCGACGGCTGCACAGTGGCAGTGCTTTTCCAATATAGCCTACGGCCCTGTAATTTGGAGAGAACCCTGGGTGTAGCGCCTTCAACATATGAAGAAACCACTTATTGTTCATTCGCTGGGCTACCTCATTTGGTTGTGTGTACTCGTAGGTTTGAGAAGTGTAGCACCATATTGTATCCCTTGTGTGAAATACCATATTGTATCCCTTGTGTGAAATGCAGCCATTAGTGCCTCTAGAAAATGCTGATGAGCATGTCTTATTTGACGCGCACATATAGGTATCTCCAAGCAACCTCTCTTCTCTTGGACCCTGGAACGTTTTCTCCGTTTCGCCCCTCCGTCGTAGGCAGTAGCTCCAGGAGAGCTGGGATGTCTGCATAGCATATGCCACCAGTTTTTGGGTGCGGTCCAAGCAAAGAGGAGATTTGCGCAGCGCGCGTGCGGTGTCTTGCATGGGAACTGGGAAGTGAGTGCTCCACAGGGATACACGTGACGGTATGTCCATTGGACCATTGAGTCAGCTACCCTAGGTTCATGGCCAGGAGGCACGTGTCTCTCATTTCTTGCTTGTTGAATTTCGCTGGTAGCGCTTCTATTGTGACAACTCAAGCCTACTGAACATTGGGAGAGCTGCAGAAGTGCAACCAGGGTAGGGTCACACCAGTGAAGTGGTTTGTGCTGTAAGCGCACGCTCACAGAAAAGTTGCGCTTTTTCGGCTCTTATTGCTTTGATAAAAAGAAGATTTTTGACCTTTTGGAATTTTCTAATTGATTTACTCATGTGAAATGTGGCTCGGTTTCTACGTTTCACCCTGTCGCCACTCCTCCTGTGGGACCATCAGGGCCACTGCCTACGGCCGGACGAGTGAATGGGGAACCCGCGCCATCTGAGGCTTTTTTTGCTGTGTGCATTTTGTACCCGCCTCTAATGGCTGCCAAGTGCTTTCTTAACGTTCAAGGCGCTTTTAAAGGGGTTCAACTGCTCAGTTGCACGAATGGGAGCTCCATCATTAGGGGGTAACGAGAACTGTCAACCGCCTCAGTGTAGCAGCGAGGCCGGGTTCTACGTACTTGTTTCCGGAGCATCCGTAAGGCACCTGCATGCATCGGAGCTTTGGTAAATGTGCATCTGTCTTCTCCCTGTTTATCCGCGCCTAACCGAGCACTCTGGATCTCCACCGCGTACTGCCCTGCTGGTCCAAAGCCCAGCACCTTGTCTTGCTCGTCATCGCTTTAAATTTTAATTCTTCTGGAGCTATGTACAATAACTACCAGATCACTGCCGTGAGGGGGGCTCGCCTCTCCTCTCTACCAGGTTCCAGTGGTGCTACAGCCCAACAGCCCATCCCTAGAACTCTGGTGACCAAGTCGCAGCAGATCTGCACTTTTTTTGCGCACCAGAAGGCAGCTAAACAGGTTGCCGTTGCTGCTGCCGCTGACAAAGTCTCAGTAGCACCAGCCACGCCTAGAAAGACAGAAAAATCGGAGGCGGCAGTTGCACGAGCAGCAGCTGTCACGGAAACAGCAGCAAAAACAGTAGCAGAAACGTCGGCTGTAAATCCACCCGCGAGCGTGGACGCCTCAACAGCAGTCGTAGTAGCATCGGCGGCAATTGAAGCAGCAGCAGCCGCGTCGATTGCAAGGGTTCCGCTCGATTTCCCTACAAGTCCAGCCAGCATTAGAACCTGGAGGGATTTATTCTCTGCCGCGTCAGAGCCAGATGACGAAGGGCAGTGGTGCATGATCCAGCAAAGACAGCAAAAACATCACCCGGAGCTAGAATGGCAGCAGTTGCATTCAGCTTCTCGAGTGCACCAGCAATATCAGCGGCAGCATTACCAGCAGCAACCTCAATTACAACACCAGCAACAGCAACAGCGAGTACCGCGCCACTACCAAACTTCCCTACGACCAGAGCAACAACGTTGCCAATGGCAGCAAGCACAACAGCAGCAGCAAGATCACCACGAGTGGCGGCAAGCACAACAGCAGCCTTTTCCCTCTTCTCCGCAAGCACGGCTGCTGGACCAGCAGCTTTGGCAGCAACAGCAACACCATGCACTTTCGAAGTGGCAGCTCCAGCAGTCACACGACGATGAACTCATGCTACTGCAGCAACGCTCCAGGCAATACTACCCCTATCCCACTGCACAGTACTTGCCTCCACAGCAGCCTACGCAGCAACCTACGCACTGGTATATGCCACCACACGAATGGCATGAACCGAACAACAAGGGCCTTCATGAGAGTCAAAAAGTGCCAGATTCGTCTCCTCACATCATGCAGCAGCAGCCATTGCCACCCCAGCACCAGGCACTGCAGCATCCACAGCAACCCAGCCAGTCATACGCGTACTATCATCAACAGCTGCAGCATTACGAGAAATTGCTGCGGCAGGTTCCCGAGCAGCACCATACTCAGCAGCCAGAATCAGAGCACCAGGCACTCAAATTTCCACTGCAACAGCAAAGCAGCCTTCAGCAACCACAAGAGCAGGACCTGCTGCAGGCGCAGCCCTTTTGGCAACCGCATCAAGTCAACCAGCAAGGTGACCAGCACCTCGCGCTGCATCAGCAACAGCAATTGACGATGCTACAGCAGCCCATGCAGATGCCAGCGGCCTGTGCGCAGCATGCGTGGCTGGCAGCGGAGCAGCATCAAGTAGTGATGCGGCAACACACGCACTTGCAGGTGCTGCAGGGGCGGCAGCAACACCGTCTACAACAGCAGTATGTACAGCTCATTCAACAAGAAAGATTGCCGCGGCAGCAGGAGCAGGAGAGGGAGGCAGAAGAACTCGGGCTGTATGGGGAACTGGAGCAGTACCTCGAGCACACCTTTGACGCTGAGCACTTTCCAGACACCCTGCCTCCTGTTTTCAAGCTCTGTAAGTCGGTGGTTGGGATGCTGGACGAATGTTCAGCCCGCGAAGCGGAAATGATTCTTGACATGACGAGCTAAGCCGCGAAAAGCTCACTAGGCTTTTTTTTAGGCTCCGCGTCAACCACCGGGCAAGCCATAGATGGCAGGTATCTTCCGCATAATAATGCAAGTCAACAGAAATCTGCTAACAGCCTCCTTACCACTTGTGCAATCGATATCTCCACGTCTCTGTCACTGCGCTGAGGTTCACTTGAATCATTACACCATGCGACGCGGGTGGATGACCAAACATACACTCAGTACCATAGCGCAAAGACAATGTGGCAGCACAAGAACATGCATGTGGTTCAAGAATGCTCAGAGGAGAGGAGATGGTTCTTCTGGGGTTTTCTCTTCTTTGTGCTTCCCTTCTTGCCCCTCACTCCTCTGTGCTATTAGTCCTGAGGTGTTGTAGCTGCTGTATCTACTGTTCCCTGGGGAGCCTTCGGAGCGAAGGCAGCGTGCAACTGAGGTTTTGTTTGATTTGACTCGGCTTGAGAGGAATATCTGAGCAAAATCAGCTTCCCAATTGCTAAGCAACTCAATTGTCTTTATTTGGCACTAAAGAGTTCTTGATGGTAGTCACTGATCAGTGTAGACCCTGGTTCAGCTATTTCTGTGACGCTTTCTCTGTGTTTGTGGGAAGGGATACACATAAATTTAGACTCAATACAAACTCAATATGGAGTTGAGGAGTGGCTTCTTCTGAGGGGTCCTTGCTTCCTTCCCCATGCCTGCATCATCCACAGGTTCCTCACTTTAGGGCAGAGGGACGGCAGGAGGCTAGTGGCTGTACCCTCGTAGAGCTCCGAGCATTTAAACCAATTGCACATACGATTTACCGCACACGCACAAAACATGGGGTCTTTTTGCGGAACTGGCAATGCTCTGCAATAAACGAGATGCCCACACAAACAAACCTACTAGCCAATACGGCACTAATGCTTGAATAAACATAGCTCATAGAGTAGAAGCTGGTCAAGTGTAGCTTTGCCCAACACGAATTCGGGCAGGACGGTTTGCAGTTAGCGGCTCCCCGGCTCGAAGGCAAGAGCACGGCTACAAGTACAAGTTCCAGAGTCTGCAGTGTACGGCTCATGAATACATTTCTCATATCTGATTAATGGGTCTGGTGTTTTGCGTGCTTCAAGGTAGTCTGTGTAAGGAGTGCACACTGGGCGTCCTAAATATTTTCGTTCTTAGAATGTAAGCCTTTGGCTAAAAGAGAGCTCTGTTAGGGCTTCGCCTGGATATGTCTTTCCGAGGTGTGGAACCATAAGAATCTGCAAGCTGGTCAGATCCCGTCGATCCGCTGATCGCTACTAGGACCCTCGAGACAGGCACACCGTCTGAGAGAGAGTTATGCCTGATGTTCAGCTGCTACGTTGAATGGCTTGGCTAACTGGTAGCGGCCAAGATGGCCATGTGCGGGCTAAAGTTTCTGGCGAGTGTCCGTGGTTTTTCTGGCATCTCTTCGTGGGATGTGTGCTTGAGTTCGCCCGCACCAAAAGGATTTTGTGATCGTGTCTGTGTGTTGCCGCCTTCTCCCTCTACGTCAAACCCGAGAGCGACTAAAGCGACACGCCATGTGTGTTCAAATGGGCACCTTGCTGATCATCTGAGTGGTCGGTACAGTTGACCCGTTGCTCCCAGCAGGGCGGTATTGAATATGCATGGCAATATCGCTCGCAGGTTCGAGGCGTTGCCAACGAAACGCCTCAGGAGTGAAGGCCAAGGGTAGGGCTGAAAATACGTATTTATAGCCAAAGGAATTTAATTTGTGTGGCTGGATGGAGATCTTGCACTGTGGGTTTCGGTATGGCCCTGGCGCCGACAGCCTCGCTTGCCACCCTCATGGGGTGAACCGTTTGCCGTTATTGCGACTTCTGTTGGGGGATTTACTTTGCCGCTTCTGTTCTGTGTGTTATTTTTTGTTAGATGTCTGACGCCCACTGGAAAGCAGGGGTTTCACTTTTCGTCCCTATTTTACTCGAGACTCCATCACCCAGCTCAGGGAGCGGCGCTGGCACGTCTTGTAAGGATGTCTAGGGAAGAATCGACTTTTAGATGCGCATGCCAAATCCGAGCCATCGCTCATGACTCGATTTCCTCAGCTTCCCTGTTCTTGCTGGTGTCTGTTGTCGCGGGGACGGCGCTGCTTCTGCTGCAGCCCTCCAGACTGACCAGCCTCGTTGGTACCTGCTCCTGCGGCTTCAGTACAGCCGTAGCAGCAGCCATCGGGGCACTGCTTTGGCTCTATGTTCTTAGGAGACTCGCTGAGGGTTATCGGCTCCCACCCTCTCTCTGGCCCAAGGATGAGCGGTCAGCCCTCTTTCGCTGCGTAGAGAGCTGCCTTGCGCTCCTTGGCATGCAGCTGCTACGGCGCGACGTGCACATGCAGCAGAGTCCAAAACACATGAAGGGCAAGGTGTGTGCAGTCACGGGGTGTAACTCCGGCATAGGAAAGGAAATCGCTCTGCAGCTCGCTTCCTGGGGTGCCCGTGTAGCTGTGCTTTGCCGCAACGAGGAAGAGGGAAAGTCTTTGGCTCGCCAAATACACCTCCAGCATCAGAAGGAACGGCAGGAGGAGGGGGATCCAGGGCAGTGCGGCAGTGCATGCGAAGAGGGGGGTTGCGTGGCGCGTTTTATCAAGGCGGATTTGTGCTCCTTGCAATCTCTACGGGAGGCCGCTGCTGAAGTGACAGACTTCTGCAACAGCGGCAACGCAAGCGCCGAAAACAGCAGCGCTGACAACAGCAAAGGACTCGATGTACTGGTGCACAACGCTGGTGTGTTGATGGCTCGAGAGCTACGAGTTGAGAAAACAGGGGTCGAAACGATGTTCTATACACATGTGATCGGACCCTACTACCTGACTCGTTTGCTTCAGAGGAGCTTGCAAATGGCAGGCGGAAGAGTTATTTTTGTATCTTCTTTGGCGCAACACTCGGCTGCACCCACCTTCCATCCGCTGAATGCTATTTGCAGAGACAAGGAGTACACTGCCGCGGCTGCGGCTGTTGTCGCCTCTGCTGCTGCTCCAGCCTCAGCGGATGATGGAACGGATCCAGCCCCCTGGACAGAGGAGACTTACAATGGAAGAGTTGCGTATGCATGCAGCAAGCTGGCGGAGACGTGCCTTGCAGCCGCGCTTCAGAGAGACTTCATCAGCAACAGCAGCAGCAGCAGCAAGCGCGATCCCTCAGTGCCCCTCGTGTTGAGCGTACACCCCGGAGTGGTGGACACGAAGCTGCCGAGACACCTGAGCAGACAAAGTTTTCTATGGCCCCTCTTTTTGTCATGTGTGCGCCACTCGTTGTTCAAAACTGCGTATCAGGGAGCAGCGACGCCACTTTTGCTGGCAGCTGCCCCCCGTGATACACTTAAACCTGGAGGCTACTATGCCGAGGGGGAAGAAGGCATTGCAGACTCCAGAGCAACTAGCCTCGCTTTGCAGGACGCAACGCTGGCCATCTGCGAAGCACTGACGGGAATGTGAGACTTAATACGGCTATAAAAGAAGCATATACCTGGTACCTTTTGTTAGCGAACACTCAGCTCCGCTGCTGCTGCTGGGTGTATTTTTTGGAGCAGCAACATCAGCTGATGTTGCTGCTCCGAAAAATACACCCAGCAGCAGCAGCAGCAGCCGCAGCAGTTTTGCTGAGCAATATAGAGCAGCCTAATGGCATCCGACAGCCGCGCACTGCCTATAAACTGTCTTTTTGGACGGTGTACCTGGCAGTAGTGCTCTCGCATGCTTTCGTGGGATATTTTCCGAACTGTGCCACTTAATTTGATCGCGTACAGCACGTGCTCTTTTGAACCGGCTACTCTGGCTCGCACACCTGCAGCCGCAGTCCTGCACGAACCAGCATCCCAGGCGCTGCGCTTACGCTTCCCTACGATACACACCCGTCGCTAGCACCAGTTCTGCGTTTCGCAGCTCACTAAAAATTCCGCAGAGACTGCTCGACTCAAAGCAAGCAGGGCTGCTTATTCCCCCGCCTGAGGCGTGCGGGAGGCAGCACACAGACGTTAAAGCTCACCCCCCGCTTGGCGCCACTCGCTGCGTCTGTAACTGAAATACTAGGCGACTGGTGGCGCGGGATCTAGTCCCCACGCTTTCCTTTGTTGCTGCTACCAAAATGTGTGTCTGCTACTGCCCACTGTTGCTCGGCGAAAGGCTGTCGTGGCGCCTGTGGACCGTTGCGGCTGCCGCGGCTGTGGCTTTACCGGAGCCTCGCCAAGTTGCCAGTCGCCTTCTCGTACTGCCCTCCAGCGAATCCAGCCCCCTTCCTGAGAAAGCGATGCACCGTCGTTTTACCCTCGGATGGTGCTGCGCCTCCAGCGAGGTCAGCAAGCTCCGCTGGGGGAGGGGGAGACGGCTGCTGGCGAGGAGCTTGGTGCTCTTCCTTCCGCATACCTGCTGCCCCGCCTCGTTCTTTGTGCGTTGGTATCACCTCGTTCTCCCACGAAAAGCATGAAGAAGCCGCAAAAGCAGCAGCAGCAGCAGCAGCACTATTCTGGTGGGCGTGCTGCTGTTGCTGCCGAGGTGATCCATGCGCCTGTAGTAGCTGCTCCGCCATTTCTTCGAGGCGTCGGTGGGGTCGTAGTGTGGGAATCGGCTGCTCTTCCCAATCAAACGGTCGGTGAGACACTAAGGCAGCAGAAGCAGGCGGCAGTTGCTCGAGCAGTTCTGTTGCAGCACTTGTGGCTGCTTCAGCTCTTGCGACACCAGCCGCTGACTTTCCCTTACTCACAGGCCTCCCCATCCCTGCAGTGCGGCACAGCTGCGCTATGTCTGGCAACAAACTCGCGTCTGTTTTTGAGGTGATGTCTGACGCTCCAGCTGCTGCGGAGGAAGCTCCCTTTGGAGTCGGCTTGGCTAAAGCAGGACGAGTCCTTTGCACACCTTCTTCCTTCGAAGGCTGCACCACGCCACCAGTCGCCTCCCCTGCTGCTGCCGCGTTGCAGACACTGCTTTTGGCAGCTGCAGCGGCAGGAGTTGTGGGAGCTCCTATTGCTGCTGCTGCTGCTGCTACCCTTTCCTTCGGAAGAACAAAACGCACTTTCGTGTTTTCGTCGACGCGCCTGTCCCTCTGGCGAGAGCCGAAGGTCGGAGACTGCAGCTTTTCTCTTGAGGCTTCGCCTGCGCCAAGAAGGGGACTGGCACGCGCAGCGGCACATTTCTGGCTTTTTTTTAAGCACACAAACTATCAAACAGGGGTAAAGCGCTCACAACTGCGCCGCGCCGCCTGTCTAGGCATACGCGCAACGCCTTCTGCATGCGCAAGAAAAAGGCACCACCAGCCAAGGAGCTGCAGCAGCCATCGGAACAGCTCCCGTGCGAGAAGGAAAAAAAAATCAGAGGCAGCAGCAACAGCAGCACCAACGGAGGCAGCAGCAACAGAAGCACCAACAGAGGCAGCGTACGCGTGCTGGCGCAGGGTACCAACAACTGCTGAGGAGTATCTTTTTGAGCGGAAGAACCGACGGCAGACGCGGCTTCTGTGGCTTTAAAAAGTACTCGCCCGATGCTTTTTTGCTGTTTTCGGTGCTTTGGTGACTGCTGCTGGGCAGGCTGCGGCTCGGCTGCAGCCTGCTTCTTGGCGCCGTCCTTCCTTTTGCCAGACAGCTTCTGCTGCTGCAGTCGCACATGCTCTTGATGCGCTTGTAGAGCTTCTGCAGCATCCGTCAGTGTCGGCGTCCTCTGCTGCGCTGCAATCATCCCGACGGTTCTCTGAACTGCCAGGAGCTTGTCAGAAGCGGCAAGACGACTCTTCAGGTGCTTCGCCTTTGCAAGAGCATTCCTTGTCTCCAGCATCTTCCCCAGCGCAGCCTGGATTCTGACCCCCAAGTGCTGTGGCGTCTTTCCTTCGCCCCTTTCGAGAGACACTTCCTGCTCAGCACATCGCAACAACCCCGCGAGCTGCCCGCGCAGCCTCGTTTTCCGTCTTCTCTCGGAGGCAGCAGCCGCTGCTGCCTCCTCTACCGTCACCTCTGGCCGCATGACGTCTGCGTAGCGAGCATGCGAGACGTCCTCAAGACTGGCGCGAGTCTTCAGTCCCAGTCGTCGGCGTACCTCCAGAGGAGACAGTCTCTCCTCTTCTGCCGCCACATCCAGAGGGCGCAGAGCTCTTCGACGGCCCCTTAGAGACTGACGAGGCTTACGGCTACCCACGTTTTGCTTCCCCCCTCTAGGATCTTGAAAGAGAGCGGAAGTCATTCGCAATAAGGCTTCGTCCTCCTCATCGAGCAGCAGCTCAACGCTGAGCCGCAGCAACATGCACCCGCAACTGACACACACACACCTTACCCCTTTGAAGCGCCAGAGCGGTAAAAATGAAGAGCAGCATGCGTTGCTGTGCATCCCCCGCCCCCAACTCTCCAGTCACAGCACCAGCACGCCCTCGAAGAAACAAAGGCCATAGACTCCTGAGAAAAAGAACTCAGAAGCTTCCTGAACATAGAAAAACGCAAGAATTCGCGTACAAAAACTCTTTCCCAAGATCCAATACTCCCAATTCCAGTGTTCATAACATACTCGATCCTGTCTCCGGAGCCTCCTCTAAGGCACTCAGGAGGGGCTTTACACATCCTTCGTCCTCCGCGCGTGAGGGGGAGGTGCTGCCGCCTCCCGACGGTCTCTAAAACAGGCAGCATGCGTCGAACCTGTCTCCCCCATCTGCTGTTGGTGCTGCTGCCGCTGCGTCTGCTGCTGCTACTGCGTCTGCCGCTGCTACTGCAGCCACCGGACTGCTCGGCTGCTGAGGATGCGGCGGCGTCGAGTGCCTCTCCAGCGCATTCTGCCTGGAGCTGCAGGTGCTGTGGCTGCAGCAAGTGCTGTTGGTGCTCCGGCTGCTGCTGCTGCATCATATATGCCCAGAGCATTTGCTGCTGATATTGCTCCATGAGTTGCTCGGGAGACTGTTGCTGGCACGCAGCCTCCCCACCACACGCCTTCAAGGCATCGGAGAGCTCTAGTACTGGCGTCGCGTCGGAAGTTCCCCCGAAATACTTGCAGTAGTCAGGTCCAAAGAGCAGCGTCATGGTGTTTTCCAGCACTTTATCGGTGGATTCTGCCTCCTGCGAAGTCTTCTCTGCAGCTGCGCCTCCCAAGGCGGGCAGCACCAGAGATGCGATGTTCGCTTCTTGCTTAAGGGTCCCTGCCTGCCAGCCGTACGGCTCCTGCAGCAGGAAGAGAAAGGGGTTCGTCGCCAGCTGCTCCTGCAAGAGTGCAGATGCGTGTTTTCCTCGGCCCAATGCGGAGAGAAAGTCTGTTCCCTCGCCGGCAAGTTGTCTAGCTCCAAAGCGCTCGAGTTCGTTGCTTGCACTCGGATTCAGAGGAGGCAGGAAGCGCTGAGGCAGGCCCTGCATGATGTCGACGAGGGGCTTGTAGAACTGCTGTACGTACACCTCGAGCGCGCGTTCCCACTGCTTGAGCGTTCGTTCCTCTGGCGTTGCATGCTCGTCTTCGCTGCCACTGCTTCCGCTGCTGGAGACGTGGCTCGCGACGGGAAGCTGCGATTTTTCGGCTGCCTCTGCGTCGGAGGAGTCGGAGGTTGAACTCGACGCCGAAGGCTCAGACGACGTGGAAGAGAGCCACACGCCGTCGTGCGAACGATGGGTGCCGCTGCTGCCACTGTCGCTGCCAGTGCTGCTGCTGCTGCTCTTGGGTTCGGAGCGTGGGACGGCGGTCTTCTCCTAAAAAGCAATTCATAATGAGGCACCACTCCTTCCACAGCTGCAGCGAGGAAGCAACAGCTGTAGCAGCAACAGCTGTAGCAGCAACAGCGAGGCAGCAGCGGCTGTAGCAGCAGCTCTAGAAGAAGGGCATTGAAAGCGCCTCTGGAGAAGTGCTTGCTCAGCAGGGTCGCCTCATGCGTGCACACGGCGCAAAAGCAGCAGCAAGCAACTTTCGAGAGAGGCTGGAAACGGTACCCTAGCTGGCTTGGATGGAAGTTGGGTATCTGTTGGAGCGGCCGTCTGCACGGCAGCCTCAACTGAAGGCTTTTTCTTTCTGTGGAAGACTGGCGGAGGGACGCTATTCTCAAACTCGAGAGCCTTAACTATAGCCCCCATCTTCCCTTCTCTAATTACTTGGATTTGAGGCGCTTCTGTAGAGCCTTCCCCTGCAAACGAAAGGCCTTACGCACCGCAACGGAGGTGAGGTTGGGAAGTACAATGGTTGGGAAGTACAATGGTTGGGAATAACACGTGGTACGTTAGGAAGTAAGGGAGGAGATATCTGGCAAACGGCCGTTTAAACGCTTCACAGACTCCGGTACCACGCAGTGCGTAGCAGTAGAATCCACAATTCTGATTACCTCCTTCCTTGGGGGGAGGAATAGCCGAAGAAAAGCGCATGCGGCGACCGCCTCCAGTGTCTTTCTTCTCTGTGCCCTGCAACACTCACCTAGCACCATCAGAAGATGCCTAGCAAGAAGCGGCAGCCGTTCCCACAGCTGCAGAAACACAAAGATGCTCCTGCAGAGCTGCAAGGGGGGACAGAGCTTCGAGCTACTACACCCTCCCCACGAACAATTCGAAAAGAAAGCTCTGAGAAAGACTATTGGGATTTATGCTTGCTCCGCGAGCAGGCGTCCGTGACTCGCAGTACCCAATCGACTTTTGCCACGTTTGGAAAGGTTCTGTCAGGAGACAAGGGGGCTAAGTTCATGGCTGAATACACACCAGGGAAAGCAGAAACAGCTCAGATTTCACCATGCAGCAAACGCTCGCTGCCCAAATCCTGTCCTGCCCGTCTCGTTCAACGTTAGAAGCTGTCTGCCTCTGCTTAAGTAGCTAGCTGCCTCTGCTTTAGTAGCTAGCTGCCTCTGCTTAAGTAGCTGTCTGCCTCTGCTTAAGTAGCTAGCTGCCTCTGCTTAAGTAGCTAGCTGCCTCTGCTTAAGTAGCTAGCTGCCTCTGCTTTAGTAGCTAGCAGCCTCTGCTTTTAAAGCTGTCTCGCGTCAGTGCTGGCGCGAGGATGTGCAAATGAAGCTCCTACGTTCGAGTGCAAGTGAGCAGAGAAGCTCCACGAAGCTCTGAGGACTTGTCTCTGAATTCGTCTGTGCCGAACCATTTTCCGCTTGGAGAAGATCTTCCTGCGTTTTGCTTGGTTTCGTGCGAAGCCAGCTAGCCACTACATTGTGTGGGGCGTTGGCGACGAGGCAGGGGGGTTCTTTCTGTGAGCCGCTAACCGAGAGCGAGGCAGGGAGTGGTTCTGCCCACCCTTCGAGAAACTCAGGCTTGCCTATGGCTCTTCCTTCGGCTTGTCGAATATCAGGAAAGTTGGCGTGAGCTCTGTCTCTTGTGCGCGCTTGGATATCCTCGCCTATGCCAACGGCCCTTCCCACGTAGCGTCTCTCCGCTGCTGCCCGCTGCGCCTCTGAAGTGATGCTCTTCTTCAGCTGCTCCTTCAGCTGCTGCAGTCGTTTCTGCTCCAGAGGCTCTGTGTCTTGCTTCAGTCCTAGCTGCACAGAAGTTGGCTTTGTCAGGTACTCGGGCAGCTCTTGAGTCTCCCCTTCGGCAGCTTCTGCCGCCTTTTGCAGCGTCGTTACGATGGCGACGCACTCCAGCTGGCGATCTCTCTGACTCCGCACGGCTGCCGTGAGGGAGGGGGCCCCTTGAGCGCCTCCCCTCCTTCCCAGCCGCATTCGTAAAGCGCGTAATTCCTCTTCCTGGAAGTCACCCCGTTTGACTAGACCAGGAGCTTGATGCTGGGATGTCTGGTCTGCCGCCGTTGGCGCTGCTTCCAAAGGCGCTGCTGCGGATGGCTGCCACGAGCCCTCCGAATTAGGGGGCCCCTGTGCAGCGTTCTCAGGGGGGGTGATGGAGCGGTGGCGTCTTGGAGGGGCCCCTTGAGCCGTCCCCCCCAAGGAGGAGCTTTCCATGAGTGAAATCTCTTGAAGGGGCGTCGGAGAGGCGGCAGCCGACGCAAATCTCACGCGCGCCGATTCTAAGATATTTCCCGACATGCGGAGGGCCTCCGTCATCTGCCGAACGGCAGAAGTGCAGCAAGCCTGTATGTACACCAGCACGCACAAGAACCGTCCACCACATGCTGCAAAACGCTCTAGTGAGGCTCCAATGACCACGAGAACACACGGACAAACCTTCTGGCTTCAAAGAAAGACAGGCAGAACGTGGAGCCTGGAGTCTGCTCTCCAGAGCCGACACGCTGTTCCGCTACCTGCAGATCCAGCCTCCTCCTCTGCAGTGCCTTCAAGCCAATGCTGCCAAGAATAAATCCTCGGCAGTCCAGCATACTTACCTCATATTGCCGTCGGGAAGAGACTGGGGAGGCTGGCAGATCCACCATTGAGCCGGCTACACTCATGCGCAGATTTGAGTGGAAGGGCCCCCCTGGATACCAGCGAGACTGGTATCCAGGGCCAGAAACCAAGAGAAAGCGACTTGTAAGTGGATATTTTAGACTGTATATACTTATTTCTATTTGTGTGCGCCTAAACAAGCAATGCTAGGCATCCCACTCGCGTGCAGCCCTCACAGTTGCTGTGACTGTCCAGGGGGGAGAACCCTTCAGCATCACTGCAGCAACCGCAGCCACTGTTTCTGTGCCTGTCGCCTGCGCTCTGGCTGTTCCTCGGCGACTCCAGCACTATAAATTGCGTTTTTTCGGATATTACCATCCAGGGTCAAGTGGCTAAGGGGGGGCCGAAAGGCGACGTTCAGTTCTCCTGCTGGACTGCAGTGTCTTCCCTGCAACTTCGCCCCGCAGTAGCCGCCGTCAGGAGCAGTCTTCCAGAGTTTCTTTCTCCTGCAGCGCCAGTGGTGGCTTGAAAGCAAAGAGATCGGCTGCTGATGTACCTTCTCGCGTAGTGCATGTGCGAAGCTGGGGAAACCATGCCTGCTTCCACTCAGAGCAGCACCCATGTTCTTAGCACGTGCAGCGGCAACAGAGTTCATATTGGCGGCCTCTGCCCACAACAGCAGGGCTTATCCCTGCTGTGCATTGTGACAGCAGTGGAGAAAGATCCGTCCTTGCGAGGCGTGCAGCAGCACAAGCTGCTCTTTAGAGTTGCAGACTTTAGTGGCTCAGTCACTCTGGCTCTCCCCTTGGGTATCTTGCGGTCTGCTGCTGCGGCTGCTGCTGCTAAATCTGCGGCTCCAGGGAGTGGAGCAGTGTCTGCCACCTCCAGTGACGGTCCCTTGCAGCTTTCTGATGTAGCCAGCGACGCCGCTGCCGCTGCGGCAGCAGACACAGCAGCAGCAGCAGCATCTGTTGCCGCTGCAGGAACAACCACAGCAGAAGCAGAAGCGCTGAAGCTGCTGCTGCCTCCTTCGGCAGTTTTGCTGCTCGAGGGGGCCTACACGTCGTGGTCAATGTCGAAGCTGGTGCGGCGTTGGCGTTGCTGCTGCCTTAGCCCAAGCAGCCGTCCATCCTGCTGTTGCCGATGGCTTGACTCGAATGTCGATCTCGTTGTTTCCTCTCTTTTGAAATTTCCAGAGGGCCGGAGAATTCCGAAGTGCCGGCTGCTTGCATGCTTCTGAAGAACACGATGCAGCCTCCGGTGCTTTTTGGTGCTCGACTTTCTGCGCATGCAGGTCTTGAGTGTGTCTGATGAAGCCTCCAGATCTAGGGGGACCCCTGGCCGTGTTTCTGTGCTTGGATTTTTCTCATTTCCATTTTCTCTCTCTCCCTATGTCAGCGCTTCCTTCGCGGGGAACGCCGATAAGCCCTGGCAGAAGCCCCCTTCCGCCTCTCCGGCTACCCCAGTGTCTGTACAGGGGTTCAGAGAGGCAAGCATTGCTGCAAACAATCTGCTGCTGCAAAATCCTCTGCAAGAGCAGGACTGCTTGAGCCTGTTAGGACCCCCCGACCCCATTTTCGCTCTTGAGGACGGCTGATCAAAAGGTGTGATCAACTTCCCGTAATTTTCTGCACCCATGTACCCGAACGCATGCCTGTTCAAATGCTGCAACCTAAATCCGACGACTTACTACATACAGGCCTACTGTTTGCCTTGGTGACGCTTTGGATATATGCGCATTCTGATGTGCTGCTGATGCCACTAGGGTTCGGTCTTGCTTCTGATGAGCTTGCTCCTTCTCGCTTCTTCGTTGGTGCGATTGCTGCTTCAGCGCTGCGTAGGGTAGTCTCAGGGCGTAGAGTGAGTCAAAGTGCTATGCCGTGGATTCGGATTCCACTGTAGCTCACAAGGCAAATGCGTGGAATAGTGTTCGCCACTAAAAGGGCTATTCATAGATAGCCTGACAAGTCTTGTTGTATCTAGCTTCGGTTCACTTTTGCATGCTCATGAATGTGCGGTTGGGTGTGCTTCGTTTCAGTGCAAGGAGAACTCCGCTTTTGCCGCTCGGAGGTCTTTGTGGTTCGCGCTAGCTATGTCCTCTCGTTGTGGAGACAAGTAGGGGCTTGAGAGTCTCTTATCGAGAGCTTCTGACTTCTTTTGCGGTGTTGCTAAAAAGATGCTTTTATTGTGTTTTAATGAAGACTGTCGACACTTGTTCGGGTGCTCAAAGGGGTTGCAAGGCGAGCACATAGAGCATTGGCTCCTACAGGTGCGTGTGAAGCACAAGGGCTTACATGCATTACACTTTCTTTGCGTGAAAAGTGAATGGACTATTTTTCAGTGTCATTTTTCTGGTTGGAAGCTTAAGTCATCATTTAGAAACGGCTTCAGAGAAACCCTCCGCAAATGCTTGACACCACCGACACGTTGCCTTGTACGACAAAGATGTGCGGCAGGAACGCTTCTCACACTGGAGCCTACTCGGCCAAGCTTATGCAAATTACTCATGAGGATAACCTACAATAAACGAAAGCGCAGAGCAAGTACAGCAGATCTCTCACAGTAATAGCGCGTAGTTGCAGCGCTTCGCTCTCGAGGGCAGAGCGCCATTGTGCGCCCCGCAATATATCAAAAGCATATAAACATTCGGAAGCGACGGCTTAGGTTTTGAGTGTCAAAAGTGGTACTCTGATTAGCGAGTGTGAGGCCTCCCTCACGAGAGGCCTCCAGGGAAGCCTGTGCACTTAAGCAAGCCTGCTGATTTACCATAGACCTATTCATGTGGGTAGATGTTCGGCGGAAACTTTTTCCTGGAGAAAAGCTTCGTAAATGGACTAAGTCGCTTAGTCAAGTCTGGCACATGCAACGCGAATTTCACTTTTCGCACGTAAATCACTGACCCTATGCAAGTTCCCTGTAAGGGACGAGCCCCGAAGATGCTCTCTGTAATTTGATAGTACAGTCTAAAGTTGCGCTTACTTTGATTTTAGGTACTTTTTATCGGTATTTGGCATTGTTTTGCCGTGCTTTTTATTGTAAAGCTCTTTGAAAATGCCTCCATAAAGAGACACTTCAAACCCGACCCCATGCGCACTTAATAGAAGGTGGTTGCTTTCTCACTGCCTTACAGTTTCCTAAAACACGGAAGAGAGGCAGCTAGGTGGCGTGTAGCTGCAACCACTAAGCTCTCCAAGCTTTCATGACTAATTACAAATAGCATATAACCGACGCACAAGCCATTGTATTCTTGTGGCTAGCCTACAGCAATCTGCAATGAACGAAATATACGAACTGACAATCAATTAGTATACTCTTTCCTAGCTTTGGTAAATAGTGTGCTGGGAAGTGTTGAAGCAAATATTAGCCCCCTCGACTTCCCCCCGCCCGTCGTTTCAAATACATCCCGTCGTGTTCAATACCTGTGCATCAACGCCAACTGCATTCAAGACACCAGAAGGCTTCCAGGCCAAGCGCCAATCCCCAGGCAGGCAAAACCGCAAATATGGCGAACGCTAATGAGAAAATCAAACACGTACATCAACTGTGAAATGAGCTTTAAAAGGTTGAAATAACACACCGCCCAACAACAAACGAGGGACCAAACTAACACGACCTCGGCGGCGTGGTGACTCCATGCCGTCAGGGAACTGAAGTCTGTGAGCCCCATGGAACAGGAAATTAGCAGCCAAGCGTTATGTGTGAAGGGAAACAAAAGCCCCACTTCTTCAGCAGCGCCTTCGCACCACAAAAAGCACCCTCTAAAATCCAAGTACAGCCACTGCACACAGTCTAGTAGACTCCGAAGATCCCACAGAGGCGGTAGAAAGAATACAGAGACAAAATACTTGAGAGTGCCGGCCATTAATTTGAGTAGAGAAGGCGCTAACAATGATAATCGGCAAACCTTCAGGCAGTAATAGAATGGTAGCTACTATACGCAATACCGGTGGTGCGGAAGGACAATGACCAAGGAACACCAGAAATACCATCGATGGCGACGCGCCATCGAGACACTAGTGCCGAAAATCTCCCCGCAGGTTACAAGGTTGCAATCGGTCCTCCGTCAGCCACTGAGGCTGGTATCCCCTTCCTAGTTCACTGGAAACTCCCGCCCAGCGTGCATTAGGCGCTCTAGTGTCCTGAACTGCAAGTTCTACAGCTTCCTGTGGATCGTCCACCCCTACATGCTCCTCTTGCCTGCAGAGCAAGGTAAGGTAATAATTCGGGGAATTTCAAAACTTCTTTAGGTAGCTAAGTTCGACAACACTTTAGCACTTTTAACTTTCAAGAAATTCGATAGAGCAACAAAAGCAGTGATTCTTGAGGAGGTAGATGATCCTAGCCACTTGGCCGCTAGGTTTTTCGGTGCCCTCATAAAAGCCTGCCAAATTACCAAAACCAAATCTCCAGGCTCGAATAACATACCTCACCGCTGTTTATCATAGTTATGTGCTTGCCTTCTTTGAGCTATGTGCAAGCATTCGCTTGCACCAGCCAACAGTTCTCTGATTCCTTCGCTGCTAAGGGTGGTTGCTGATAAGGAGTCACCCGGTTCAGGTTGGATTGGGGAGGGGCTTCTCACTGTAGTCACTGGATGCAGGAGAATAGCGGTAGACGAGCATGCTGTCACATTTTTACCATGATCAAAAGGTAAAAAATCAAGTCAAGCAACTGAAATTTTGTTGGCACAGACTCAAAAACACTGCACCAGATTGTGGTTGGTGTGCTCTTTCGGTCCATCTGCTTCAGGGTGGTTCACACTGGTCACATTATGGCAAAGGCGTAGGATACTCTAGAGACACGCCAGAACGCACTAACAAATCGAAGATACCCCTCGGTAGTGATACTCCTGGAGAATTTTTGAAGCTTCCAGACGTTGGTTAAGAATAGTTGAGTGACTTCTTGAGCCACGACAGAGCTGGAGCACGAAGTGAACTTGCGTATTTACCAAGTATTTCGACGAGGGCGTAGATGCTCTCTTGACCCTTGACCGCCAGCAGCCCAACAATCGCATCCATAAGCAGCACTGTCCAGCTTATTCTGGTAACAGGAAGGCTTTGCAAAGGTCGGGTTTAGAAGAATTGCGCGGCTTCCGTTGCTGGCACTATGGGCATGACCGTGCATGCTTCGCTGTCGTGGATCGCATCCCACGCCACCTGAGCCACCTTGATGGCGCTATTTACATACTATCAATTAATGTTGCTCTCCACGAGGCACCCAAGCCAGCGAATAGCTCTGGAATTGTGAAAGGCCTGAAAGCTATCGCAGGGCACATTGAGGGCTGGTGGTCGGTCTGGACAGAATAATGCGGCCAGTATCTTACTGCCGGCATGTTGCCACACTCCACCACATCAAATGGAGTTCCATTTCCTGCACTGTATGCCCCTGCCCGGTTTTTTAAAACGATGAGCATGAGCAACAACATTTTGATGCATATTGGAAGCCGAAGACTATTGGAAGAGAATAGGACTGAATTTCCGAGACTACCATGCACCCGCACAGTTCTTTGCGACAACCCTCCAGAGGCGTAACGCGAAAGGGCCGGCTCTAACTGCTTCGATTTTTGCGGAATCTAGCTCGATGTTTTTGCATTCAAAACGCAGACAGCTAGGAATACAGTTGGGGTTCTATGAAACAAGGACACTTGAGTGTCTTTTACAAACTAACGATCCCCGCACAACAAGTAAAGGGCACGTCTTAGGACTTCTAGATGCCCATGCTCTTTATGATTTCGGCTAAAGACTGCGACGTCATCCATGTGTACAGCCATTCACCACTTGTTAATATGTTTAGCCACATCCCGATCAAAAGATGGATTCCGGATGGGGCACGAATTAGTGCAAGCTGCATACCAGTGTATTCAAGCTTGCGAGTGCAAGTCTGGACCGCCGTTCTGTGGCTGTCACGTGGGTGAACGGACATGCGTAAGAAAGCGTCTGTGAAGTCCAGTGTCGAGTGCAATCTTGATCCGCGTGCCTTGTAAAGCAGCTCTACAACATTTGGCATTGGAAGCTTTTGCTTTACATTAATACCATTTAGGGGCCCTAAGTTTACTCACATGCGCCACTTTCCGTCCTTTCTCAGTACCGACACCAGGTTGTGCTCAAAGGGGCTGGTAGGTCCTCGCACTTCCCCTTTTTCTAATCGATCAGCCGTCTGCCGCATAGCCTCCTCTTCCTGCTGTGGGTCTTCCGATACCGCGAAATATAGCTCGAGGCTGGACGCGGGATAAAACCAATACGGTGCGCTTGACGACCCGCAGGTGGCGAACCTGCTGGCAACTCGTCAGAAATATAGCAACCCCAAATATTCCTCCCAGGTAATTGCCCACTCCAACTTCGCCTCGGCCGTTAGCTCAATCAAATTTGTCAACGAAGAGCCAGCTGCAGGCCCTTCAAAGCAAGATATTTGCTTAGAACAAATCCTTATGTTCGGTCGTGCGTCAGCACACCTGAGCCTGGGGGACAGGGGTAACGAGTGAAAAAGCAGGATGCATTGTTGCGCCTTCCTCTCGGATGACAGATCCACTGCGCTTCCAGTATCAAAGAACGCTAGCAGTTCTTGTCCATTGACACACCGTAGGCGAAGCAGCAGTTCGTGTACGTTGCTGTCTTTACAATCAAATGCTTCCCACTTCTCGAAATACATATCGATTGATGAACTTCCCTGCGTTGGCCTTCTTAATTCTCTCGAAGTTTGCCGTAGAGCTGATCTTCGCATAAGCCGATGTGTCTGGGCTTGTCCGATGCCTTGAATTGTGGTAATCCCTGCAGGCAGACGTTCTCTACCTGAATACAGTTGCCATTAAAGTGTTTTTCCTTTCAATAGACATGGCGCGAGGGGTACTTCATTTCTCATTTGGGGGCACGAAGGGGGGTACATTTCCAACCAGGAGATGAAAACTTTATTTTTCTATCCTAAAGGCCGTTATACTACCCTGGTCGGCACAACCTCATAGGTGCACCCATAAGCCATTTATCAGCCATCAATACATGCTTTTATAGTGCCTCTGGAGCATTAAATGGCAGTTTTTGGGCCGGCCTGTGTTGGCTGAGCATGGATTGTGCCACCGCCAGTTTTCCTCGCCAGAATGTTTTCCGCGAGGGGATTCTAAAGTAAAGATAAGGCGTTGATCTGCCAAATGACTAGGTAAAACTCAGACAACTATTGTAGGGAATCCTGGCATCCCACTGCATTCAGCGCCAGTGGACGATCAAAGAGCAGCTGCATTAAATCAAGCGGGGCTACCAACTGCCACCCTTCATCTGAGGTCCCCGAAGAAACGCACAACCGCACTTAACCTTACACCAGATTTGGACATAATAACGTCTCATTAAGTGCTTTCCATAGGGCGATTCTCCTCCCCCTACTGCGCCTGTCAGGAGTTCAGCATTCGGAGAGCTGAATAGTTATGGTAGCTGTACCCTCTGAGCACGTCGAAGACTCACGCCTAGTTGCACATAGCATTTATCGATTAAGCACATGGCATTGCACTTTGCTCATTGAACTAATGCTACGCTGCAAGACCATCCGTATTTCACTACAAACAATTGAGTGGAAAATATTGAAGCGTCGCTTAACCCGCTACATCTTTCCCCCAATTTAAAGGCACACACCCTCTGGTTCCTCACCAGTGCTTCGAGACCAAGTGTGTGCAGCAAGGCCAAAGACTTCCCGCCCCATCGCTAAATCTCAATCAAACAGAACAGTAGAGATGATACAAATGAGAAAAGAGAATTAGTACATCAAACGGTAAGATGCAACTGAAGGAAGCAGAAATTCGAGCTAGTAAGGAACGATGCACCAGATCAGCGCTACCGCTGTGGTGCGATGGCTCACTGCCATCAGGACGCTAAAATATATGAGCCTCCTTCACCGCGAAACCAGACGACAAGCATACTCTGAAGATGGAAATTGAACTGTTAGTAGCTTAACAGTACGTCCGTTGTCTTATAGGGCAATATCTGTACGCGAGTAAAGCCGCTGAACGCAGCCAAGTCACCTCCCAAAACCCAACAGAGGCAGTAAGAATAATGTACAGACACCAAAACTGGGAGTGCTTGCGTATACAGCAGAGTAGAGAAACCACTATGAGAATAAAAGCATTAATTTGCAAGCTGTAGCAATAGAGGAAGCCACCTCTCAGGCAGAGTATGGGCTGGGGGGGCCAATCATGAAACAAATTAGAGGAATACCGTCCATCGAAAGCAGCGTTGTGAAACAAGCAGAGCCACAAAGTTAATTGTAGGCAACGAGCTAAAAACAGCTCCTCCGTCAACCACTGTGCGTGGCACTCTGTAAACTAGTTCATAAGAAACTCCCGTCCACTGGGTCCTTGGCACTCAGTAGTCATAGAATCCAACACTGTTACGGCTTCCAGTGGATCGTCTGCCTCCAAGCGAGCCACATGGCTATCCACCGTTCCTAGCCCACACACACCTCAGTGATCCGACGATTGCGATGTATTAGACTGACACGGTTGTGCTGGCTTGGCCTCTCATTTGTTTTTGGCTTTCGATTGCGCTTTTCTTCCATCGAGTTTTCTCTACGGTCCGATGCCTGCTTTGCTTTTCTCTCTCTCGTACTGTTTTCCGTAATTCTGCCTCCCTGGGAGCTGGCAATAAGGCGAGAGGTCTCCTGCTCTGCACGTTCTTCGTCTCTGCGGACAGGTGGGGAACAGGAGGCTTGTGCTGTGAATTGCGGGAAATGATGTAGCGGGCTAAGCTACACTTCGGCACTTTTCAGCACACTAATTATGCTGACTACAAGTCGGGAAAGAATTGACAAATTGTTTTGGTTGCTTGTACATACTATTCTTTGCACTGTGTAATGCTCACTCAGTACAAAAGGACGCAATGGTGTGTACGTGTGCCCTACATTCTGTGTGGAACTAACCCTGGGTACTTTCACTGCTTAGGGGGTGCATGTACACACAACTTAGCTCTCCGCTCCCCTCATGTCGAAATCTGTGAGAGGCGAGTGTAGAACATTTGGGAGAGTGCTCAACGATGTTACTTTATCACGTTTGAGTTATGTGGGGAATATGTCTCTTCCTGCAGACACCTTGATAAGAGATTTACACTTAGCCTGTTTGTCTATTTTTGGGTAGCACTGAAATTGCCCTCCCTAATGCCCCACACATTCACCCGACTCCAGTATTAGAAAAAGAGAAAATATCACAAGAGCAATATTACTTGCGCAGCTTCCGGTTAGAGTGGTAATTCTTGTGAATAATCCACAACGCCCCTTCTTCAGCCAGAAAGGAAAGAGAGGACTAGATAACCGGTAACTGCCCACTTAAATTGTGGATACAGCAACTGATACACTTCCCAAAATACCTTCGCGTTAGAGGTTCAACCAACACTTTTACACTTGCCCTTGCATTGGTAGTGTTTGATAATGGACTGAGTGGTGGTTTGTGTATAGTGTCCGCTTCAAAATATTAAAAGCTCAATATTTCTAAATAAGGTCTCTATGTCTGTGCGCTAAGGTACTAAGGGTCAAAAATCTAATACCAAGCCCTGCAGATGGATTGGTGCCATATTTATACTTACGGAGATCCGAAGTACGCTGTCATTAATGCGCGGGCAGAAAGCACATATCCACCTATTATGATGCTCAGCTTTCCCTTTCGCAAAAAACACATGAACGAGCAAACCAATCAGAGGATGCTCCGCAAATTATTAATGAAATGTGACTAATGTACAAAACAGCGCCCAAGTGCAGACGCCTCGTCCAGCACTTAAAATGAGAATGTGGGTTTACTTTGGCTCGCAATCTGCAGTTGGGGATCCAATTTATTTCACGATTTCTGCTTCAATCCTATCCAAGTTCATGCAAGCTCTTGCCTGTTTGCTGAGTCCCAAATTGCGTTCTGAACTGCATCAGGAGAGGTTGTGTCTGGGGTGTGAGGCCCTTCAAAAGACTTCCCCAAGAAAGAAGGCTTCGAATTTCGCAAACACACTATTTTAAGCAGAAAACATGGCTAAATGACCAGAATAGCTCTCGTCACCCCAGGACACACCTGCTCTGACCACGCGATGTGCATAGCCAGGAACGCGAGCTGCTCGATTCCTGCCTCACTGGCTTGTCGGGGTGCTACCCAGCTGAACTTCCAGACAGCCAACATTCGCATAAAGCCACTTCCTCATTGAATTTGCCCCTGCATTTCGATGGGATTACTCTAAAAATCATATTCGCAGAATTCTGGACGCTACACCTTCCGTGCTGGCAGTACTTCCATGAAAAACCTGTACCCTGGTGTGTAAAACACTTCCCAAATACCAATTTTGCATTGAGGTTTTGTCTTTTGCAATGCTTGATTGCAGCAGGTTGAGGTCCAATCAATACTCGTACACCAAACCATTTTCTTCCCTGCTCACGCCGAGTCCCCGAGTTGCCATCTGTCAAGAAGACGAATAAGGCCCTTACTGCTGAAATAAAGCCAGTCCTTCCACACAATGCATTTCCGGATTCTAAGCTGCCTCGCCGCGGGACTGGCAATTGTCTGTACTCACACAGTAAAACAAGCCGTTTCTATTGGCCTACGAAACGGTATGAACGCTCATTTGGACGCCAGTAGTACGGTCACCTCCGAACTCCTTTTTAAAGACCCCATGCAGGATGGGCTGGCGGTGGATGGCATTACCCTGGATCAGCACGATAGCAGTGCTTTCCTGCAAATGAACGAGGAAGAGTTTGGGAGGATTGATAGGAGGATGAAGCCATGTTTCCAGTCAAAGGACGGACAAGCCTGCGGCGGAAGAGTATCAGAAGCAGACTACCCAGGGGGGCTGCACTGCCCTGCTGGATTGTGTTGTAGCAAAACGGCGACGCAGAATCGGTCTTCTGGCAACTGGTGCTCTAGCAGCTGGGCCTCCTGCTGGAGTTTTTTTGTTTATACCTCGAGGTATTCTTATGGTACTTGCAAATGCAAGAGGTACGCGAGCAGGTGCCCGGAGGATTCGACATGTGTTGATACATCCTATGGGCCTTACTGCAAGTGTGTGGATGGCAAGGAAGAAGTTGATGGTGGCTGCCATTACCCCACAACCACAAGCACTACAACAACTTCAACCACTACTACAGTGACGACAACCACATTGTTCGAAGAGGACACAGAGAGCGTTGAATGCCGAGTTGATGACTGCAGTCCAGGTTTCTGCAGCATTGCGGAGAGCAGAATTGTATGCACGTGTGCTGGTGGCTATACACCACGAAGGCTTAGTCCTATCCGGGAGGAGTGCGTCTTGATCGATTAATCATGTAGCGTAAACATGAGCAGGGCAAATGTACAAGTGAATCAAAAGAAATGTCCTTCAGAAGAGCCGCCAATCGTATTACTAAAGGCATCCCGTATGGGGGTGCTGCCGGCTGTTTTATCTGTAGTATGTTTTAGTTCCCCTTTCAAATCAGAGCGGCTTTCTGGCTCATTCGAGATGAAGAGTGTACCTCTTCACCGCTTCTGTATGTAAGTTTGTTGTTCAAGCTCGGTCATGCGGTAATGCATCCGAGAAGCCTTTTTAGCACACGCTGATTAGTGATATTCGAGATACCCGTAGAAAAAAAGATTTTAGCCCTCAAAATGCAAAAATCCTCACCGAACAACAGGCACAGACTTGGCAAGCCTAGGGTACCAGGGTGCCTTCTACTGTCGCTTCACGGAAGAATGCTCATGACAGGCTTGGCGGTGACACATATAATATACTGAGAAGTGATCAATTTTTCAATGCCATGGCAGGGACTTGTCGTGTGAACAGTTTTCATCAGCTAAAATCAGGCTGGTTTTCCTCGATAGTTGTTCTGTGTAGTGGAAAGCAACAGGTTAGGCCTCTTCCATATTATCAATCCTTGTCTTTGCCGTACTACGCGGTAGTTTTGCTCCTATCGCCCTCAAAGGATTTCGGCAGCAGGTTGACCGAAATTCGATTGTCCTTCTTCCAAACATATTAACTTCCACGTTTGAAGCAATATTGCACATGCGAGCTGACTGGATACGTTTCAGCTGCAGCAGCACTGCAGATAGGGCTGCATAGGTACATCATTCAACTGCATCCACCAATAAAAAGGCATCTACATGCATATCTGCGCAACCAAAGTCTACCCACGTAGGCAGTGAAGGATAGTCCTATATTCGCAAGACCTGCTAGAATCTCAAGCTACGAACTCTGCTGACCAAGACCTTGGATACTCAAAAAATTAGCTCAGCCTCCTTGCCACTCGTGTATTTGGGGACATTCGATAGAACAAGTGCTGGCTGATTTGTTCGTATCTCATTGCCGAAGTAAGTAATAGCATGGCCTGACACACAGCCATGGGCGAACGCACAGCTCAGCGATGGATTTACTACTGCTTCTGCCTATGCTCTGCCGGTTAATGGTGCTTGCTCAATGCGGTTGCTGAGTGTGTGGTTTACCTCTAGCACTGCGTCCTTGGTGTCCAAGCGGACTAAAAGGCTTGTGACGGCGAGGCTAGCTAGTATCTTAATGCAGGGACGCCTCCGCAATCGTCGCACTGGCTTCGTGGGCAAAGCGGAGAAATGGAGCTATGCAAAGGCAGTGGGCAGTACACTATCTCGCCGCAGTCCAAAGCATCAAGCAAACATCCTTCTG